CATCGGAAACAAAAAAGCGAAAGAATTTGGAACGATCTTTTTACAATTATTTTCTTCAGTTGTATACAGTCAGTATCAGTCGGTAGTCGGTAACGCGTAAGTGAATAATCGTGTCTGTTGCGAGGCTCAAATCAAAAATGGCACATGTTTACGAAAATGCTGAACTTGTGGACATGGTTCTTATTTACGGGGAGTCTTTACAAAATGCTGCCGCGGCATCACGGATCTATGCGGATCGGTTTCCCAATCGAGTGCAACCAACCCCTCGTGCCTTTGTTAATGTAGTGCAAAGAGCTCGTGAATCAGGTGACTTAAGACCTCACAGAGGAGATCATGCCGGTGCTCCAAGACCACACGATCAAATAGAACTAGAAGAACAAATTTTAGAATTAGTAAGTGATGATCCAACAGTAAGCACCCGACAAATTTCAACTCAATTGGCGAATTGTCAGTATAAAACTTGGAAAACTCTACGTGAAAATCAGTTCTATCCGTTTCACATACAAAAAGTGCAGGCCTTACAACCGGAAGATCATGAACAAAGGGTTGACTTTTGCAATTGGCTTTTAAACAAACATCAAAATGATGACAATTTTTTAAATCAAATTTTAGTGAGTGATGAAGCCCTCTTTACTGGAAACGGAATTATTAATTCACGTAATTCTCACGTTTGGGCTATTGAAAATCCCCATGAAATAAGGGAAACCAATTTTCAACAGCGATTTGAACCAATCAACCTGTGGGCGGGAATTGTTAATGGAATTTTAGTGGGGCCTTTTGAATTACCAAATCGCTTAACTGGTGAAAATTATTTTGATTTCTTGCAACACAATTTGCCTGGTTTACTGGAAGATGTGCCTTTAAATATTAGACAAAACATGTGGTTTTTACAAGATGGGGCACCACCCCATTATGCAAGAAATGTGCGTGAATTTTTAAATAGACAATTTAATAATCGTTGGATCGGCCGTGGCGGTTTTGTACCTTGGCCGCCAAGGTCTCCGGACTTAAATCCTTTAGACTTTTGTTTGTGGGGTTGGCTAAAAACTCTAGTGTATAAAACACCGGTTAATACACGCGAAGAATTACGTGCTCGAATTGAGGAAATGAGTACAGTGATCAGAAATCAACCAGTGATTTTATTGCGTGCTTGTAAAGAGACATGGCTAAGACGCGCCCAGCTGTGCGTCGAGCAAAACGGAAATCATTTCGAACAGTTTTTGTGTCATGCTTTTGGGCGCACAGGTCCGCACTGAAATACTTGTCGGGAGGATACTTTATAAAACAAGGTAACATTTTTTTTTAATTTTTTTTTTACACACATATTTTGGTTTATCTTCCTTCTACAATCATTATCTGAAAATTAATGACTCAACTTCAAAGTCACCCTGTATATCTCAGTTAGTGGCGTAGAAAACAACACCCTGCATCTTTGATTCTTTCACACTACAGGGTGTCAAAGTCAGACGTGAGAGCGAGTCTGCATCAAAATTGGGAATTTGGGATGATTTTTATGTGAGTTACTCGCCGTCCTAAGAAAAAATTATACTGGGAAGGATGAAATAGTTCAAAAACACACCTGGTCAAAAAAGGTTAATATTTATAGGAATTGCATGGGATTATGCATCAATTTCTGGCATATGTTGATCACAGAATTGAGCGATTGAATCTGCATGACAATGAGATACTGGTACTGGTAGAATAAAATAAGCGAAGGAAGCATATTTATATGCTTTATTATCAGAACTTCATATGAGTATAGTTACTGATACAATACACGTGACTATCCCTAGAAGGCACAACTTTGCGCCTATTCGCTTCCTTCTCTACTCGCGTTCTCAGCCAAAACTGAAACCGCCTCCCATAGAGAATCCGTCTGAAACAGAAATCAATTTCAGGTGCCAAATTATTTTAGTGAGAATTTTGTAACATTAAAAATAAGCTGATTTTAAGCGACAGGCATAGAAAGCGAGCAAAGAGGAAGCGAAGTGGGGAAGCGATTTTGGATTTTTCTCCAAAAAGCAAATTTAAGTTAGTTATAAATTGAAGGATATGCGCATAAGGCATAGAAACATAGGGAGACCTTGGAAACAAAAGGGCTAGAGGTCGATCCAGAGGGTTGTCTCCCCCAACATATCGGAGTTTCAAGAATAATTTCTGCCGTTTTCAATCACTGTTACCCCTCCCTTTTCCCGAGACGGACATCGTCCTGAACATAAATCCTAAAGTTCTCCTTTCCCATAGAACTTTTTTGATGGGGTAGTTTCAAATTCATCATGTGGACCTCCAAAAATATTTTGCAGATCCGCCCCTGAAAAGGGCAACGAAGATAGCTGGAAAACTATAATAAGCACAAATGAAGAAAGTTTATCGGCACTACAGCTAGTACGCTCTACAAATACTAACTGTTACCAATTTATTAAGACACACACAATTTATCAAGAGAGAAGACCTAAGAAGGTATTTGTTTGGAAAATGAAGAATATTGAATGTCCATCAGGTTTATGTTAATGAACGGAAAGTCGAAAGGCGTTCGAATAAAGAATTATCCCATAACAGGCAGCAGCAGTGGCCGTAGTAGTAGACTCTTCGGTCTCCTGATCAGTCGCCGTGCGCTGTGCGGGTTTGAATCCCGTCCCAGGAGAAATTTTTCTCTTGGCTATGGATGCTGTGATTGTCCGTAGCTGGTAGACGCTCTCTGACTGTCGAACGCGGAGGTACCACACGGCGGATCTCGTAGGCGGAGCCAGTATGTGTGCATGTTGCATGCACACGTGTTACCTCGCCAGAGTCCGTCTGGTGTTCCCCCTTTCCCGTGTATCCCCCTATAACCCCACGGTACCCAATGGGTGTTTAGGCCTTCGTGGTGTAGGAGTATAAAAAAAATATCGCTGAGGACATAGTAGGGTACCAATTTATTTATGTCACGGGCTCCTTTAGCCGTATTTCGGCTATTCAGGGGTCACCTACAAAATATTTGCTTCGGGCCCCACAGAAAAGCAAAGTGCTTCTACTGGTGCTTCTTTGTTGTTTACAGTAATCTTTTAATAATTTCACGAAAAGCCAATATTTATAGAAAAATCATCAAATTTCATCAATAGAACTGCAGCCATCACAGTGAAAATTACTCACCCAATGTAGGATGTTTTACTTTGATGATCTTTCATATATTTTGCCAAATTATTTTTTCGTGAATTTGTAAGCAGTTATTATGCGTGAATCCAGACTTTAATAGATTTGTAAAAAAGCGGATTTGAAGTGACGGAGCAGCGAGCGAAGCGGGAATTCATACCTATTGATCTGAAAGCCAGAAAGCTTTTCAATTCAATTGTAAATTCTAGCATTTTTTTAATATGAATAAACGTTCTTAGACATCAAAAGAAGGAAGAGAGAACTAAAAAAGCATATGAGCAATTGAGGGTACTAGCATAATTCGTTTGCCATTTTCTGAAAGACAAACCTTGACTACAACTTGTTAATCTTTTACAAGCACAATTGTTGTATTTTTTGTTTGAAAGGATACCCACATCAACACTTCTGATGCGCGTCATCAGCGCACGTAATTTTGTCCATTAAAGTAAAAGCAAGCGATTTGTCGAAAGAGAATGTCAATCAACAATAGTCGACAATGAAGTCAGAAAGAGAGCCGTATGTCTAGAAACACTATTTTGATTTTCCTCTCAATGAGCGCTTTCGTTGATACTCCATTATTAATAAAAGTTGTTTAGATGTATAATGTTTATCAAAAGCTAATTTCGAATTTCTATCGAAAAACTTTTTTTGAGAATAAGATAACTAAGAAAACTCATTTAAGGAAAATTCATGTTTCATGCGTTGATCAAGCCAAAACGGTTGAATATTATTTTCTATGTGAAATAGGTTTTGAATCATATGGACACTGACATTTTGCTGTCGCACCGCAGACTTTCTCTGAATGGATGATTCTCTTCAATATAAAGCAGCAATATGGCGTCAAGTAGGTTGACTGCGCATTTCTTGCGCAAACCAAAAAAAAGTAACTACGATCATATATAACAAGGCATTAAATGGATCAAGTCAGTCAAAAAATTCCATACAATTAGTCCATAATTCCCACAAATTTGACAACATTGCGACCTATATAGATTTTTCTCCTGTCGTACCAAGAGTACGGACCATTTGGGAACGTTGACATTGGCGTAGAAGGCTGCCAGGGAAGGCCGTGAAACTTTGCGAATTCAGCATGACGTTGTGCCTGATTTTCAATAAGTTTGGGTGCAGATACACCTCTTCTCTTCAAAAAGGTTTACAATCTCTTCACGATGATTGCCCTCCGAAGAAAATTTCCTGCGGGCGCCTATAAACGTTAACTCCTCGCTCGTCAGCCACGTCACCACGGCAACCTTCACTGAGTACGAAACACCACATCTGATCATGGAATCACCGGGGCTGGAAGCATATTCATATACTAACGCCAAACGATTGAGATATACCCTCCCCCATACCGCGCAGCCCCTAACCCCCAATTTTTAACCCCTAAAAATATTTTTGTGAAAATGGCCAGGAGCCTCTGAAACGTCAAAGTTTAAAGTTGAACTGATTTTATTTTTTGCCTTCAGCTTCGCCGACACTGGACTGATTGTCATAAACTACAAAGCTTTTTCATTCTTGGCATAGTCCTCATGTCAAAATTTCGTCAACATCCGAGCGGTACTTTCCATGTTGTAGAATATAGACGGACCAAGGATTAGCGGGCAAACAGATAGACTGACTTACCGAAATGAGTGCAATAGTTTTTCATAATGTATATGCCATGTAACATCCATTTTCCTCGTCCATGGCGTCAGAAGTAAAGCAATAGCAAAAGTGGTTTATCGAAAGTTTCTGTCTTGAAATCACTTTTATCTTTGAATTATGCATTTTCTTTAATTCAGAATTTTGTCTATACATTACTAATTAAGTTCAAATATATTAGGATCGCCGGTATTCTGCATTTAGAAATTTCAATTCTTATATCTTACCCCCAGTCCCACCTCCTGAGAGATTTATCGATGAACCTCCACCTCCTGAGCCTCCCATGGATCCGCCACCTCCCTTTGATCCGCCACCTCCCATGGATCCACTGCCTCCTCCCTTGCCTCCACTGCCTCCTGCCATACCTCCACTGCCTCCTTTCATAGATCCACTGCCACCTCCCATGCCACCGGAACCTCCTGCTATCACACCAGAGAGTAGTTATATCAAGTGAATACACTTCGTGGAATGTCTTTATAATCCACCAGTCAGCCCCATTGACCTTGGGAGTCTTCTGCATTATAGCAGAGAAGCTGATCGCATTTTTTTGTTACAACATCGTGTTCTGATATACGATAAAAATTAGTTACATCTTGCGCATAGTTTGATGCTAAACAACAAACTTATCGAGCTTGCTGTTGTTGCGATGTAACCAAAACTTTTCGGTTGGCTCTTTGACTCAAACAGGCTTGCAAATGAACACAGCGATCTATGTGCGGACTATCCTTGATTAGACGATTTGCTCTGAGATGACTCCACCTATATCAAGGCTGTTTTGCCAAACTGCCATAAGATGTGTGTAAAGCGCTACATTTATACTGAATTAAATTCCGTTCCTTTCTTCTAGAGGTTACGTCAGAAAGCCATACGAAATAAGTATTAAACATATTGTACGCCCTCGTTTAGCTGGGATCCTGAGTCGACGCTTAGGAAGTCAATTACGCGACCGTATGTAGGCGCTTGGGCGCTGTCTAAAAAGTTCTAGGCCCACTAGACTATAACCATGGAAGTTCACGACTTGACCTGGAACACGCTGGAACATTTCTCGACGCGGACAGGGTGATAAATACCCAACCAGATGGCAGAACCAGTTAGTCCAAGTCGAGACAGTCAAACAACGCGAAATGTCGCAGTCCAGTCAACATGGTTATAAATTGTCATAAATTAGTATGAGTGTTAATAAGACAGTGTGAAACTAATAAATTAGACTGTGGACAGTAAAAACGGCGTTTATCGTCTATAGGCCAGGCTGTCTAGATAACTGGCAGCCATGTGAAGTAGACCGACGATTGGACAAGTAAGCATTTTGAGGTCAGTCAACTTGAAGCTGACGTTCCCCTTTTGTTCCTAAGTTAAATGCTGTAATATTTCGTGTAAGGCCCTAAAAGTTAAATAGCTATATGCTAACTTACAGCAGATTTTAAGAATATCTGATTTATAACTTTATTGAGCAAGTTGAGAGGGCCGTGGATGTATACTTTGACGGTGTATGACAAGTGTGTAATCGTGTAAACATCAGAATCAATAAATAATACGATCTTTTACGCACTCTCAAATTTTTCGCTCAGGTCATAACACTCCTCTTAAAAAGATTGACCAGGTATTTTGACTTTTGCTATACAAAAATATCGATTTTTATTACTATACACTTGAGTGTTCCTTAATGATATGCGAATATTCAAGGGTTTATGTTGTCAGTTGTTGTTGTTCATTACCCCTAATGTGTTTAATTTTTCCAGTTAAATTAATAATAATTTTGCAAGTTAGACAATAGAACGGTTTTTATTTTTTTACTCAAAAATGGCGCATCGAAGAAAAACAATTTAAGAGAGATGATTTGTTTTAAGTTGAACGGGGAATTCAAAAATAATTTTTATTTGGCAAAAAACTATTGACGTACCATTTTTTTCTTAAAAAATATCGAAGTCACTACCCGTACGCACGTCACTGTTAAAGCTAAAAATTATTTTTGCATCGAAAAATATGCAACTTTATTAACTTTCACTACGTACTAAATATCAGTGAAATATCTGAAGCGGTCCTGAAAATATTAATTAATTTCCATTTTCTTCGTAAAACTTCAACAACCAGAGTTTTTGTAAGGGAACATTTTTGGATCATAGTTTATAAAGCAAACTACCATTAATTTTTCATGTAGATTCACACCTTTAAATATTCGCATATCATTAAGGAACACCCTGTATACATGGTGGTGGGAGCAACTCCGCTGTTCAGATATCAAGGACTGGCAATCAAATTCAGAAGTGATGCTTAACCCTATGCATTTTCAACTATTTAATTTTTACTTACCATAAGTGAACAACACTGTAAAGCCTTAGTTTTCTAACACATTGATAAAACGGAAGCTTCTTAGTGATAGCTAGTGTATTTTCGTTTTTTATTTAACTGGCTCACAGTTACACTGTTTAACTGAAGAGTACTGTAATGGAGCTAAATTGTTTCCTTACCTTTACCAGATGATCCTATCGTTTTTCCACCTAGTCCGCACATTTGCCAACTACCTTTTGTCAGAGGTCCTAAGGCAAGATGTAATCCTCCTAATGTGAAAGAAACGCCTAGAACAAAACAATTGATAAAAATGGATGTAGAGACTTTGCTCTTTCTGAAATATACTAAGTGACATATAAAATGCAACACCCAGAATTATTTCTTGAATTTCGATAAAAACTTATAAACCTATTTTCTATCACGTTAAATTATATGACTTGTACAAAGATTATTTCTCTCAAATGTCAGGTTTTATAGAATAGAATAGGATAGGTGTATATTTAGCTTTAAGCTACAGTATTACATTAACAGGAACATAAAAATCACTTGGATCTGAAATATAAAGTCCTTAGTTTGCTGTTGTTGCAGTGTTTAGTGGTAAATCATTAAAATGTTTTAAACCTTCAACAAAACGAGATTTTTCCAATGTTCTGATTTTGAACCTTTCAATATAATAATTGTCTTTTGACCTTATGTCATATGATACCATACCAGATCTTATCAACATAAATTTGCTCAAATAAGTTGGTGCGTTATTGTTTATAATTTTATTTAATAAAATCAAGTTTGCCTCTTCTTCTTATTGCAATTTAATATTTTTCTCTATTGAACTCAATGTAGCCCATTCTGGAATTGCAATTTTCGTTGGCGGTTTTGGTACTTCGAGTAGTATTTGGCAAATGTTGTCACGCCTTAAATTCAATTCATCGTCAGAACATTTGGTTTCAACAAGACAACGAGGCGCTACTTGCAGCACACCTCCTGAAACCATGGCTCTATTACGACAGCAATTTCCCGTTTCGGACCAATGAATTGACCGCCTAGTGTCTGCAGATCTCATTTACTCCTTGTGAAAAAACAAACATCACTGCGCCCCTTTGGCCAGTGAGCCATAAATGCCTGGGCAGGCAACGACAAGTGAATATGATCTGCGATCAAGCGCTTATGTTTGTTTTGACTCGCAGTAGATTAGATTACAGTGAGTGTGGTGCGGCATCTCTGGACTTATGTCCTTTGAGGCTACGTCTACATGGATATGAGGATACGATTGAGGAATCAAAAATCAGCATTATACTCGTAGTAGAGGAGAGGTTTGTAGTATGGTAACATCATACTGTATAATACAGGGTGTTTTAGTTTATTGTTGCATAACTTTAAGATCCTATAGAACTTTTAAAATTAATGCATAAAGTCTATATAAACATGGGTCGAAAAACGCGTGGCTTCCGAAATGCAGGGTGTTTAAGTTTACTTTTTAAAATAGTTTTTTTTTTAATATTTCGAACAATATTTGATGTATAACAGTGAAAATTGGTATACAAGGGTTTTTTGGTACGACAAAACGAACCATGGTTCGATGCATTTTTAATTATTTATGGGAAAATAATATTTTTTTTACATTTTCGATTTGGGCATTACAAGTAATTAAGATGATCGTTTAGATTGTGGTTTTAAACACAGCAATAATTCCTAACTCCAAATAAAGACAAAAAAACAGAATATTAATTTGTTTAATTTTACAATATTATTTTTAATAAATTAAATTAATTATTTACAACTAAAATCCTATTGGATAGTTACGATAAACATACAAAACCTGAAGTAGTTGCTCGAAATGTAAACCTAATTGTTCAATACACAATTCACATCTACGAATGATCGAACGTGGTATAGCATTATTCAAATAAGGCCTTATTTCATCACATGCATTCCTGATTCTTCTATTAGCATATCTCTTGTGGTTACGGGAGTCTGGTACACTTTTTCTTTTAGAAATCCCCACACAAAGAAATCTAATGGATTTAGGTCAGGGGATCGTGGAGGCCAGGCGACTGGTCCTCCACGGCCGATCCATCTTTCTTTGTAATTTTCGTCCAGCCAGTTTCTAACTATTCTCGAATAATGAGCTGGACAACCATCAAGCTGGAACCAGGCCAATCTTCTTAAATCCAACATAACATCATCCCACCCTTTAAAAATTCCAAGAAGGTCGCAGCATTTAACCTTGCAGGCAACAGGTAGGGTCCAAATAGTCGATTACGGTAGATACCAATCCACACGTTCACACTAAATTCATGCTGAAAATTTCTTTCCCGAACTGCATGCGGATTTTCATGCGACCAAATATGTTGATTATGAAAATTTACCACTCCACGTCTAGTGAAGCATGACTCATCGGTCCATAAAACGTTACTTAAAAACTCCCTATTATTATCAGTTCTATCAAGAATCCACTGACAAAATGTGATTCTTCGTTCTCCGTCCCCTGGCTGTAGTCCTTGCACAGGTAGCAAATGGTAAGGACGTCTATGGTCATTTCTAAGAACACGGTGAACATGGCTTGCTGAAATTCCCAAGGCACCAGAAACTCTCCTAACACTTGTGGTCGGATCTCTATCAAACTCACGCAGAATCATACGGGTAAGTCTGCGCTGACGAACATTCATGTTTTGATCCCTTTGGAGATTTCCAAAACCATTTTCAATTATTTGGCGATGCACTCTTACAAATACTGAGCGAGTTGGATGACGTCTGTTTGGAAATCTTCGTGCGTATTATCTGGCTGCTTCTGCTGCGTTTCCATTTACAAAGCCATACACAAAATGAATATCCGCTAATTCTTGATTGGAGAATAAAAATGGCATTTTTATAAAACATAAAAAAAACAGGTAAAAGAAACTAAATTCCGTGCATTCACAATTGCAAAAAACGTTTCAGGTTTCAACAGACAACAAAACTAACTGTCAACTAATTGACGTTTAACCTTATTCTGCTTTCAATTTCAAAAATATTTGCAGGCGCAGACTATTTGCAAAAATTATCGAGATACTGACTTTTTAACGTTATTTTATCATAAATAATTAAAAATGCATCGAACATTAAAAATCGAAATATCTCAAAAAACGGCTAACTATAACGAAAATTCACAAGAGAGCTTTTTTATGTTGAAAAGTGCGAAGACTCAGTTTTTTTATTCAAAAAGCAAAAAATTGCACTAAGTGCACTAAGAACACATATCTTCAAATGTAAAAATTGTAAAGGACAATAAGGAGATAATCATTCATAAAAATAAGACGAAACGTTATTATTCATGTACAGTGAAATCAAGATGTTAGGAACTAGGCATTGGTATACGTAGTTAAGTATTAAAAGGGACGTGCTTTCTTATCGTATATCCTATTCTTTTTCTATCTCTCCTCAAACTTATTTTCTTCTACTTATTTTTCATTTCCAGCGTATAGTTTGATAGTAATTAAGAAATAAAGTTTATATGCATACAATGTTTACAAATTTGTATATACAAACTTTATATTTTTTACTCGTCGTGCCATAAAACATTCTCAGCGAGGTAGAAGAATTTTCATTTCATTAGAAAGAAAATTCTTTTGAATATCGGGGGAGGTGTAGTACGGTAAGATCATACTGTATAATATATTGTTATCAGAAACTTGTTAGGTATTGGCAAGTAATATAATTCACCGGAAATGCTGCCCTAGGCAGAGGAATGACCGAGATACCTTGCAGTACCTATCAATATACATTGTTAGAGAGAATACAGTTAATCATCCTGAAATCAAGTTGTGTTACTTAGGGTGCAAAAGCCCAAAATAGATAAATCTATTACAGGTTAAACTGGTAGTTAGTCGAGCGTCGTAGAGGCCTATTGAGTTTTGAAGATCGGATCGCAGAAAGAAGAAAAAGTTGTCCTTTTAGTGGTAGGGGGAGCGCGTAATTGTTGTCACAAATGCAAAAAAAAGTTACATCGCAATACTGGAGCGCGTCAGATATTGATATTGCAAGGTTTGTACCGTGTGGGCCATAATTAAAGGATGTCGGCAGAATCTCAGAAACCAGTCAACCTAGAGCTACGGTTTAAAACATTTTATAACAAAAGTGGCCACGAGATTGCTGGAAATTGTTTTCAGCTTCTTGAAGTGGCCGCAAGGGCGCGTAACTCCAAGCTCTAAATTAGAAGTGCCGTTTTGTCGAAAACTTCAAATGCACGATGGTGTAAGTCATAAAATCCCCTACTCGCATCATTCGCCAAAAACCGCTCGAAATGCACTGACCCATCATTGGTAAGTGAATTTCCAAAATGAACCACAGTGATGGACATCATTTGAAACAGTGATTTCCAAAAAATGTGTCATTAACACTTTTTTTGTTTGATAATGAAGATAACCTAACGCTACTGATTTTTTTCGTTCCTGTATACTTTTGAAAAAAATACTTCTAAATGAATCGCACATGATATATACAAGAGCTTTATAAGACAAAATTTAGCTTATTATACGAAGCTCTCCATTAAAACATTGGTAGCTATGCCATTTGAATCAAGGGATTTCAGAAGGTATCAGAGATAATTTTGTAGAATGACTAGGAGATCTGTCTTGTGCAGAGTCAGGTTCCAGAGAAGTCGCCTTGTGCTCAATATGCATTTGGGGTAGGTGTTCGAATGAATATTTTCGATGTAAAAATACGGTTTCGAGAAAATTAACCCGCATATGTAAAGAAAAGTACTTAGAAGAGTAGCTTACCTGTCTTGTTACCTCCATCCCTGACTTGATGGTATGCCTCGACCCATGCTAGAAGTACGTTCAATATTTTGTGGAACAGTGGTACGAAGAACTCCTGATGTTGCATGATAATTTGGTCCATGAATACACCTAGTTCATTCAATTGGTCCATATTTGTCACCATGAACCATGTCCTGAGATAAATAAGTTAAATTAGATGGAAACTGGTCCAAAGTTATTGACAGGGTGTCTTTGGAAGATCAGCCTGTTCCACTTTCTCTACTTGTATATGCTAACCTTGTATTAAATAAACTAATAAACACTTAATCATTAGATACTTTAAGGTGTACTTTCCAAAAATCATTGTGATAATATTTTATTGTGGATATTTCCCAACCGCTTCAATGGAAAGTCAGCATTTTGTCCCCGAAAAGTATATTCTTTCACTTTTTTACTACGAAGTGGCAAAACTTACCCTACAAAATGAAACGTTAAATTCCACGTCAAAATTGATAGGTTTCGAGATATAAGCGATTTAATATTTGAGAAAGTGCAAAATATGACATCTTCGACCTCAACATTTCCTCGCCAGTGGCGTGGGAAGTAAAGAACAATATGAAGAAACAAATTTTTTTCAGATATTCATGTTCCCATTGATAGGATTCTAAAGCATTTTAGGAGATATTTTTATAACAAATCTTTGCTTTTCCATTGTTTATCAAGCACGGGCTCAATATACAGGGTGACTTCGAAGTTGAGTCATTTATTTTAACAGTGAGTAGATCTGATCAAAAGAAATGTTTTTTCCTTTAACATTTTTCTGGTAAAATTAAAGTAACAAAGTCATAGCCCTTTAGAAGTTTGAATACCGCCCTGTCTCAATAATAATATTATGTGCTCGTGTCTGGCAACAACGGATATAATCCGCCTTATCGGTTCATCGCATCGGAAACAAAAAAGCGAAAGAATTTGAAACGCTTATCACGATGTTTTTACTACAATTTTATTCAGTTGTATTCATTCTGTCAGTCGGTAACGCGTGAGTGAATAGTGGTGTTTGTTGCGTGGCTCAAACGAAATAAAAAATGGCACATGTTTACGAAAATGCTGAACTTGTGGACATGCTTTTTATTTACAAAATGCTGCCGCGGCATCACGGATTTATGCGGATCGGTTTCCCAATCGAGTGCAACCAACTCTTCGTGCCTTTGTTAATGTAGTACAAAGGGCTCGTGAATTAGGTGACTTAAGACCTCACAGGGGAGGGCATGCTGGTGCTCCTAGACCGCACGATCAAATACAGATCCGCACTGAAATACTTGCCGGGAGGATACTTTATAAAACAAGGTAACATTTTTTTTTTTATTTTTACACACATATTTTGGTTTATCTTCACCCTACAATCATTATCTGAAAATTAATGACTCAACTTCAAAGCCATATTATATTATTATTATTATTATATTTATATATTTATAGGAATTTGATTTTGCATAAATTGTCTGTGTTGTGAACTTTTCGTAACACCTTTCCTTTTGGACAAAAATAAGTTGAATGTTGAGGTATAATTCGTCTACTGTGAAATCCATATAACACTGACGTCGTAATGTATATCTTAGAAAGAGATAGAAGCAGTAGGTTGCCTAGCAACCCGAGTGACGAGGCCACGGACGCAGGTGCGGCTTGCTGAGTTGTCATCCGCGCACTCTTTCTAACATACGTATTGCATGCTTTTCGTGCTTCTCTCTCGTACACATTTCGACGGCAGTGTTATATGGATTTCACTGTATAAGATTTAAATCCACTCTGCTTTGGAAATTAAAATTTGATTTTCAACATTGTATGCAACGTAAAAACTCTAGCTCCCTGTATATTGGTAAAAAAACATTCTAATTATTTTGGATGCACATTGATGATGAATGTTTGTTCCTACTACTATTAAGTACACACTACAAATTTCAGTCTGTTATTGAAAGCTTACTGAGGATTCGATAAAATGTTATCCCTGGATATTGTACTAATAAGAACCTATGCAAATATAAGATGGATTTCATCCACTTTATTTTAATATATCTTGAATAAACACAAGTGCTACCTTAAAAATACTGGACGTGGTGAAAGTTAGCAAACATCTGCATTACCTGAATTGTGCCAACAAGTGTACAAATGTCCTAATAACGGGTAGTCTGAGAATTCCTTGTACGATGGGCTTAATGTGGCTGAGTCTGAATCCGCCACTAGCAATCTTCTCCGCATTTGTAAGACCAAAGGCAGCACCCTTGAAGATCAAATTAAACGTAGCCTTTATACGTCCCATGATGAACCCGGCGATATCTCCCGCGCCTTCCATTCCATCGATCTGAACTGAAGCGAGGTGCTTCACGATCCAACCGATGACACCTGTGGATTAATTACATTGTTCAAATGTTCCGTTTTGGCAGCAGGATGGAAACAGTGTTAAAATAAAACAGCACCAGAATCGACCACTGCGGATAGCGCATATAAGTGGTCAACTCTAGTGTGATAGATTGCGCTGTCGAATTTCGATATACCGCACCTCCGGTATAAAGGGTAGTTGCGATGCTTTCGTTCATTTGTCCAGAGACCAAGCCTACGGCATGCTGATGGTTGGCTATCTTTTTGGACGGAGGAAAACCTCATGTTTGGTTTGGAAAAACAACGGTTCTATTTGAAAATTTTAGATGAAGATTATCGATTAAATATTTCCGATCGGAAAACAATATTTTTAAATTTTTAGTTCATTTTACGAAGAGCTAAATAAAAGCTTATTTTTAAAAATAAGAGAGATAAGCAGGATTATATTAATTATAGACGTCTCATTAATCGCCAATTTCGCAAAAATATTTGAGAAAGATCTGAAGACAGCAATTTTAAAGTTTTTAGGCATATTCAATATTCTTTCAAAATTCCAGTTTGGCTTTATGGAAAACAGATCTACGGAAGACGCTATAACTAGGGTAACATCAAGTAAAATATATAGTTTAGGTTAAATTAGGAAAAAGCTGCTTTCTTTGGGGCATATTTACATGTCGTTGTGAAAAGAAAAAAAATCATGGCTTACTGAAGTATTTGGGATAAACTAGAACCGTTTTTATTTTTTTCTGACTTTGTTTTAAGTAGTATCAAAAAATTAATGGAACTTTTTTATCAGGTAGATTTTCTTTCATTGTTAGTGACCATTCTCTCGTCGGGCCATATCATTTTTGAAGAGAAATTGAAATCTTCACACGTTATGTACCACTCACTAAAATGATGGCGCCGTTCGTTGTACTCTGGTCTAAATTATCGGCAAATCCTAAATTTATAGTGATGATATCTATTTTAAGCAAAATAAATTGGGCTGTGGATTTGGATATTCCTACATTTTTCTCAATTTGCCTGGTTGATTTTTCGCAGTTCTCGACAATTGCTTGTAAAACACTACTCCAAGTTTTCTCTAAGAAAATGGACTTTCTTGGCTGCCTCCTTCGAGTAAATTTATCAAGATTACATTTCTTCTGTATTTTTAGTATTTTTGTAGCACCAAATGTGGAACGTCAGCATGCCAAACTTTCCATTCCTCAACTGACCGCCTGGCATCTTTAACGATAATAAAGCAATATTAACAATACACAATAATAATACTCGGTGACAGGTATTTACGACAAGTTAAGCATTTGTCTACTTAAAAAAATAAAATAACTGAAAAAACGCATTTTTCTATAACCAAAAAAAATATATGCAACATATGATACATCGTTGAATTCGTATAAAAAATGCTACTAGATACAACGTATACGTTTTTTGGACAAAAAATTTAAAAACACCATCATGTAGTGCCTAAGAAGTGCCAATGGACAAGATTCATTAGACCTTTTGATATTTCTCAAAATGAAGTCAGAAAAAAATTAATGAATTGACCAAATTTTAGTTTTTTCCAAATATCGTGAAATTTGTACAGGTTTCTGAACGGCATGTAAATACACTCCAAAGATCGCATCTTTTTCCTAATTTAACCTAAGCTGTGCTTCCCACAGGTATTGAGATTCCTATGCATAGGATCAGTATCTTGTGAATCCTATATAAATAGTTTATTCGAACCAAATATAGCAGTTGAAGTAACATCCTCCGCTGATGCCACATAAATCTATACAAAGCCAAATCTTGGAAACATTTGAAAAGAATAACTGAAAATGATTTTGTTACTATCATTCGTTGGTTTACAAACAAACTGATTTTTTTCCATTCACTAAATATAAAGAATGCTTGCCCAACTATGATACATTACGGTGCGAAGTTGACAGGCACTATATAACTATAAAGTCTAAAGGAGCTAATAAATATTTTTGAATACCCGTATATAGATAAAAATTTACGATGGAACAAACAAATCAACTATGTGACAACAAAAATTAAATCACTAACCGGCAAACTTAAAATATATAAGCAGTTGTTCGACATTGAATACTCGTATTTAAAAATTTTATATTCGGCATATGTTCAACGCTGGTTTGTTTGATGTTAAGACAGTTATTTTTTGTTACGGTTACCGCCAGGCAATTCTGGTACAAAAATTCCGACGCAAATATCCCACACCACCCTTACACCAGGCATAGAATTAATAATAATATACATATACCCAAAGTTCAGATAAACAAAACACAAAAAAGTTGTACCTATCTGGGTCCTATATTTTATAAATAAATTCTCAATGGAATTGAAGAAACCTTCTTGTCTTCAAAAATAAGCTTGAGGAGTGGCTACTCAATGCTCCAGACCAAAAATCAATCAGCTATCAGATAGAACAAATATTTATAGTAATTGTGAATAGAATATACTTTTAATTTAAGAACGTAAAATACATTTGTAAACTAATTGTAGAATATTCACATATTGTTGATTTATTGTTAGCCCACGAACAAGTGCCACCTTTGTGGGGCTTACCGTTTATTTGCTACTTATTTTATTGTTACTTTAAGCAAATAAACGTTATTATCATCATTGTTATAGAAAGAAAAAGAAAGTAAAATATGCATCCTGGGCTGCGACACACCAAGCTGCTGTTCCATTGGCAATTAGCCACTCCTCACGCCGTGAGGTAAGTCACTAGTTGGTCCGCAAATCGTGTGTCCTAAGTAGAGGGTGGAACCGCGGCCGACCGCTTTCTAAATTCTTTCGGCTAAGATGCCTGCCGATGCTCGAAATGAATGAATGAATCATGAAATTAGAAGCATATCGGCCACCATTAGGAGCCGGCGCATAGGCCACTTATACGGGCCTTTGTGAACCTCTACATTCTTTAGACATCAAGCCTCGCCATTCCAGTATGGCCTTGAGTCCAAGCTCCTTAACGTCCTGGAGGTCCAAAGTGATTTATCCCAGTATAGCCTGCCTGTGGTAGCTCAGACCTTCCCAGCTATACAGAATGTGCGCCAAGGTCTCTTCCTCTACCCTGCAGCGCACACACAAGAGATCCTCAACCACCTCCATCACGTGCAGGTGAAGTGATATTCAGATCATCCCTGCCCAGAAGGACAGGATACTCCTTTTGGAGTTCGATTAAGAAGGCAGAGTGACCCTTGACAGGATTCAAGAAGGCCCAGCTGCCCTGACTCCACAATCGATGTGAAACTACTCTCGCTTCATCGCGGATCACCAAGTAGATCCAACGATAGGAGATCCAGCAGAGCTTCCATTGCACTCAATGGCGGTGTTCTCACCGAATGTTGAATTTTATTGAGTGTGGCCTTAGTTGTCTCAGTTCCAGTGTAAAGCCACCAGGTCTGGGAGCCGTACAACAGAGATGGACGAACTATCGTCGTGTAGAGCCAGTGTACGACTTTGGGTGTAAGCCCCCAGCTTACACCGATAACACGTCTGCAAGCTCACATTGAATTGCGAGTCTTGTTAACCTTGTATTCAACATGCTCTCCCCAGTTCAGTTTGCGGACCAGGATAATTCCTAGATGTTTTTCTGATTGGGATAGAACTAATCTAGTCCCAAAGACGGTTGGCAAGACAAGCCTGTCAAGCTTCCTTCTCCTAGTGAACAGGATCAACGTTGACAGAAAGATCGACCTCCCTACACCACGATTCCGCAATGCGCAGAGCGCCCTGCAAGATCTCAGAGACTGATCTACAAAAACAACGCCTAACTACTATGCTTAAGTCATCAGCATGGGTTGCACCCGCACTGCTGAGCTTAACGAGAAGCTCGTTCACTACGAGGCACCACAGTAGGGGTAACAGAACTCCGCCCTGTCGACAGCCCCGAGCTACACTAACGCTGCAGCTTACGTCATTCAGCATTGCTGTTGCTACCTGGGTGGATAGGACCCAATCTACTAGGATTGATCCAACCCCGTAACTAGCCAAGGCATGCCTTATAGAGTCGGTTGTAGTGCAATTAAATGCACCTTCAATATCCAAAAAGGCCACGAGTGCCACTTCCCGCTGATCCAGAGTCTCCTCCAGCCTACCGACCAGATTGTGTAAGGCCAGATCAGTCGATTTCTCAGCTTGGTATGCCAATTGATTTGAATGAATGATACACCTTTCCAGCGGGCCATCCCTAAAAAATCTATCAACTGTCCTTTACAATGTCTTAAGCACAAAAGATTATTTCTACCCGGGTTAGGATGCTCGACATAACGGTATGGATTTAATTGCAGAGAGCAGTGTATTCCTAATCGCACCAAAGGATCCAATGACCATAAATAGGAGACTGACAGTGTGGTCTGGCCGAAGCCTGCGAAGCTGATTGAGAAGCTCTAGTTATTTGGTCCGTTTCTTCTCCTCGATGTTCACTTCGGCGGGAGACGAAAATTCATTAACGAACATCGCATTCTGTTCATGGTCGAGGAGGGCTACGTCGGGCTTATTTGCCTACACCAGCTTGACCGTGGGGAAGGAGTTTTTCCAGTATGTCCGGCATTTTTCGTTTTCCACAACGGAATCCATATCCCCTGGAGCGTATGGCAGCACAGGTGTTTCATCTATACCGTAGTAGTGCCTCAAATGGTAGTTTAGCACTCGCAGAGCTGCGTTGTGCCGATATACGTAAGAGGTGACAGCATATACTTTTCACGCTAACAAGAAATGCCTAAGCGTCTCTGGCGCCTGCAGACATGATCTGCTTCTTGGCATCGGATACATCCCTACTACCGTTTGTATATCAAAGTATTAAATACAGGTACATCATCTTGGCAAGCCATTCAATCTCTGACTTTAACCAACGAGACCTTAGAAATGAGAAGGTCAGCTGCTTAGACAAACCATGCTCCTCTATATGTCTATAGAAGATTCCATGCATAGGCTTGTCTCTATGAAGTCTTAATCAGTAGTTTGCTTCAGCAGTTTTTATGTTGGTCTTCACTTGAGAGGGAGCCAGCTCTGTAATGGACTGCTGGCATTCCCGCTTAAAGTTGAGTTCCTCGGCTCCTCTTTTCACTGGCTGCTCTACAAATAAAAGCTCCTTTACCCGCATTCTCATGCTCACGCACAAAGCGGACGAGGGTGTCGGTACTCCTCACTACATCATAGGCAGTGCTCAGTAACATCCTGTCATGCAGACGCTGCAAACTCCCTGATATCTTGGAAGCTATATACATGGGACTGAGGACTTAGGATGAATGCTCATAATTTTTCGTGTTTTGGTATCGAGTTGTCGCATCTCGTCCACTGTCTAGTCGATGGCCTCGAAGGTATGCAATAACACTGAGACCACAAGACAGCTCTGATGACCAGATCTGCCTAAGTGGATGCAAGTACTTTCGGCGGTATGACTCTTTGACCACGCTAATCTCCAGGATATGGCGTTGCGCAATTCCCAGGTAGGTATATGTTCCTTCGGCATTTAGATGATGCAGAATGCTCCCGCTCTTCACCATCACCGTATCATCCTTTCTTAAGATGAACGATAGCGTATTAGCCTATCCCGAATTCCATACCATCAGCACGACTATACTCTTGCACTGCCCTGAGCGACTGCTGTAAATCGCGTTGTCCAGACGCGTAAAGCTTTAGGTCATCCATATAAAAGAGATGAGTGACTTTGTGCATCCGGTTGCTGGGCGTGCCACAGCTGAAACCTCTCACAAGTCTCAGCGTAACAGACAACGGGAGCAGTGAAATGCAGAAGAACAGGGGACTTATAGAGTCCGTTTGGAAGACCTCTCTTCTAAATGATACCAACTCTGTCCGAACTTTGGTTTCGCCAGATATGATTGTGAAGCTAGTGCTCCAGACGGGTATCAGTTGCTTAATGCATCTCACTATTTCATCGCCAATCCATGCCATCGAGAGATTTCGCTTGAACTACACATCTCCATGTTGAGGCTCAAATTTGGTTTGGAGGTGGTGAAAGCAGGTTTTTTCTGGTCCACAATATGCTCTTTTCCCTACGACATTTTCGTACGTAATTCGTTTTATCTATCAGCCGATCCAAGAAGTTCTTTATATCGAAACGGACAAAATGTTTAAGCACATCCAATCATTTGTACAATGAGAACAATTTGCTCTATGTAGTTTTCATTGAAAATAAAAGAAAAATCATGCTTTCGTGGAATTGTTAATTTTTCGTTCAATAGTACTTACTCTCAATTCTTCCGATAACACCAGCGACAAATTCGGCATCGAAGTGACCAACATTCATTCCAATCTTGAGTCCCTCACCTCCGATCATGCTGCCCGCTTTGGTAGCCCCTGATACTACGTTTTTGATGATCTTTATTGGGACGCTCATGATCCTGAATAGAGTAGAATTATAGATTTTTCAAGTATATTTTTCATTTCGCCTTGATAGTCAATAATAATAATGTTTTATATCCCCAAAGAAGTTTGTTCTGTTTCTAAGGGACTTTGAGTTATATAGGGTGTACTAAGTAGAACTGCAGTAACCGATTACTCAGAAAACAGACGTCATGAAAATTTGGATTCATACTGTAACTGATTAGACCAATTCGGCTAAAATATTTTCTAAATGGTGGCACTTCCAGTTGTTCTGGAAGTAGATACCAGTTGGCTTAGATATTTATAAAAATGGCAAATACAGGTCAATGACAACAATTTTTTCTCGTATGTTTGCCTTTGTCGCATGATTTGTAGCGGCTTACTTATAGTAGAGGATATACTTTAGTATAGATTTTACTCCGAATTTGGATAATAAATAGTACAGGGTGGTAAATTATTTGAGAAATAATATCCTGGAGAGCCATCACTTCATTCGATAACCTCCCATAGTCAAGAACAGTTTTTTAAATTTTCATCATTAATATTGTTAAATTATGCCAGCCTTAATAAGTCCTTTCAAGCTGACACATTTTCTATCGGTTCCTGGAAAATTGTAATTGTGTGACTATTTAGTTTTTTGGAATTTTATCCAACAGTATTTTGTAATATATAAAAAAACGGAATATCATATTTTCATTATTGAGATACAGTCATACTCACTTCATATCCGCATGGTATAAGAACTTAGGTATCCTGATTGGTAACGAGGCGAGTACCTTGATCAGATGTTCCAAAGAAGCTGAAATCATAATTAAGGAAGTAAGTTCTCCACATTGTGTCCAAAGGAAAACTCTCTCTGCATTATTGATTTTAGTCTAGGAAGTATCTTCGAATCCGCTTGGAAAAATGTTCTGAGTTTGCAAGAAACGGAATTGTAACTTTTTTCAGTTTTATGTATGTTGCCAAAGTTCCTAAATATTCTTCAAACACTCATTAACAAAATGTCAGAACATTCCATGGTGTATGGTTGCTATAAACCTTTGTTTTCAATTATTTATTAATCAAGCCCGCCCTCAATGTCAATGTATACGAGTATTCTGCGTGAGCACAAGAGAGAGGTGCAGCAGCTGGGATTTTCTTAATGGACGTTTGAAGAATGTTTAGGAACTTAAACAACATTAAAATTTTCGGTCGGAAATGACGTATTTTGTACTTGAATCTTATATCTCGAAAACTATCAACTTTAGAAAAAGTTAGTAGAAACCTTTTTTTTTCAATAAAATCTGAAAAACTTTGTTGAGAAATAATTTTTGATGCATGGCAATATGCAAGTTCTTTGAACAGAAACATTTTGAAGATTATGCAAGAAACAGAATCAGAATATTTTAACGTATATAGGACATAACATTTACTATATCCACTTTTCACTATTTTATTTCTCACTAAAAACAAATTCTTGGAAATGTTCAAAATGTTGATTATATGAAACTTGAAAGGTATTGAAATGTTACTTCAAAATTTTAAGGAAATCTACTGTATTGTTTTCGAAACATGTGGCTTGAATTCGTAGTTTCCGTTTTATTGTCGCCATGTTGCATAGTTTTATAAAAAAACAATCATACAAAGGTTTTAAAACTGAGCATATTGCAACTGAGTTATATCATTCATTAAGGTATTCTCCCTGAAGATATATAACCTAATACTATATTTGCACGTTCGAAAAATTATTCGAGATAAAACGAGCTACCGTAGCGTCACCTATGAGAATTTGTCACAGCTATCATTCACCTCTTCGCAATAATTATAAGTTTTTTGAAAAGTTTAGTGCCTGGTAGATGGCGCTGTAGCTCTATGCTCATATATTACTAGCTATCACTTACCTGCAATGCCTGAATGAGCATTTCCATTGATGGATATACTGCCACTCCAACTGCCTCCTCCACCTCCACCGCCGCCGAAACTTCCACTGGCACTTCCTATAAAAGTATAAGATAGAAAGTGTTAATTAAGTACCTAACCAAACTGCAACGGGTAATACATTCTAAGTCAGAAGTTTATAAATCTGAACACAGGTCCGGAGGTAGTCCGGTATGTGGTGGTAAAATCTCCAAATTTGTTTTTTGGATTATCTTATAACCCTTCAGACAATTTTGTTAAAATTTTATGAAGTGTTTTGAAAATAATGGTCAAAAATTGAAAGAAATCATCAAACAACCGCTTTACTAAAACCACAAAATTGCATGGCGATCAAGTTCGCAGGATTGAAGCATGTAAATTTTTTCTCCTTGGTTGGCGAGTTTTTTTAATTTCTATTACTACTACAGCAACAACAACAACTACTACTACGATTAAAAGAATGCAAGTATGTAGTAAAAGCGGGCATTACAATTTTAAGCGAATATGCTACTTAAATCCATTTTGTAGTAAGGTTCTTGTTATAAGGTACAATACCACTATAATATGGTAGTGCAGAAGAATTACTCAAAAATGTTTTTCCTTCTGACATAAATCTTGGATCACTGTCTTTCTGTGGATTATGTTCTACAGAGAAAGATCCCAGGTAGGCCAGATATTATTTATTGTCTAATAAAACGTGGGGCGTTGAATAGCGTTTATACATCCTCGATATCTCCATCAGAGTTGCGTAGGTTTGCTTATGTCGTGCAAAAGCCGTCTAGGTGAACATGTACAGGATGTTCCAAAAGTATGGGCATACTCAAATATCTCGTAACTAACAGAAAAATTGAATACAAAGATTTTAGAAAATCGAATGGCACATCTAGCGGTGACCTTGGATTCGACGTTGACGTTTACCTTGAAGGTTATTCCAAGGGCAAGTTGATTTTTCAAATGGAAACGCTCAATTTTGATCCCAGCGCTGAAAATGCACTTAAATTCCATGTAAAGGCAAGGTAGGCTCGTGTCCGGCAAGTGAAGGTTTTTAAGGAGAATTTTGGATATTGCAAAACCCCAAAGTTATTAACGAGTGCAAGGGTTGTCATTGCTCATTTTATCTTGTATTTAGTACCACGAAACATAACTGATGATACAAAATTTAAATAACCTCTTTCCAGCTACCGGCTGCTTCACAACATTTCATGAAAGCAACAATTGACCTTGAAATAGCCTCTAAATCTAATTTCAGTCTTGATGATATGATATTCATACCGTTGAAAAGGCTTTCTATTTCTTTGATAAAAAAATGGAGATTCTTTTTTAAAAAAATCAACTTGCCCTCAAAATGACCTCTAAGATGAATGTCAACATCAAAATAAAGTGGTGGGGGTTATTCAAAGGGATCCGTGAAAACACCATGAGCATTTTGAAAAGAGCTATTCGTGGGCTATGAATGTTATAATATTTGAAGTTTTGTTATTCCACATGTGGCCGCTAGAGGGTTTTGCGACAGAAATGGTTAATTTCCCCAAAAAATGAAATGCGTTGCTTATGGTTTTTTTATGAAAAAGTAGCTAAACAAGCTTGCGAAAACAGCATCTCGATAACTTGTTCCTAACATAAATTTTAGGCCGAAGAAAATTTTATACGGAAATCTCTTAGATTTTTTTTTTTTAATAATTTTTCTTGAATTCTATATTATTTATCAGAATAAAATCATCCTTTTTGAAAATATTACACAATAACGCTAAAAGGTAAGTAAGTAATGCTTATAACAAAAGACATATTTTTTGTTTAAATTGCATATTCACTCTGAGTGTATACGAAAAAGACAATTAATAGAAGCAGGCATAGAATACAACAAAACAGATACCTAATCAAAACATAAATAATCCTCAAATTCTCAATGGTTGTCAATAATTTCGCGTTACTTTGAGCAATTTTTGTGCTTACCAGATGCGTTTTATGAACGATGAACCTGATGATATGTTTACAGTTAATTTTGCATGTCTTGGAAAACTTTGATCGGAAGTTGGACTATTGCCATTGGATGTTAGGCTTGATACGCGAAAATAGAGAGTTATTATTTCAAATTTTTTAGACCGATGAAGCCACCTTTAATAGTGACAGGAGAGTTAATTTACACAATATGCATTATTGGCCTGCAGAAAATCCTCATTGGTTGCGTAAAGTTCAGCACAAGGGCGTTGCAGTTCAAATGTTTGGTGTGACATGGTCGAATTATTGGACCATATTTTTTAGAGCAATCTCTAAATTGCAATGTCTTTCTTGACTTTTTGAACGATCAATTACCGTTCTTGTTGGAAGATGGGCTACTGGAAACACGGCAAAACTCGTTTTTGCAGCTGGATAGTTGCCTAGCACATTTTGCTATCATTGCGCGTGAGCATATTAATGCAATATTTCAAAAGCTGTGGATTGGAAGATTAAGTTTCGATGACCTTCGCGATCACCAGACTTAACTTGTCTTGATTTTTATTTATGGGGACGGTTGAAGGACATCGTGTTTCAGACTCAACCTACAACCAGAGAAGATATGAAAAACCGGGCTTCTTTATTAAATCGGTCCTTTTTAGGGCCACAACTTAGTAATAAAAAGAAATACATACCAGAAAAATAAGTTTAAAAAATAAAAATTGAAGAGGTTTCCGTATAAAATTTTCTTTGGTCTAAATTTTAGGTTAGGAATAAGATATCGAGATGCGAGCTTGTTAGACATCATTTAGCTACTTTTTCATAAAAAATAATCCTATTGCATTTAATTATTTCGAGAAAATTAACCATTTCTGTAGGAATTTCGAAAAAAGCCCTCTAGCGGCCACATGTGAAACTAACAAAATTCCAAATATTACAACATTTGTACCCGAAGAATAACTCTTTTCAACCAGCCCAAGTTTGTTATAATCGGCTCAACCTTTTCGAAGATACAGGGTGTTTTGGTTACCCCCCACCACTTTATTTTTAGAGACACAGTAAAAATTGTCAAGCAAAAAGGTTCAGATTATCATCGAATTTAAAGATCAGGTATTTTTTGTTAGGTTTTGCGGAATTCACAGAAACGTCACTTTTTTAGATCACGATTGCAGTTCGCCCCTTAGGAGCCATTTCGGAAACTTTAAAAAATTTTCCAGATTTTGGCCGTTTTCGTAATAACTGCCGCAAGCCTCTACGATGTATAGGTTCTCAGATACAGTACCTCGCATTCTTAGTTGGCCACCCTGTACATGCAGGTCGTGTAACATTCACAAAACAATGTTTTAACTTTCTCGCCATTTTAATACTCCGTCACCCATTGGCGCGGGAAGAAATAAAGTAAAAGCGGTTCTTGTCCACTAAAGAAATCCTCACCTCCTGCACCTCCCCCACCTGATGCTCCTCCCCCTCCTGATCCGCCTCCTCCACCTGATGCTCCTCCACCTGCTTTCCAATTTCCTCCATGAACGGCTTCCTGTATCTTGTTGCCTACTGCCTTGGCTCCGCCTTTTATGTGCCCGGAAACATGATGCAAAAAGTCGGAGAGGTCGCCAAAGTCCACATGAGTTTTCACCTTGAAACCACCTACGAAAGGATACAAATGTTTGGACTCAATGATTTCATTAGCGTTGTGACAAAAAGACGAGTGCTTTTAATCCTAATAGAAACCGACGAAAAAAGCAGAGTACAAAAACTATTTGGAAATCGTATACGGGTGTTTCAAATTCAATCCTCAGCATTGGGATCTCGGAAACGCTGAATTTTATTGAGCTTGGCCTTAATTGTCTCGGTTGCAATGCAAGACGACCAAACCAAGGAGCCATACAAAAAAAATGGACGTAGTTGACACTTCGATTGTTTCACAGTTCAAACTATTACCTGAAATAGACGAAAAGAGAAACGAACTTTCCTAACAACCCTCAATACTTTTTATGGCTTTATTTGAGGCGGCAATTCAAAATAAATTGCACTTAACGCTACCACTCCTTCTCTTCTACAAGATGTGCATGATTCAAATCGTAAAATAATTACACTAATTACCGACAGGGGCTTTGGGAGCGTTTTGTTCACATTCTAACATAGTGACCGTTAACAACAAAATGAACGATCTAATAATTCGTTACTAAATGGAGAAGAAAGTAATAATAAAAGACTTTACGGCAAAAAGCTACTTGAGTACTATGCGGGTCACGAAGATACCTAATTTTATGGACACCTTATTTTACAATATGAACAAACGTGGTGCACAAACGATTAAACGGTGACGACTTAAGGATATGGTCAAATTTAATTATACGTAAATTCAATCGGCCATTTCATGAAATGCGACTATTCCATGGATTGCTCGATCGTCTCTGATTCATTAAATGGGCAATTTTACGATATGGCAATGACTACTTATCTATGTAGATGTCGTGACCACATCGTATAATTGCCCATCTCGTATTCCATAAAACATGGTATTATTAATTAGCCCCAGATCAATGATAAAGCGTTTATCGATATGTTCAACTAACACGCGACTACTTCAGGAAATGGTCAAACTTACTCGATCAAATAGTAATATAATCACATTAATTACTTATAGAGGTCCTAGGGGGGTTTTTGTTTACGTTTGTTTGTTTGTTTGTTGAAGATTTATTTAGCATTAATGCTACAATGTCAATTTTGTATAATAATTCGCTTACATATTTTTATTCAATCCATTTTCTGTAATTTTGCATTCTTGTCTGTTAAAATTACATCACTAAGCATTTTGATTATTCATAAACTGATTTTTTAATTTCAATTACTCCCCTTTGGAATATAGATTTACTATTTATGCTACCATTACAATTTTGCAGACGAAAATCTATACTGCCTCTAGTTTCGAGGTTATGATAATGACTATTTAATTTTGTGAAGTTTTCTAAATGTAGTGGTAATAAATGGTTTTTTAATTTGAATATGAAAACGAGAACTAAATAACATATGAAATTTTTCACATTCAACCACTGTAGTTCTTCTAACATAAACTTAATCCTAGCATATTTGTTTTTACGTATAATGATTCTCATAGCTTTAACTTGTAGAATTTGTAATTTTGAAAATTTGTTTTCCTTTGCTGTAAACAAGATGGTCGAACAATATAAAAAATGGAGAAGAATTATGGTGTTATACACAATTTCTTGAATACATACTAAGATTATGGGAAGAAGTAACTTATTTTTTGGATATCTTTGAAATAATGTATTCATAATGCTTGTAAAACAGTAGTTTACAATCCACATATATACCAAGATATTTAAATGATTCGACTACTTCAATTTTTTCATCATCAATCATGAGTCTAATTGTATTGTCACCGAAATGTTTCCCTATTGACATACACTTGGTTTTATTAGTGTTTAATTTGAATTTATTGAGATTTAACCAATTCATATTTTTTTAATATCACTATTTAACAGTTCTAAAGCAGTGTCCAAATGCTTATGTGCTATATATATATATATATATATATATATATATATATATATATCAATGAATCGTCCGCAAATATTTGAATTTTGCAGTGTTCTAAAATGTCAGAGATATCATTTATATAAATAATAAATAGTAACGGCCCTAATTTACTCCCCTGTGGCACTCCTACTGATATATTTTGAACGCTTGACATAATATTTCCAACTTCAATTTTTTGACTTCTATTTACTAAATAATTTTTTTAAATGATCCTTTCAAGCCATAGTGATGCAATTTCATTAACTATTTTTCCCTATCTAAAGTCTCAAATGTGCCTTTGAAGTCTAAAAATACAATACATCTCATCTATACTTCTTCTCCAATCTTCCACCACCATTTGGAGTGCCGTTTCTGTAGACCTTTTTCTTCTAAATCCAGCTTGATTTTTTGTCAAAATTTTGGTTACTTCAATTAATTCAATTATTTGTACATTATCCCTTCGAACAGCTTCTCGACATCTGGCAAGATATTAATCGGTTGCATATTTGTATACAGCTGAGAATGTTGAACTTTTGGCACAGGAGTAATGCTGGAACACCTTAATTTTGATGGGAATTCACCATGTACTAAACAATGATTCACCAATAATAATAATTTGTCTCCAATTATATTGAAACAATCATTTAGAATATTTTTGAAGAGATTCTCACTTGGATTTTTGATGTTAATTGTCCTAAATTGATTCATTGATGAATTATGGCATACTTATAATGGACATAAGTTTGGATCACCGTCATCAATCGTCTTCACTATTTGATTTACACTTTCTATAAAATAAGTGTTTATTCTTTCTGCTATAATTAATTTTTCTGTTACTACCCCATCTTCGAAATAATTCAGTAATTGTCTATTAGGGGAAACAATATTCTTTAATGTTTTCCATATCATTTTAGAATTATTTTTATCGCTATCGATCTAACGTGCCAACATGGCGGCCGTTAATAGCAAGACTACGAAAACAAGATACACGAGCACGATGGTTTTTTTTTGTTTTATGAATACCCTAATAATAAAATAATATGTTCAATCGTGGATGACCAAATCTTTAAACGTTAACGATTCAACGATATGGTCAAATTTAGTTGGCCATCGCATGAAGTGCTCGATTCTTTCATTAAATGGGCAGTTGTACGATATGACTACGAGATATAAAGTACGTACCACCTGAATCGTTGGCTTCACCCACGTTAGCGATAGTGAATTTCCTCTGACTCTTCGGCAGCTTAGACTTTGGTTTCCCTTGTACACCGCCGGGTCCGTTTGAACACTTTTTCGCTGGCACACATTTCTTTACTTTTTGGTCCCACAACTCTCCCTTTCCTGGACAGTAGCATCCGGGGCCAGGGATGCAGATGTCAGGTTTCCTCTTCTGGCAGGTGCCTTGGCATGGAGCAGCCACGCTTAATTTTCGTTTCGGCGCGCATTTGTACGTAGCGGTCACTGAAAATCGCATATTAGTTATATTCTGATTCAAATTTCTTTTATTGCCAACTAAATAATAATAATAATAGTAGGTAATAAATCATTTTGTTGGTTAACACCAAAAGGCGAAGTTCACAAATTTTGCTCTCCATTCAACGTAAGTAACATAAATTTGACAAGTCATATACGGATGATATAATAAGGATCATAACTCAATTGAGTATCTGCGTAGGTAACGAACAATGACAAGCATTTCAAGAATAAGAGGTAAAATGTTGATAAGCTTAGTATTGAGTCCCTAAGATATGAGGTTACAAGGTCAACTTAAATGTTGGGTCACTCAGATTCATTAACTCCTGTGATAAGTTGTTCATTTGACTTGTTATTTGATAACCAAAATGCCTGTCGTATAAAACCGTTAGGTGCGGCGGTGGGTCAAAGAGCTCCTCATATCTGATATTCATTTTATGTACGTGCTCCTGTTCTAATTTTATTGTACAGGAAAGTAAGTTTTTTTGACTAACATTTTGCTGAAAATTCAAATTTATTTTTCATATTGAGCCATTAGTTTCGCAAAAAATTTGCTAGAAATATGATCAACAAATGACTTTTGTATGATTTTAATTTTTCTGAAACTAGCTGCTCCTAAATACTTATGAAGAGGTAAGAAAACTGAAACAATACTAGACTTTCACATACATTTTTTTTTTGTTTCAATAATCAGATATTTCCTATGAAGATAGTTAGATAAAGAGGAATATGTTTTTTTATGTTTCTTATACCGAAGCAGCCGTTCAGGCAAAAGCCTAAATGCCAGGGCACCGCGGGTGCTATGAGGAGCCTAAAGAAATTTTGTTTATTCGATTTTTGAACTGCCTAGGGTTAGTAGAACTGGGAAAAGCTCCTCATGTAGAATGTTCACCAATCTCGATACCCTAGGAACAAAGGAGCGGTTGTTCGGCCTCGCACAGATTGCATTGCAAAGTCAAGGGTTAACTGTTGACGAAACTACAAAAATAGAGCACTTCGTCTTTATACTGAAGAAAAATGGGGTCACATTGTGGAAGAGGTAATAGATATTTTTACAAAAATATCAGAAGACTACGATATTCGTAAAAAACGGGTGGTTGGTGAGATGGTCAGTGATGCAGAACTCACACTGAAAGAACTTCAAAAAGATATGTTGAAATATCTTAACTGATTCAGAGTTGAGCTCGAGACAAGATCGAAGTCTTTTCAAAACCTTGCTTCATTATTCGAGATCGCACAAAGAAATACTTTGCTTTCGGCGAATACTGAAGAATTGAAATTAGATACATCCAAATTTACTGAGTTTTATGACGAGATACTTTTATACGAGATACCCAGACTGTGAAGTTATTGAAAGCCGGTAATGTTACAGTTTCTGATTGGGTATCTCTAGATTTTTTAAAGTTTATTGTAGAATGGGATTTTACAGAATCTCTTCCAAATCTTATGATTGCACTAAAATTGTTCGTGATGGTATGCGTGTCCGTAGCTTCATGTGAAAAGAGTTTCAGTAATCTAACATTAATAAAAAACTATTTGCGGGCAACAATGACCCAATCACGGCTTAGCAATCTTGGCATATTAGCCATCGAACACGAAGCAATACAAAATATAAATTTTGATGACGTTATTTCTGAGATTGCAGCTGTCAAAGCTAGAAAGAAGAGATTTTAATTGTAAGATAAAACTATGTTTGTCTTAGTTTTTATTATGTTTTGTTATTTGTTGAATATTTTAAATATAAATATTAAATGATCCATGAAGTTTACAAATCATATAGAATTGAATGCTTTTGAATTTCGATGGGGTGACACCACCAACTTCCGCACCGGGTGCCACGCAAGGTAGCTACGCCACTGTGAAATGTTCACGATAGTTCAAATTTGTTTCATTTACCTTTATTTCGAAAATTTTGGTCGAGAATAATTTGCATTTGTATGATTGCAGAAACTGGATGCGATCGAAAAACTAAAACAAGACCAAGCGCAAGGAAAACCTCTACAAATCAATCAACTCGAGAAGATCAAAGGCGAAACGGCGCTGTTGGAAGAATTACAAAAACTCACAATGTCATTATTTTTTTACCGTTTTATTATTCATGTTTTTAATAAATGATATTACGACAGTTGAATAATAACAAAATCTATTTTATTATCGTGCTGTTTTTCAGTCAATCTCACTACCCAATTTTTTCAACTCGGAATAAATAAAATCTCATGCATTACAGTGCGGATTGAAAAAATACTATGCACAATACTATTCGTCATTGTTCGTCAGAGCGGTCCGGTGGTCCTTTGCTCTTAGTTAAAAGTCTCGTCGGTCTGTTAGTCTGTCAGGTCTGGCTACCTAGATACCAAACATGTTTAAGGGGAAAAGGAAAAGAAGGAAAGAAAGGAAGGAAGAACTAGAGCAAAGAAAAGGAGTAAATCATTTGAAATAGCTTAAGCATTATTGCTTTGACTACTCGAATAATTTTGTAACTCCAAAAAATTATTTTGATCAGTTTTGTATACTGAAATAGTTTTGGCTGGTCTGAATTCACAATTTAATTTTGAGGTCTAGTCTATATCTGTGCTCAAATTTAGCGAAATCATATTTATAATATTAATAGGGAAGTAGGGATATTCATTTACCACTATAAAAAGACGTCTTTCGTACCTATGGTATTTTTTTTATCGCTACAATATTGGACATTTATTTGTTGTTCACCTTCATTATTCTTTTATTATTAATCCAACTTCTCCTCCCAGGATTTGCTAATGTGAGTAAAGCCGATGAGTTAGACAACTTAGCGCCATACTTCGACGATAAGATATCAACGGCAGTGAAGGCAGAATATAGGTTGCGGTGTGCGAAGATATCGTCCATTGATCAATCAACCGAGGTTTTAAAACTGTTGGAGTATTGCAATGGAAATTATTTTCACGGAACCTATCACGTCCTGGACATTTTATCGGAAAAAAAATGTATAAAGTTACTTTTTTGATAGTACAGGTCAAAGTTTTCGAGTTAAAGGTGTTATTCTCAGGTTTTTACCACATTATCTTTACACATATACATAGATGAATAAATCTATAGATCTACAATAATTTCATAATTTTTTCTATTACATTGATTTATAAAATCATAAGCCTATGTTGACTCCTTTCCTTACACTAATTCGTGCTTAACTGGTCTGCCAATGGCATCACCGCGTTCAAAATCGAGCTTTTCGTATTCACCGGATTAGACTGCTGGTCTAGATAATCTACTGGTCGAAAAAGCTCCATTGGTTTTGAATGGCAGGGAAGTTATGAGCAAAAAACGAGAAACAGAACGTTCCAAAATTCCATTTTTTCGAGTATCTAGTCAGTATAGTACGTAGTCTAAACCTCTAAAGGAAGCTCAAAAATTTTTAGATCAGCTAGGATTTCACTACTCCTTGAAAACGCTTAGACTGTCTATGCAACTAAGCTCATCTACTTGACACCATTTATTTTTATATTTTATATTTTAGAATGTGCTGGTAATTTTGATAAGAATTCCAAAAAAGTTGCAACTATAGCAAGAAAAAAATATTATATTTGGAATCGACCCAGCTAGAAAAGAGTAACCGTGAAAAGGATAATAATTATGGGCTCTTTTATTATGGAAGTAATCGCTGGGATTGTGAAAAAACTTTGGCACATGACATACAAGAAAAAGCCTTGTAGCTTTTGCCCGCACATCCACCATTTCTGATGAAAATCATTGCCGGGCACTAGCACATCCATCATTTTTAACATGCCCATACTGTCCCAGTTACTGAAAACTAAAAGTCTAGATTTCAAAGTGAGTAATTTAAAACAAAGCAAAAATTACTACGAGCAATCGGACATTACTCAATACCTTGACCATTATAATATCCTTTAGTACAACTGTGCAAATTGTACTCGAGCAGTGAAATAAATTATAACTGGCACATTTATGATCTCCATTTTTTACTAATAACATACTTGTCAATCATTGTGATAAAAGTTATCGAACACTATACCTAATTGGTTAGGTAATTATGAAAATTTATCACTGGAGTTTTTTCTGACGTATTAATGGTATTAATGGTTCAATTAACTATTTCTGTTAGATTAATATTAGGCTCCAACCGTAGTTACGGCCACATTCGGTCTTCGGCCAAAAAGGCCCAAGGTGGCTTCGCCCCAATTCCAAAACATTCCCCAAAATTTATTTGCTGCCTTTATCGCTCTCTCTCGGACCATAACTGGGATAGTTGAGTACCTCGCTGTCAAGTTCGACTTCCTGAACATCAATCATCCCGCTTCAGAGGTAGTTCTCCTCGGTGATTTCAATGCCCATAATGAACTTTAGTTGGGCTCAAACAAAACCAAAGCAGCAGGTCGTGCAGGTAAAGCGCTCACTATTATCCAAGGGCTGACCCAACTGGTGACGAGTCTTACTGTTTTCCCGCGCGTTTCATCACATGCCAGTAGCCTGCTGGATCTCTTTTTGGCCACGGATCATGTCCCTTACAGCACTGCACTTCTGTCTTGTCTCTCCTGGTTTCTATCAGAACCTGCTGTGTGCTGACGCGGATGTGTCGACTGTCTGTTCATCGGAGAAATACATTCCTCATATAGTGAAAGTGCAATGGTCCAACGGCTGATTCAACAAATCGTACGACTCTGCTCGCTAGCAGAAGATCAAGGCACACAGAACCTTCTGACATACAAAACCCCGCTGTAGAGAACAAACTGTTAACGTTAAAGGGTTCCCTACACTATGCGGGAAGTAACATTGCCATCAACAAAGCTTCTGGCCTGGAATTGATTCCTGCCGTTGTATTGAAGAGGTGTGCTGTGGAGCTTGCTCCAGTTCTTTCGCGTCTCTTCCAGATATCTTACGAATCCCGCACCTTCCCAGAAAACTGGAGTTTTGCTCATGTCCAGCCCATACAAAAAAAGGACCTGAAACTGATCTTTATAACTACAGGCCTACAGCTTGATGTTACTAACTTCCATCCTATGGCCTCTCAGAGAAACTTTCCAGATGGGTGGCTGACTTTCTCTCTGGCAAGATATCCGTCGTAATTGACAGGTCCTCCTCTTCATCTCACAATATGTAATATCTTACATATCAGCGACCTCCTTTCCTATACGATCAACCTAATCCACAGCTTTGCTGATGACAGCACTCTACATGCAGGAATTCAGAGTGACAAGCCGATCTCTGCCGGTGAGCTGGAAAACAGAAGACTAGCGGCGACTCCTCTCTGACGAGAGACCTGGATGTTACCACTGCTTGGGGACGCAACAGTATGGTACAGCTTAGTGCTTCCAAAACACAGTACTGTACCTTGACGAACAAAAAGCGACCTAGCGCTCATCCAGTTTCGATGGATGGACGAATTCTGTCAAAGAGCCGTTTATTTTGGCTTGCTCAAAGACCAGATCACCGAGGACTTTATCTGGCACGAACACATCTCCTGAATAGCGCCAGCTGCTGGGAAAAGGCTAGGCTATTTGTTTCGAAGTTCTTTTCTCCGCATACATGGCCCAGGTAAGACCTAACCTCGAGTATTGCTTACACATTTGGTGTGCTACCGCCCCGATTACATTATGTATGCTCTATGCTGTCCAGAGGAGGGCTGCCCGATGAATGATGACTCTTAAGAGTAACCAGGCTGAGTCACAATCTACAGGAGGCAGGCAACTTTTCTACTAACCTTAGACAGTTCAAAAAAATATATAATTCCTTAGCTCTACACGTACAAATCTTTTATGAACTGATGGCAACGTTGCGTGATGGGATGTGCTGTGTCAACCTACTAGACGCAATTTTTTAGTAACGAGCAGTATATCGTGCGTGCTCTGAAAAACTGTGGAGATCAATTGCTTGAAAAGTATGCGTTAGGTAATTATGGACTATAAAATTATAGAAGCAATTCGTCTAATATAGTTTGAAATAGTGTGGCACTTCCGATTATACATTATCGTTTCTCAGATTGAGTCGATTTTCGAATATCTCAGACTGTGATAAATATTCAAGCAATCGATCGTTGAACACCCTGTATTTCAATAATGAATGATACTCAGAGAGCTTTTGCCTATATAGCAATCTTCTTGCATCATGTAGAGTAATAAAAAAATGTTAGTTTGCTATAAAACAGTATACAATAACGTGTTCTAAACCTGACATCTCTCCTAAAGCGGACCCCTAGTCTGATTGGCTGTGCATTGCCTGAAACACCATTGCTGTCAAGTGTAAATAGTAGCTTATGTATCTACCATGCTTTTCGCATCACATATTGTGTCCATGGTTATGTACGAGTATTTTGATATTGGGAAAAGTTTCTAGGCAGTCTTGCAATTTTCATTATTATTCCTATATATTTGCAATTAAGCATGTATACGTATACATTATACAGGTCGATCCAGGAAAAATTGGAAAAATTATTAAATAGAAAATGCTTCCAAAGATAACAAAAAAAATCCTAAATGTCCTAGATGTCCAATTTCCAAGATTCATTATGTTGTAAATTTTCTTGCCACTGAGTACTGATGAAACTGATTAAGGCCAAAACTTCACTATAGTCCTTATGCCAAACTTCACTGACTTCAGCATATTTTCAAAGCACGATATGTTGACATTTTTTATACGAATTTTACCTCTAAAACTCAAACCAGTATTTCTCCAAAAGGAATGGTCTAACAAAAGTTTGTCGATAGTTGAGATTTATTTAAACTTCAACCTATTATCCAAAGTCATGTTTCAAAAAAGTCGTAGAAAATAATGCTCATTTATCTTCAATTTCTACTCCTTTGTATGAATATTTTTGTACCTGTATGTATTGACTATGATGTTAATGCTACTTTTACAAAGTTTTAAGTCAATATATTTACACACTCCGAAAATATATTCTTTTTCAATCTCTGTTTATAAGAAATGTTCGTGTTATTTTAGGATCTACTTTCTACCCCAGAAAGATTGCCACGATTCTGAACCATCCGGTATATTTTATTAAATAGCAATTTTGTTGGGTCAACAAGTTTTTGGTTTTAGTCTCACAAATAGACTATTCTTTTAAAACATCTTCTCAAGTACGAAAAGTATAATTACAAAGCAAGTAAAAGGAAATTGAATCTTTTTAAGCTATTGATGCCTTTTGTATTAAGAAAATGAGATGGAAGAAGTCGTGAAGCAGAAAAAGAGGTGTATGCCTGTCATTTTTGTCGCTAAGTAATAATTGGAAACTATGTATCTGCTTATCCTTACTCAAGAATAAAATTTAAAAGTTAACTACGCATCTAGTTTTAGCACCTAACTTTCAAATTAAGGATATGTAACGTTTTTGGAAACTACAACATTTATTTAAAATAATTTTAAACTATAACTTGTGAAAGTGACAAGTGAATGATGCTAAACATTACAAAGTAAACGTCATACGTTCTTAATCACTTTGATCTATTATTTTATTGTAAAATCTTACCTGCATTATATTGAATAAATATAGAAATAACTACAGCTAATACACATGCATTCCTGAACATTTTGTTATACGTTTTGTCCTAACCAACCATATATAAGCGTTTATGATCATACAGACGAAGTTTTTAAGACTGGCAGGGCTTCTGCCACTTCTTGACTAATGGTTCGATTCTCTTGCAAACGTTTTTAAGGGCAAAAGATAAGGTTTAGCGAAAATAGTGATAATTGGCTCGCTAATTATCAGACATTTCGTCAATTTAGATAGTTTTGACATACGAGTTGGTTACTTAGTTATGATAAAAAGATATCAATTTTTACAGTAACAAGCATACGTAGATCGTTTATTGATAGCGGAGAAAATTACACATATTTGGAGGCAAAAGTTTACGCAAATATACCTTAATGACTCGTATTTCAAAAATTATCCATGGAAAATTTTGAAAACTACACATTAACGCGGAAAGGTAGATAAATGATTTGCTGGAATGAGATACGGTATAACATCTGGCGCGTTTTCCTAGCAGACTCAAACCACAACGAAATCGTAGAAGACTGCTACGAAGAGCGATGTTCATCAGTATTTCTGGCCGTCTTAAATGTACCTTTTTCTCTTTTCGTTTTTTACACCGAAACAGCTGCGGAGGCAGAAGCTTACACACCACGGCACCGAGGCTGATATGAGGTACCTAAGGTTAGTAGAATTGGGATTCCTCCACAATCTCGACACGCTCGGGACAAATGAGCGGTCGAATCGGCCAGTTCTGGATGTATGTCCAAAGTCAGGCGGGTCTGTCTGGAAGGCACATCGCGCGGCGGCATAATGGAAGTCAGTTCCGAGGAAAAGGGCAGTTAGTGTAGCGATAGAAGAGAGCTAGATTGCCGACAGCCCGTCGTTTTGTTAGACAAGAGTCATTGATCAGTTGGACAGCCCTCCTCTGGACAGCATCGAACATAAATAATGTAGTCGTCGCGGCAGCACCCCAAACGTGTGAGCAGTACTCGAGAATAAATAAAAAATAAATCTTAAACAAATAGCCTAGCTTTTTCCCAGCAGCTGACGCTGTCGATGAAATGTGTTCGTATCAGATCAAGTCCTCGGTGATCTTGTCTCCAACCAGCCGAAATGAACAGCTCTTTCGTAGACCTCGGCCAGCCATCGAAACATGATAAGGTTGTTGCGTCCCCAAGCAGTAATAACCTCCAGACTCTTGTCGGAGAGGAAGTCTCTGCTAGTTTTCTTACCTCCAGTTCACTAACAGAGATCGGCTTGTCACTCTGAATTTCTGCTGTCATCAGCAAAACTGTGGATCCGATTGATCGTACAGGGAAGGAGGTCGATGCAAGAGCAACATCATGAGCCTCACCATAAGACTGGATGAGTTTACTCCACAATTGCGTGACGTAAGCTAAGAGGTCCCCCATGCACATTGCTTAAGTACATCTTTATTCTTCTGTCTTCGAAAATATCTTATTATTATTTTGGCCAAATTTCACTACCCATTCTCATAAAATACCCTTACCTTAAGTAATTCTTTAAAGACTATTGGATCTGCCAGAACCTTCGGTTACATTAGCTGAAAAATACATTTTACTCATTTGGCACTGGCCAAAAAAAAGGTAAACATATTTACTAAAGATATATGAGGTATTGAAAGCACTAAATTTGTGCGAAAAGACTCCGTACCAAAGTAGTAACAAAATTCTTTCGGTGGAATTCAATAAGTGATGGTAACATTATTCATGGGCCACTTTAAAAGGATCTGTGCACTACTTCGACACAAGCCGCACGCGCTTGCTTTTGTCTCTCTCTACAAAATCAAATGCGCGATTGAAGCATAAGCATGTGCTGCAATTTATACAGATCCGTAGAAATCTAATGCGAAGTACGATATCTGATTGGTCGGTCGGTGCTCGGTCCTCGGCATTGGCATATTGGTCTTGTCGCGTGACGTGGCTTAAAAGTTGAATGCGAACAATTTGTTATTTAGGTATTTTTCATCTTACGTTGAATGACTAGTGAGTCACCAAAACCCGGGAATATTTCGTGGACTGATTAATTTTTCTGCTGAGCTTGATACAACCTTAAGCGAACACATAAAAAATGATCTACTGAATTGTATTCTTGAAGTTTGTCATTTAGAAATAATAAAACAGATTAACAGAGCCTCGTATTTAGCGATAATAGCAGATGAAACAACGGACATTTCGGGGGAAACCCAACTGGTAACAATATTCAGACACGTATTTAACGGCGAACCAGTAGAACGTTTTTGGAATTATATGAATCCCGAAAAATTTCACGCTGATACTCTCACAAGACATATTTTGAGCGTCGTAGATCCATTAATAGGAAATTTCCCTAACAAACTGATTTCACAAAGCTATGATGGAGCCGCGGTAATGAGCGGACATAATGCTGGAGTACAGGCAAAAATAAAACAAAGATATCCATTTGCTCACTATGTGCATTGCTATGCGCATCAGTTAAACCTGATTATGTCCCAAGCTGCTTCCGCAAATGCTCAAGTTCGGGTGTTCTTTGGGGATTTGAAAGATATTCCGGAATTTTTTAATAATTTTCCTCAACGCGTAGAGGTACTAAACAGAATTGTGAGGAAAAAAATTCCGCAAGGAGCAACACCTCATTGGAATTTTGATATTCGAACAATAAATGTAGTTTTTGAGAACAGGGAATCACTCATTGAATGCATGGAAGAAATAGAAGAAAATTTCACTAATGAAACCGTTTGCAAGGCAGCTTACAGTATTCGCCGTATGTCAAACGATTCTGTCTTCGTGTTTTGGTTGACATTTTTTCATCATGTCATGCCTCACGTCGACATCTTGTTCAACCAGTTGCAGAAGAGAAAAACCGAGCCAGCGCAAGTTAAAATGGCTATCGATAATTTTGAAAAATTTATTATCGATGTGAGAAATAAAATTGATGACATAATAAATGAAGCCAAAAGTATTAACACTGAACCCCAAGGCAACAAAAGGAGACGACGTAATAATAACAGTCACGATCACCAAGTTGCTTCATTAGAAGTATGCGACAATATAGTGAATTTTGCAAATGACAGATTTCAATTCAAAGATCATTTGGTAGCCGCATCCCTTTTTTTCCCGAACACTTTGGAGAATACTGTGGTAAGTTTCCTGATGACAAGTTGGAAACTACCTGCTTGGCTTATCCCGAATTAGAAAAATGTCGTTTAAAGAGAGAGTTGTATGTTATTCATGCACGGAATGATTGCCGATATTTATATGGAACTCTTCTCTTTTGAAATTTTTTATACAAAATAGTTTGTAGGAAACACTAAAAGAAACAAAAAAACTATTAGAAATTATTGTTACAACTCCTATGTCAACATCAGAGAGTGAGCGAAATTTATCACCATTGAAAAGAATCAAGACCTTTCTTCGAAATACTATGACTCAGGATCGCCTTACAGCGTTATCGATGCTGTTTATTGAAAAGGAATTTATTTGGACCATGGAAAATTTTAACGGGAAGGTGATCGACAAATTTGCTGCCAAGAAGGAGCGCAGGATCGACCTGACATATAAAAATAGGTAAGTTTGCATTTGCAGAACACCTGTTTTATTTTGCCACGAACCGCCACTGACGTCGTCCCAGTAGAAAAGGACGCCTCCCGAGACCAGGTTGAAAGCTGTTATTCCAAAGTTTTTTGAGGCTGTAAATAACAACCCGTAAAAGGATACTTCATTCTCTCCATGTTACATGTTTAATCTTTCTCACGCAAAGTCAATTATTTCAAATGACTGATTTACGTCCATTATTTAATCATTCACGTCATGTATTGTAATAATCTAGCTGATAACAAAATGCACGTAATCTGTACGTCAAGTAGAGAAAATACCGCGGCTCGCACTGTGAACAAAATTAAAATTGTGCGGCTGTAGGTCCAACCAAAATTACAATTTCTCTACAACATGCAGTCTCTAGGATTAATAAAAAATTCCTGAATACTCGTTAACAATGTCAAGGCACACCTCAAAGTGACGCGTTTCCTGCTCTTTGCTCTTCCCCCTTCCTTTCTCTCTTCTTCCCTTCTTCCTGAGTTTGTCTGGTGTCTCGGCAAGGAGACTTGACACATACCTACTGACCTCTTCGATACTTTAACCAAGAGCAAAGGTCCTACGGACAGACAATGATGGATAAAAACCACACCATAGGTAGAACATGTCCAAAAATACCGTATATCCTTGCTCCAGCCTCTATATGGATGTACGAATGCAGTATTATTAGTTTTCAATGGCGAGTTGACTACCATCTATTATATCTGTTAGAATCGATGTCATCCAGCGGTCAAACTGATGACTCGGCTTTTCGATGCGAACTGAGATACATTACACTTCCAACTTCGTTCAACAGATAGCTGCCATTGACTCTCGCAGCAGTTGATTCTGCTAATAGATGAGCGGATAAGCACCAGGACGCCTTTTGTTCGTCAAGATATGCTGTGTTTTGGATGCATTAAACTTTACAAGATTGTTGCGTCCCCAAGCAGTGATATGCTCCAGGTCTCTCGTCAGTCGCTGCGAGTCTTCTTTTCTCTAGCTCACCGGTAGAGATCGGCTTTGTCGCTCCGAATTCCTGCATGTAGAGTGATATCATCAGCAAAGCTATGGATTAGGTTGATCGTATGGGAAAGGAGGTCGCTGATATGTAAGATATTACCCTGCGCCTAACTTTTATATCGTGTTGATTTTTGGCATTGCGGACCACTTCGTTATATTTGTTTCTGGACTCGACGTCAACTTGTCTGTTCTGTTTTGTAAGAACGTTCTGCGTGTCTTGATCATCTGCTGACAAGCAGTGTATGACGATTTGTTGAACCAGCTGTTGGATCCCGGCTTAGACACGTTCAACGTGGATAATTTCTGTTATCGATGAACAGAGAGCCGATGCATCCACGCCAGCGTAACAAACATTTTCTCCAAGGAAAGTTGGATGTCCGTAATACCAAATTTTTCGGCCTGGGCGAGTTTCTGCTGACACAGCGGGTTCTGATCGAAACCTAACCTCCTCAACAACGTGGTGTGAATTACCCAAAGGAGACTCCACAAAGTCCAACCCGAACGTCCTCGAATTCGTATGCGTGGAGGTATTTCCTGAACACGACCGTGAGGAGTAGGCAACGGATCCTCTGCCCCCCAGGGGAGTAAATCTCCCTTGGGGAGCAGAGGGACGGCTAATCGGGCTCTGGTGAAACTCCGAATCCAAGGTGTAGGCTCCGTGCTGAGGGATGAATGGTGCCGGGGGCAATCGGCATCGTGAACGGACCCTCCGGAACACCGGGCCGAATTCCGGAGTAAGTTTGGCCTTCTGTACGTATGAGGCTCTGCGTACAGTGACGGTTTATATTCCCAATACTCGTGGGAACGACATGGACCAGCGAGGAGGGTCAAAACCTCGATCCTCCGTTGGAGGAACAACCAATGGAGATTGGCGATCTTTGGCCGTCATCTCCATCACAGCAGGGAGAAGAAGCGCTCTCTGGGGCGTCAGAGGATGATACTCTGACTATACCAATCTTGACAAAAAAAGGTAACAGACTCTTTGCTACGGGGGAACAGGAATAGCCTTAAAGCTCTAGTAGGACTGTAGACTGGTCATTGCAAATTGCGTCACCACATGAGCAGACTTGGCATGGCGGAGGATGCTGAGTGCATGGAGGGAGATGAAACGGTCAGGCATGTATTGTGCAGATGCCCTGCAATTGCCAGAATCAGGTACAACATACTTGAAGACGTAGTACTCCAAGCAGAAGACCTGAAGGATATTTCTCCAAACAAGTTGATCGGCTTCGTCAGGAGGTCGGAGCTACTGGGGGAAATATAAATAGGTGTGAGCCACAATAGACCAAAGTCGCAGTGGAGGATCGTTATTGATGCACTCACAAGAAACCTAACCTAACCTACCCAAGGGAGACAGTACAGCTTTGCTGTAAGGGACAGAATGCGTGGTCAGAAAGAGATCCAGCAGGCGTGTGCATGACGAAACGTGCGGGAAAAAGTAGGGCTCGTCATCAGCTGGGTCAGTCATTGTGTGATAGCGCACGCTTCAACTACTGCATCGGTCTTGTTTGAGCCCAGCCATTATGGGAATTAGAATCACCGAGGAGAACTACATCTGAAGCGGGGTGATTGATGTTCAAGAAGTTGATCCTGACCTCGAGGTATTCAAGTAAGTCGTCCCAGTTATGATCCGAGAGAGAGTGATAAAGGCAGCAAATAAATTTGGGGGATGGTTTCAGTTGAGGCGAAGCCCCAGAATATCTTTCCGGTCTGATTCCAAAGAAACGTCTCTGGAGCAGGAAAGACTGCTGCGGACAAAAGCCACAACTCCGTTCTTTCTCAAACTGGGGTGCACCTCGTAATTTGGGAAGCTAAGATGATTAATCGGTGCAGACTCTGAGATTTTTGTCTCCGCCAAGAAAAGCATCAACAACAGTATCGATGTTGCTGTTAATCTTGTAGATTTTCGTGAAGTAAATTCTATGATCGATGTTGTTCCGTCGAGCCGACCCTCAATCCGGACATTCCAAGAAGTGCAGTGAGTTTACGTCCAGAATTCTTGTCGGGAAAGACGACCGACTGCGCAGCTTAGGTGTGGAGACATGCGGGCAATCTTAAGACACCTTGGAAAAAGCTAGCGGGTGGTACCGCCTCGGTCGACTGGTCCTTGTCTACCGCTTCTTTTTGCATGTTCATGATGTTAAATAGACGCACAGTGTCCCCTTAGTGGACTTGTACCATCTCTTTAACGGGAAATAGTTGTATACTGATTACAAGAACTTCCGGAACAAGCATTTGCCACGGCCCCGCTCATTAGGACAAATGAAGAGAAGATATTATGAAGAGTGTAAAAACTTAGGACTCTGGCTTCATGACCTATGAAGCGCTGCATTAACTGAGTGGAACATTCACCTCATAATATCGATATCGACCGAAAATGTTATCTAGCCTTTTTCAGCAGAAAAAGTCTACTATTCCTGGGCCATCCCGAATCGGAAATTCGTATGTGGGCAGCCGCGTTCGATGTTTTTTTTAAAACAAATCCTCTGCAGAGCGAACAGGAAGAAAGAGGAAGCAGAAAACTGAAACAACAATTGAGAATGCAGAAACATTTATTTTATAAAAACTACAGTGCAAGCAACTTTGGCAAAAGTCGAGTACAGTCACTTTCAAAGTACAATAAGTGTATTATAAAAATATGCAAGGAAACGTACATGAAATAAAAATAAGCAAGCAATTGCGGGTCATAGAACAGCAAAACTATAATAAAATAAAAAAGAAGTACAAAAAGCTTAAACTAAAAATTAAACTTTAAAACATAGAGCATATGTAACTTTCTTATGATAGACGAAATGTATCTCAAGAATATGTAGATAGGGACTTTAGAGCAACTAATTATTGTATTCGTTAGTAGAAAGTAATCAGTCACAGGATAAAAAAGGCATGCTTCAATATGAGCTTACAATTGATGTAAGATTAAATACACGCTTTGAGCAGTATTTTTACTCAATTTGGAACTTCTATCATAGAAAATTTATCTAACCCGTAATAACATAATGATTCTAACTTAAGTATATCAAACTGAAAGAACCATAAATTATTGAAAAGATCTTTTATAAGGTGGATGGTAATATAATATATAATTATTTTATATAGTGTTGGTCTGATAAAGGCAGTCTGTAAAATTTATTGTGATATAAAAATCGTTATATACAGGTTGTTCAATTAAAAACTTTCCACCACGGAGTTATCAAAAACCACTAATTAAAAGAAAAAAATGCCTAGACATGTCAAAAGATTTGTCAAGGGGGACAACTGTTTAACCAAAAACTATTTCACCCCCGTTCAGGGCAAGGGGAATCGAGTCGTAGCTTGTTTGAAGGGTATTTCGAAGTCCTTCATTTGGTTAATTTTTTAAATTCAGTTGACTCGTTTAAGAGAATTAGAAAAATATTCATTTATCTTAATTTGTTCAGACAGAAAACAAAGCCACACGAAAATATCACTTTTTATTTCAACAAATGTAGTCAAAATGTGGCCCGTTGGGAGTTGCCAAATCTACAATTCGTTTATAATTTAAGGCGGAAACTATCAACATAAACAGCAATTCAGAAGATTAGACGTGGCAACAACCACATTTTTTTCCGCATTCTTTTCATCAACACAGATATCCTGGGCGCACTGTATTTATTGTTACACCTGTTTAGTTATTTGTTGCTAAGGGAAAGAAAGAATTTAATTTGCTCTCAGTTACCTTTGTGAAAATATTATTGTTATTGATTCAGATTTAACTTCCGAAATGTTTTAAACATTAGCCGAAGGAGTGGAAATTATTCCTATTTATGCTCAAAATCAGTGTGCTCGGCAAACTGCACGTTTAACGCCAGACATCTGGGGAAGATAACTTCGCATAGGTATGTTTTGGACCTTGTTACCAAATTTTACTCAAACTGGATCTGTTGCAAATAAAAAACGTGATCATCGGAGGGTTTTGGACGAAGCCGCTCAAGTTTTGAGTCATTTTGGAATAAATCCTAATCATTACGCAAAATTGTTGCTGCGCCTGATATTTTATTAGGCTCAGTATACACAGTTACTAAAATTTATAAATTCCATCCATTCAAAATAAAAAGATTGAAAGAGTTAACCGAATATTCGGATGGATTTCTTCATCATCGAAAACTATCATGATATCCCACAAAATGTTTTTGAAAATCTCCGTTAAGAATCTGAACATAGTCTATATCATTGTTTGGCCAGTAATGGGCAACATTTTGAACACTTATTGAAATAAAAATTGATATTTTCGTGTTTTTGTTTTCTATTTGAACCAATTAAGATAAATGAAATTTTTTAAATTTTCTTGAAAACGAATCGACCTGTCAAACAAGCTATTACTCGATACCCCTTGTCATTTAAATGTTTTAAGGGGATAACCCTGGCCGGCAGAGGGTGAAAGGGGGTGAAGTAGTTTTTGGTTTTTGTCCCTATTGACAAATCTTTTGAAGTGTCTCGGCGTTTTTTCTTTTAATCAGTGGTTTTCGATAAAACCGTAAGTTTGCAAATGAACACCCTGTATGAGCTCAAAGTAGCTTTATGGTGAAGTTGTGGTGAAGTTTGAGGCTACTATAAAATGGTTTTGTTACCATGTGACATAAGTAACTTAAAAGTGCACGTTGTTTGCAGTGTATACAACATTGTATACGCGTATACAACGGTGAATATATACGTCTCGATATTCACGTATACAATGTATAAAATGTATACAATAGCAAATCATAGTTCAACTAATTGCATATAGTGCTAGCGAAAGTTCCTTTCTCTTTTAGATTTCCATGTGTACGAGGAAGAGAGAGAGTGGGACAAGCGGGCACCACTTGTGTAGAAGTAGTGCGCCACACACCACGTTGCCTGGCACAAAAGTGATGAAGGCCACAGAACATAACTGTAACTTGCTGCAGCGCCTTGTTTTCTACGCTCAAATACACATTTCTGGCGAATCTGTTTGTAATCAGTTCCAGATCGATCCTAATGGTTCTCCGATTTTAGGTGGAACTGAAAGTTTATAAATAATGAAAAAATATATAATATTTATTTATATACGTATACAAAGATTCAGTTTTAAATAAATTAAGAACAACAAATGAACACTAGTTCATCGATTTATTTAAGTTGTCGGTTCACTGTTTACCAACTTTCTGACGTTTGCGAATAGACTTAGGTCTCACTTATGCTATTCTATACATTATCTTCATCATTGTATACATTGTATTCATTGTATATGTAATGTATACATTGTATTCATTGTATACGCATTGTATACATCGAGACGTAGACAATTAATGTATACGCGTAAACGCCCATCACTGGTTGTTTGTACATATGTTGCCAGATGTGCTTTCTCTTGCCCTGTAACATGTCTTTATTTGTTAGGTTCAAAAATTGTGTTGTTTTAGATATTATAAAACGCATGCAAATTACATCGATTATCGTCATGTTTAATGGCCATCATTACGAGCTACACATATCAAGGTTTGTAGTGGTAGATAACAATTATAATGGAACGATCAAAACAAAACAATTTATTTGTTGTTACATGCATTTCTACCCGAGGTAGCTCATCCTATACACTGCTTCTTCATGGTGAAGACTGAACTTGAGTGGAGGAAGGTTATTTCGTTACCTGTCACCTTACAGGAACATTTACAGCACATATGAAAAAAGCACAAAAAGCTACTTCATTGAAATACTCAAAGATAATTTCAAACGGTAATTGTTGGTAGAGTTTCGATTCTGAAATGGATGTGCCAAATATCATTGATTCCACCTAAAGATATAATTCTCGTCTCCGCACTAATTATAAATCTGCTTTGAAAAGGTCAGTGTCTCATAGTTGGCGATGTAGCCAAATATATGCTATCTATACCTTAGCCTTTTCAGAATAAATTTACAATCAGTGCGGAGAGGAGAAATTCTCATAGAGGACGCTTCGGTATCTCATTTCATCTGGAATAATTCTTTGGACGCGGTAATATAGAATTAGGTTGTTTGTCTTCACGTAGAATACGGTAATTAATGCAAATACATATTAGTCGTTTATTCACTTGAAACCTCCTTGTTGTGAGGGCACCTGGTTATTTACCCTGACAATTTTAACACGTTCAATTGACGGAGTTGTAAAATATCTTCCTCAAAGAGAGAGAGCGAGAGAGAGAATGATGAGGGCCAGTTTATTCGATCTGAAACTTCTTTATTGATTGGCGTAGTCGCCGACTGTAACCCTTCATTTTGCATTCTGGTCCTTAGAATCATTCTACATCAAACGTTAAATTAACTATTGGTAACTAGAAGAATAAGCATGACTTAGGCAAACTATCAAAGCAAATAAGTCACCCGCCCTCGAGAAGAACTACCAAAATTCGGTTCTATTATGGAGGAACAGCCAGCCAGAGTTACCATTAGACTCCAAATGCTTCATCTACTCGTGGTAAACTACCGTATAAACGACCACGTTATTTCTTTAATCGTAGTTCTGTTTTTCTTATCATATAAAACTATCTATTCTAGAAAAAGATTTTTCTATCATTCTATTATTGTAAACGAGCATTATCCAACCAAAATCAGCTGAACAACAAAGGCACTATAAAACAGTCTAGACACTATTCAAATACCAAATACGTCAATAGGCTGGGTACGCAAGACAACATATTTTTTGTGACGCCACGTAAATGATATCTGAATGAAGTATAAGTAAACCAATCTTATAGCAGCAAAATAGTCGAGACACCCTGTATATCCGTCACACGCAGCACACTTAAACCTTGAGTCCCGGTGGGGGCGGCGACGAAGGCACAGGCTCTGACGCAGCCGTCGGAGGCGGAGCACCCGGAATGGGCGGAGCCATCAGCGGCACGTCAGGGGTTTGGGTGGCGTCTGTACGCCACGCAGCTGCGGGTACTCCGCTCTCCGAGAGTTGCCGTTGGCGCGCTGAGAGTCGGGCGGCGCGCTCCTTGCGAACCTCTCGTAGCGAGCGGAAGTAGGTGATGAATAGGAATACGCCTACTGCCTGCAAGAAATAGTGTCATGTAGACTGGCATACGAGGTCTGTAAATCAAGTGATGAAACTGTTTTAATTTGATTAAAATATAATTAGGATTTTATATTGTCCTTCTCAAAATAACTTCCTTTTGAAGCCACGAGGCGCTGGAGACGGTTGTTCCACTCCTCAAGACAGTGCTGGAACTCCGACACTGGAATAGCCTTCAGCTGATTGGTTACAGCCGTTTAAATGTTTTCGACTACCCCTTGGGGTGATTTTTCAATTTCGGGAGGAGAAAAAAGTCACAAGAACTCAAATCAGGCGAAATGAGGTGGCTGAGGAGCCACAGAACTGTTTTTACTGGCAAAAAACTAGTTTATAGGCATTACTGCGTGACAAGGAGCATTATCGTGATGCAACACCCAGTTGTCCTTGATCTGGTGAACGGTGGTGTGAGTCAAATTTAACTCTTCCCCGATCATTCTGACTGTCAACGGACGATCTGAATGCACAAGATCCCGGATCCTGCCGATATTTTCATCGGTTCTTCAAGATGAAGGTCTTCCTTCTGAAAACGCCTTAAACCACCGAAAAATCAGGGCTCTTGATAAAACGCTACGTTGCCAGTCTCATCACTTAATTTACAGAGCTTGCAATATTTCTCAGATATTTACGAAATATAAAGACAAAGAGAGCCATTTCATAAAATCAAAATATCAAAAAATTATCAGGATTTGTGTAATTCCTTAAAAAAATGGCATCAAGTAGGTTGACCCTGCACTTCCTACGCATTGCATCATCAGTTCATAAAGGATTAAGTTCAGCGCAATTTAAGTTCTATAAGAAAATAGTCAATTACGAACATGTACAATAGAGAAATTAATATGGATCAAATAGGCCCATAGATGTTCTTTCTCTGCTTTACCGGTAGTTACTGTCCATTTGGCAACGTTGTCCCTTTCCACATCTGCGCAGCAGCGCCCACCGCGGCACTGCAGTGTATATGTGTTGTGCTCTGTAGTATGGATAGATTAGTCAGCCGGAGCGGTACGCCGGGAGGTGAGCTTAAATAGCAGGAGTACATTTCTCTACAAGGATTTTAAAAATGATCAGGAGCTTCTGAATCGTCGAAAAATGAGGGTTGAGCAATTTTTGTTTTTTCATGTATGTGTCCCTAGCTGCGCCGCCACTGGACCGATTTTCAAAAACCTACAAACCGTTTTCGATCTTGTGTAAAAATTTCATCCAAATCCGAACTTCCCAAATTATAGGCGGACCAAAGATTAGCGGAGAGACTGAACAGACCGACAGACCGACGGAAATTAATGACATGGTTTTTTGTGATGTAAATATCATATAACATCCAAAAACCATAATATCTCATTTTCGAAATTTTTCGCGATTACAATACTTCCTCGCCCAGCGGCACAGGAAGTAGTAGAGACGTGAGGTAACTTTTTTATTCATTTATTTAAGATGCACATTTATACAACATAACGATATATTAATAAATATTGCTGTGCTAGAGTGCTGTCAAGAAGTACAATAACGACAGGAAAACATGGGGTGTTAAAATCTTATGTTTTAGCGACAAAAAATAAGTCAATGCTTTATGCAAAAATAAGTATAATTGTGTTCAAGCTATATTGATTCTGCTTAAAAAGTGTGTCTCGGAGTTTATCGTTATATTTGATGACCATGCTGGTGGGAAATTATTGAAATTGCAAAATTTCATTTTCGGAAACAAATTTTTTAGGGGACAAAAGTTTGAGATTATGGGTTTCAGGGGATGAGGATGGGTATATCTCAATTTTTTAACGTCGGTATATTTATAGGCCTCCAACCCCTGTAATTCCAGGAAAATATTAGGCATATTTCACTCATCATAGATGTCCCCGTACATTTACCCTTAAAACTGAGAAATATCTCCTACAGTCGAGTGTCGATACGTGCGACGTGGTTCCCGGGATGGACAAGCGTCGTCGTCGGTGGTCGTACGTTACAGTCGGCAATCGCTTCCGCACGCTGTGGCTTGTGTGCCCTGTACATGGTCAAGGCTAATATCGTCATTCACGCGGGATTTGCAGCAATTCCGCTCAGAGGGAGGAGGAAGATGATTATATTTTTGTTATGCATGTTTGTAGCTAATTTTTTTCTCAGAAGGGCTAACTTGTTCCAAACATAATCCTTTACGAACTGATGATAGCCTACAGAGTCAAATTACTGGATGCGAAAACGGGCGCGTCTAGACAAAAACTAGGAGACAATTTTTTGCTAAACATACAAACACATATGATATAAGTACATGTACCAAAACGGACGAAAGTAGTTGCATCGGCACTCTATAAACATTCTGGTTGGTTGGGTTTGAGTAACACAGTGATAACGTTTCTGAATCCTTAATGAACCGATATGTTTCAGATACAGCAACAGATATGTTTCAATGAAATGCTTCTGGGCAATGCTGCAAAAGATATTTAGCCAACCAAAATGAAAGACAGCAGTGCATAGTATAGAATGTGTTATGCTTATCTGTTCCGTTTTGGTACCAGACTATAAAAAACTCATACCAATATGTAAATCTGTTTTCGACAATTTCAAGGTGAACTATTAAAGACGCACAAGACTAATAACATTCAATATATTATGGGAAATAAACCATTTCCGTTAATATGAATAGTTTTTATAATTTAGCGTGCGAAAGTGCCCTTCATTTTTTCTAACAACTCTTGTACGCTGTATAGCTGATTCATATTTCATAGTACTTATATTGTTGTAAGAACATAAAAATCTAATCATATTTATTATTCATACTTTACAATGCTGTCACGATAACAGTACTGTTTTGAATTAAATAACTTTATTATGATAACATTTGAAATGCGTTGCACTTTCTGCTATAGCCTTTCTTGTTAAATATACTCGTACAAAAAAATACTTCACCGTTATTAACAAGATTGTAAGAACTAAATAATGGAAAAGATGTCACAGCGAACAGATTTGAATAACAGAGACTTGTCAGATGTCAAAAGCCAGTGACATATTCCAGAGCAACTAGATATTTATTGCTAAATTGCATTCTTCAATTATTACATTAATTTTCTCGGACAATAGAATGGTTTTTATTTTTTTTTTACTCAAAAATAGCGCATTGAAAGAAAACAATTCAAGAGAGATCATTTGTTTTAAATTGAACGGGGAATTCAAAAATAAGTTTTATTTGGCAAAAAAACACTTTCGTACCATTTTTTTCTTAAAAGATATCGAAGTCAATACCCGTACGCACGCCACTGTTGAGGCTAAAAAATATTTTTGCATTGAAAAATATGCAGCTTTATTAACTTTCACTACGTACTAAATATCAGTGAAATATCTGAAGCGGTTCTGAAAATATTAATTAATTTCCATTTTTTTCCTAAAACTTTAACACCCCGAGTTTTTGTAAGGAAAAATTTTTGGACCATAGTTTATAAAGCAAACTAACATTAATTTTTCATGTAGACTCACACCCTTAAATATTGGCATATCATTGGAACACCGTATAACAACATAATTTTCAATTATTTTGGCTTCCACCATTTCTTGTGAATTCAAAAATTCTATTATATAAGAACTCTTTTGGTTGGCAAAAAAACTTAATTCAAATAATCTAATTCTCCATAAACTAATTAAAATTAAATTTAAATTGATAATTCAAATAAGAAATATCAATGAATACAAAAAATCGGCAAATCACAAAAATGGTCGACCCTGCAAAAGCAATAAAGTACCAAAGTACAATATTTTAACAATTGAGCTTGATGAAAGGGAACTATACCCAATCTTAAGCACGCTAAACAAATAATTACCTGGAAAAGAGCAGCTAAAAATCCTAAAACGCCACCTTGAATGACTATTCCTTTCATGTATTTGATAAACTTCTTCTGGCAGCCATTATTGTAATATATATCAGAGGTAGCATTAAGCATTTTGTGATCCACACAAGTAATTTTGCAATTTTTTTCTGAGTAATCATCCGCGCCATGCAAACCACAACACTCGAACTAAAACATTGAAATTGAGTTAAAAATATTACTGCATGAAATCGCTATATTCAATAACAATAACTAATTCAAAGAAATGGGGTCAAGAAACAGAAATTCTCTAATAGGGTGTACCGCTATAAATTGCTCCCCCTCCCCTTGTAACTTCTTTGTATAATTTTAGAGGAAAAGATTTTTTTCTAATTCCGAATACATGTATATCATGCTACTTACTTCTATTAGTCTGGTCAGAAACCTGAATTTTATCTGTCATTTATTCATATGTGCCTCTGGAACCTGGCATAGGGACGAATATAGATGATTGGACGGAATAAAAGAATTGAGTTTTTGACTACAGTGATGAAAATTGAAAACATTTTCACTAAAAATAGACATTCAAAAAATACATTATTTGACAGCAGTTTATTGAGACATCCCCTGTATATAAAAAAGCCAACTTTATATTAGACCCTACATCTTTTGTACGAAGTTTTTTTCTAAAAGGTCATGCTAAGAAGTTAAGAGGGGGTCAATTTGTAGCGGGACACCTTGTACAAACTACACCAAAATGACGGATACTAAGAATTATTAAGCATATTGGGTTATTATGGATCTAAAATTCACATGACTTCCTTGAACATGATCAGATATTTGTTGCAACCTGACGAAAAAACCTCTTTGTCCACGCCCTAAAGTAGCCAGGAAGTTAAAAAAACATCAATAAGGAAATGTGTTTTTCTAATTATTCTTTAATCCAGTACAAACATTTTCAGCATCATTAACTTTTTTTGGAGTGTCCTTAGCTGTATATTGTAACATGAGAAGTGAAATATGTGCCTGATTTCAAAATTTGAAGCTGAAAAACGCCATAAAAAACAGATAAAAGAGGACAATCTGTATAGTCCTGTACGAACCGACTGACAAAAAAACATTGAATGTAAAAACTTTAACAATTATATATGAATATGAATAAATGGTTTTAATTGCGCCATATTTTCGTTAAAATATCATTGAAACATAAAAAAAAAACAAAAAAGTTATTGACAGCGGTGGGATTCGAACCCACGCCCTTTCGGACTGGTGCCTAAAACCAGCGCCTTAGACCGCTCGGCCACGCTGCCTGTGGTTGACGGAGATCTATTCACCGTACGTAATACACCGCGTCACTTACCTGCCGTTGTAATTTGATCCAATTCTTTTCATTGCAACTTTCTTTCATTTTTAAAAAGGATTTTGTTTGCAGCTCTGAGGAAATTGTCGATGCTTCATCCCAAAGCACCATAGACCATATCCCAATGGTCAATTCACATATTAACAGGATTATTGTAAATGTTAGGAACTAAAAATACCTTGGATATTTATTTTAAAAAACTTTGCGATTTGATTTTGTACCTACCATGATTAAATGAAAGTTGTGTTCTCGTTTAGGTCCATACACTCCAAGCCATGTCAGAAACAGGTGTATTATTCCCAGGGCAAACAATGATATTAAAGGTCCAAGAGGACCAGAAGGAATGAACGTGAAATGATAGAAAACTTTGTAACACAGCACCGAAGAATAAACTATTAATAGTATTCCTGATACCTGAAAATTACCTTTCCTTATAAAGCATTCAAGTTTTATTAGATCTACTTACAAATAATAGTCCCGAGTACAAATAACACAAAACTTCCTTGAGTTTTAGCGATGCCATCTTATTGGTTGAAGTCTAGTTAATTTTAGGGTCAATAGTTCATCGAAATACCTATGTATGTCGATGAGAAGTACAATTTAAAGTGGCCATCACAACAAATACTTTGATCTATACTTGTACAGTCAGCCGGGTTATCGAAAGCATATTAAAAGCGCATCAGGATGTACAATGTAAACAGAGTTTATTCATCTGCTATTAGCGTTATTGTAGCAAAGCAACCAATCAGACGCAGACTATTTCCTACCAAAAGATTACAATTTGCATGCCGTTTGAATTCCTCCGGTATACCATTTGTTAATTTCTAAAAATAGCTACCAAGAAGGCTTTTGTAAATTCAATGTATTTATTTGGGTCAAGAGGAAGGCAACCAGATATGCAACTTATAGCTTAGTGACACTGGTATACTATGATTTGAAAAATCAATGTTTCATAGTACTCTGGCCACGCCACTTTGCTATCAGAAATAATTAATTGTTACAGAAACTTTAATAATTTGAGGCCACATAACAAAGCGTTTTAATTGAATTAAGCAACAGTGAAATATACGATTCATGTTGTAGTACATCTCACAATGTTATAATGTCCGAATAGTTCTATGTTCAATGCCACCTTTTCCTGTGTACTATCGATGTCTTTGCTCACGGCTCACCAAACCGGCTCACGCCTCACGTTCTCACGTATGCGTAAGACATTTGACAGTTGGACTGTTGGACATCATCCGATTTTTTTTTCGCTGTTCTGTGGTCTGACTTAGGGAGGTTGAAGTGACCTCATTTGCAATTTTTCATATTACGCCTCTTTTCAAAAGTGTTCAAAATCGAAATGTTAGTTTCCTAACCAGCTAAGGGGATAAATAAAAAGTCAGTTTCGTCGCCTGCATTTTCTACGGAGCAAGATGTCGAAGATATCAAAGAAAATGCCTGAAAAAGGTTGCAAGGTGGGTGGAGATATGAGCACATTTTTCCAAATATGGAATAACAATCACTTTTTAGGCTATAGGTGATCATAGGCGGTATTTATCTAGGATTACAAAGACGCTGTATTATGGAAAATTGCCTAAAAACGATGGTCTCAGTTTGCCCGTAACAGGTAATTGTTTTCAAGATCATATTCCCACTTTGTTTACACATTATGCTAGACTGATTAATGTTGGACCAGCGAAAGATTGCAAGCCGAAAGAATGCGGACAAAAAATTGCGAAGTTGTCAGATGTTCTACATAAAATGCGGTCCATACATATTAACATATTTAAGATATAGAATTGTTCCGCTGAATTTGGCAATGTAGCTGGAAAACCCAGGCCGCAGGTAAACATCCGGTCGCTGATTGGTCCAAAACTCTTATCTTATCTGAAACTAGAATAACGTGCCGATGGCACGGTCATTTATAAACCTACTCCCATAGGCGTAGGCAGTTGGCAAATACTTTGAAAATATAATTTACTGTTTAGTGGTGATAATGGAATTCAAGCATGGGAAAGTTATTCACAGCCAGGCAAGGGAAATAATAGCAAACGTGATACGTGCTTGCGATGCAGAAGCGGCTAACAATACTTTCGTTTATCCACTGGTAGCTAGAAATGCAAGGGCGGCATATTATACGGGTGTTAGTGAACGAACTATAAGTAAAATTAGAAAAGAAGATAAAGACAGGCAAAATGCAACCTCCACACAGCCTTTAGCTTCTCCCGGAAAAAAGAGATCACGCCCTTCTGTGATCCAAAAAATTGATGGAGTCGATTTTTCCATTATTCGGAGAATGATAGAAAAATTTTACTGTGATTTTAAAGTGGTACCTACTTGTAGTAAACTTCTAATCAAACTGAAGGAAGAAATGGAATTTCCATTTGGTAAAGAATCGTTGAGGCTGCTTTTAAAAGCAAAAGGATTTTACTGGCGTAAATGCCACAACAAAAGGAAATTACTAATGGAAAGACCCAGTATTTTACATTGGCGATACAAGTATCTTAGGTCTATTAAAAAGTTCCGGGAAGAAGGAAGGCATATTATTTATTTGGACGAAACTTGGGTTGATAATGACCTCACTTTCAAGAAATGCTGGCAAAGCGAAGAAATTATGGGTGTCCTGAGCAATATAAGTTCTACAGGTAATAAAGTTTCTTTCACCTCGATTTTGCTTATTATACATTTTTCTCAATTTTGGAATATTCTTAATAAGTGCTCATTTAATTTGTCTAATTGAATACATAATCCCTTGCAAGTATTTTTTTCTCAAAAATATGTTTTTTATACATAGTGATTCAAAAAGGTGTTGGCAAACTTAAAATAACACTAAAATGAGGCTATTTATTCATTTCCAGGACGACTTATAATTGTTCATGCGGGTTCGCAAGATGGTTTTGTTCCTGGAGCCTGTCTCATTTTCAAGGCTGGCTGTGCCACTGGTGATTATCACGGTCAAATGAACCAAGAAAATTTCACGAAGTGGCTTACTGAAAAACTATTTCCTAACATTCCTCCTAATAGTATTATAATAATGGATAATGCACCTTACCATTCAGCTTTGGAAGACAAGCCTCCAACTAGATCTTCTCTAAAAAGAGACATCATCACGTGGTTGAGCAAAAAAGGTATAGAGCATGATCCTAATGCTAAAAAAATGGAGCTTTATGAAATAGCTTGTCTACATAGGCCACCATCTGATGAGAAAAATTATAAGATAGATAATTTAATAAGAAGTTTCGGACACACCCCACTTCGAACGCCACCCTATATGTGTCAGTTTAATCCCATAGAGATGATTTGGGCACAAGTAAAATTTTTCATTAGAAGCCATAATACAAGCGGCGAATTTACTATAAAAAAACTAGATGAAATTTCTAATAAGGCCATCGCTTCAGTAAGTGCCAGTGACTGGCAAAAGGTTATTGGACATGTTATAAAAATTGAAGATGAATATTGGGAAAAAGACAGTCTCATTCAAGAAATACAGGAAGAAATAATAATCAACATAGGAGGTGAAAGTGATAGCAATGACAGTTCCTCAGACAGTGATCATGACTCTAATCAGGATTGAAACTATACTAGATTGGCTACCTTTTAGAATTTTTAGATATTCATTTATTATACTATTGGTTTGTGGCTTTTAGTATCTCAGTAGAAAGTCTAATTCTATGTGTTGTTTATGGGTTATTTCATCAAGAAATTACTTTTTGTTTTCCTATATTTTTCTATTCAGTCAGATATTTTTGACTTGTTGTATTCTATTTTAGAAGAATGCATAATTTGTTTTGCTGTTCAATCATAATGCGTACATAGGAATATTACTTGTTGCCTAAAAAATATATTTATTTTGTTCTCAATATTCAGTGTTTGTGTATATTTATTTCTTATAATGTATGTTTGGTATCACGTCATTATGAATCGCAAAAAAATATTAATACTACCAGTTGTAATAAAATATAAATTCAATTAATAATTCAAGTCTCTCCGATCTCCGCCTATGACTCCATATAAAATCGTCTAATGGTAAGGTTTTTTCATCGCATTTCCCCCTTTCGTCCCTAGCAATCTTTGGCTGGTCGATCAATATATAAATGTTACTCATTTGCCACTCCTTTGGAGCAAAAATAATGTAGATAGTTTCTAATGTTGATCAATTCTTGTTTCATCATACATCCAGTGGAGTCAAACAAATGCAAGCAAACTGAAAATGATCGTGTTGAGTTGCCATGGAGCCGACTTTCTATAACATTGTAAATAACAAAAAGGCAACCTTCACTTGCTAATGTTAGAAGTTCCATAGCTTTTGTTCTAAGGTACTTTGAACTTTTGTGTTTTAAGGCGTATGTTATAATGGTCAGTATTAACTGTGATCTATCAGTTTTTATCTGGCAGAATCATATTGAAGTGTTAAAAATTGAATTTCAAATTACGTTTTCGATTGCTGTACCCATTATTATGTAAATGTTGAAAATCAAATTTGATCAACAAGATACGGCAACTACATTAATCAACAGGTGCAGCAGCACTATAGACAAGTGACACACAAAAGTCAGCTGCTCACACAATGATCAAAATGAATTCCTGAACTTAGAACCAAAATTAGAGCATTTTGACAAGATTCTTAGATAAATCAAATATTTATAGACCATATCAAAATCTGTCAAGTGATTTTAACAATGCCTAAATGCTCCTTGTCCTAAAAAATCATCTTCTTGCTCTTTGCTCTTGCTCTTCCTTCTCTCCTTTCCCTTTTTTCCTTGAAATTTTCTGGTTTGTGGGTTACCACAGACCTGACAGACTTAAAACTGACACTATGACTCAAGAGCTAAGGTCCCACAGACCGCTCTGACAACCAACGATGACTTAACTGATCAGTTTTTATCATGGAATGTCATATTTGTTGACCATGTCGTCTGGCGGTCAGTAATTGATGTATTAGCTTACACAGAAATCCACTGATACTGGCTGAATGATATCATGTAGCATTTGCTTATGCTAAAGGTCCCAGAAATGAAAGCCTTCATCAACATTTGGTTTACATTAGTTTTAAGTCAATTGAATACATGATTGTATGCTATGATGCATAATTTAAAATATTCACAGCCAAAGACATACTACAAAAAACGTAAATAATACTACTTGGTTATAAAGTAATAATAATCACATATTCATCCTGGTGCACAAACACTGATCTTTTTAATTGAGACCTTACTAAGAACAAGGAAGTAGGCTAACTTGTAATTTTCCCCAGTTGAGGATATAGATTATTTTGTTTTTTGAAAAATGTACTTTGTAAAAGATCATCCACAGAACGAAATCCTAGAACAATGCCTCCATATCATAGTCTAGGAGTCTTCTATCACTGCATCATCCTGTAGGTTTAAATACTGATACATGGTACATAATCAATGAATGAATATCTATTCATACATATCTTGCTTCCAGTTTCACATGTAATGTCTTAGAATCTGGAAAGATTACAATATCTCATACTTGTAATAGGTTCTGTCCCATAAAAAATATAAGTATATTGTTTACAAGGTTTTTTTGATGATAGCTTTATCTTTATGTCCCATTATATTTTACAAATTAGCTTTCAAGTGATAATGGACTGACTATATGCTAATAATATTGCATACTTATGTCCTATACCTTTTTACCTTTTGACTACTGATAATGCCTTCTAGTTATATGCCAATTTTAAAAAAAAATATATTTGTCCATTGAAAAAATCTAGCTGATTGTTTTAAACATGTAACATCAAAAAAAAAACAAAGTATCTGCTATTCAAAATGTTTTGCAACAAAACTTCCTCACTTACTTCATTGGAAGTAAAATGAAATGGAGCTTGTGTTTCATATTTGCAAAATATTTTACTTCTGTACACATGATTAGCAAGTGCTTTTATCAACTACGGATATTGGTAATTGCTGGTTTTGTGGTTATAAATCAACTGTAAGCATAACAAGAAACATAGCATATTAGAAATAACATTTTTCAATTCATACCTTAAAAAATGGTGTAAAGTACATAGGTTGACTCTGCACTTCCTATGCAACAATGTCATCAGTTCATAAAGGATTAAGTTCAGCACAAGTTAAACATGTTCAGTAGAAAAATTAAACTCATCAAGTCGGTCAAACAGGCCCATACAATTAGTCCATAGACATTCTTTCCCTGCCCTACCAGTAGTTACCGTCCATTAGGCAATGTTGCCCCTTCCCATATTGTCAGACCCGACAGCGCCCACTGAAGCGTCGCAGCAGTACGAACAGAACAATAGACAGATATCTGAGGGAGATGCATAATGAAAACATTTATCATTCCAAGTTTTAAAGGCAAATGTAAGGGGAAATCTATGATGTGTGAAATATAGGTAATAAGTGAAGAATATTAGTTATTAACAGTTTTTGGATTGGAAGCGAATAAATTAACTAACACAAAAAATTATCTGTCCTTGAAAATTCAATCAAAGATCGAGATCCTATGAAACATCAAAAAACGCGGCTGGAGCGATTATTTTTTTTGTGTTTTGCCTTTCTCTCCGCCGCGACTGGACAGATTTTTAAAAACTCCGCTTTCTCGTTCTTGGCAAAATTTCATCCAAATCCGAGCAGTACTTTCCGAGTTATAAATCGACCAAGGATTAGCGGACTGACGAACAGACAAAAGTGAGTTACATGTTTTTTGTGATGTATCTCATTATCAAAAATTTTCGTCATTACAATACTTCCTCTCCCAGCGGCGTAGGAATTAAATGTAGTAGCTTAATTTTTTTAACCATCACTACTAGAAATAATTAAAATAGTCTTAAGTTGAAAAGGAGGCAAAAACAGAGTCTGTTCAAAGGAGAGCAAAAAAATTGTATTTTTTTATGTAGGGCCATTTTACAGGAAAGTTGCTCTTGATTAACATGCTCTTAGTTTTTTTCATCTTATCTCAAAAGTGGCGATTAGTAGCATATTTGTAAATAGCATTTCAGAATGTAAGTAAATTCATTTGATGTTACTGAGTTTGTTAATCAAAAGTACCTTACCAGGACCTTTTCTTTTTGTAACGATTTCTCCCATAGCAGAATGTACTTATATACAAGTTAACTTTGTTGTTAGAACTGGCAGCTGAACTTTTTTCTGAAGCACAAAAAGGCAAATCACTGGAAAGGCTGCATTGTCATGATGCAGCAAAGATTTCAAGAAATGCTTGTGTCTCACCCTGCTCTTTGGTATTGGCTATATTGTACTTGGAAAGACTGAAAGCTTGCAATCCTGAATATTTGGATAGAACTGCACCTTCCGATTTATTTTTGATTTCATTGGTGAGTAAATTTTATCATGTTTAGCAACTATATTTTAGTCATTCGTAACCCGATCATAAAACCGGCAGTGTTATAAGTTTGATGTGTGTATCTGTTCAACTGAATTAATGTCCAAATGGGTTAATCACTTTCCCTCTTCCTTTTTTTCACCTGAAAGGTAACTTCGTAATAAAAGTCTTTATTTATACTATAATCAACTGTTTTATTAGCTACTGTACCAGAAAATCTATCTGCATCCCACCTTTTTAAATCAGAGTTTAATTTCTATTTGTTATTGGTTGTCCTGTGTGTTGAATCGTAATTGATATTATTCGAATATTATGTATTCTACCTGAAGATAACTTATCTAATACTATATTCCCGTGTCCGAAAAATTATCCGAGATTTAATGAGATACCGCAGCGTCATCTTTGAGGATTTGACTCATCTATGTTCTGCTCTCCACGATAGAGATCTAGTTTAAAAGTGTTAGTGTCTCACAGATAGCACTGTTGTCAACTATTCAGGGTGTCCCAGAAGTCGACGTCAAGCCGGAAATGAGGATAGCCAAGACACAATAGTTATCAGAAGAATATACAAAAAAATCAGGTCGTGTATTTTTCAAATTCAAGGCTTTAAAAAATCAGAAAAATCTACACTCTGTCTTCCCATTACTAAAAATTTCATTATTTTCCTAGATGACAATGGACAGTGTCATTCTACTTAGTGACAGCTGCTTCCGTTATTGTGTCTCGTAGTTCAGCCAAATTATTTTTGATTGACTTTGAGTAACTGTTCCTTTCACCGCTCCCCAGTAAAAAAATATCGTGGATTTGATTCATGTGAACAGGCTGGCCATGAAATTGTACGAGACAGCTTTATCCATCTGCTCGTGTATTGGGCATCAAGATATTCTCAAACTGAACGGGCAGCCGTCTTGCTGGTACCACTTGTCTCTGTAAATGCTTAGTCTTCCAATAAGTTTGGTAAATGATTTTGTAAAAAGTCTTAATATCATTTGCCATACAAGAACTCTGGCAGCTCAAAGAGTATGATTCTCCCATTTAGAATCCCGGTCCATATGTTTACTTTAAAACAATACTGAGATCTATATTGTCTCATCAAATGTGGAGTTTCTACATGCCACTAGTGTAAGTTGTGTAAATTTATGTAACTAACTAACCTTTTCCAAGTAGATTTTTAATTACTGCTGAAATGTGAAACATAGCTGTGACATATTCTCATAGGTGTCGCTACAGTATCTCATTTCATCTCAGATAATTTTTTGGTCGCACGAATAATTACGTTGGCTTCAGATAGAATACTTTAATCAGTGATTCTACTTTCACCAATTATTATTTTCCAGATGGTATCCTCTAAATTTTTGTTTGACGACGGTGAGACTGATGAAGTTATAGAAAGGGAATGGGCAGCCTCAGGGGGAGTAACTTTGAAATATTTACTGAAACTAGAAAAAGATTTCCTTAATGCAATTGTAAGTATTATCCTTGAAGTCAGACAGTAGAAATTAATGTAAACCAAATAAATGATTGCAGGATTGGGAGGTATATGTAAGCGAACTAAATTTCTGGCGCAAACTGACAGATCTAGAGACACAGCTGGCAGAAAAACAAGGCGCGATAAGAGGCCACTTCACCTATACAGAACTGGAACACCTAGCTGGCACCATTGAGATTCATAAACTACTCAACTGTCTGGTAACCTTCTCTGTTATAATGGCAGCAACATATACTGCTGGACTATTGACGATAGTCGGCAGTGTATTTTTGGCTGGACAGATACCTGGTACCAGTTTGTATGGTCGAAAGACTGCAGAAATGCATAATGGTACCTTAGAGACTGCTGCAAGTGTCAATATTAATTGTACTTTTATGGAACGAATGGATACCATCGTAGGTAAGTAATTGTGTTCATGTTATTTAGTTAGATGAAGAAAAAAAACTAGGTGTTTCCTCATAAGCTAATAAACTTCTTTCCTTTGCTCTTCTCCTTTTATTCTCACACACTTTGCTTATGATATATCTTGCCCCCATAATAACCGAGAACAACTATCGAATTTCTTATATAAAGGGTACTATAAAAGTTTTGCAATACAGCTTTATTTATTGACTTCATTCAAAGTAATTTCCACCACATTCAGTACATTTTTCCATAAACCAGCTCTGCCAAGTTTCACCCGGAAGTGCGGCACACTCGTTGTCCTAAGCCCTCAGAAGGTCCTCATCGCTAGAAAACCGTTTTTCTTTTAGTTTCATTTTCACATGCGGAAACAGTGCAAAGACACAGGGAGCAAGATCTGGACTGTAAGGAGGGTGCTCAATAAGTTTCAGTCCAGTAGTAGTGCAGGCTTTGGTGCGGTGAGGTGGAGCATTGCCATGGTGGAGGAACCAAATGTCCATTCTTGACGCAGGTTTTTAATAGACTCTATGACTTTAGGCAGGCACTGTCCCATGTACCATGTAGCTGTGACTGCCTTCTGTGTGTCCAAAAGGACACGCTCCACAATCCCGCTTGGTTTGATCATTTTTTTTTTCTTAAACAGAGGGATATACTTACAGATTCGAGTGGGTCCTCATCATCAAAGACCCAAACTTGGTTGGCACATCGTAATAATAGAGCCAAGTCTCGTCACCTATCAAGATGATGTTCACATACAGAGATCGCCCCTTATCAAACATTTTCAGCATCTTTGGGCACCAAGTCGTACGAAGAGTATTGTGCTCTTTCGTCAGACTATGCGGTACCCAGAGAGAACAAAGTTTCCTTACGTGTAAATGGTCATGCAGAATGAATGAATTGCTGGAAGGTGTAAGGTCTCCTCTATCTGTTGGTATGTCACTCTCCGGTCTTCGTCAAGCATTTCCTCACAGCAGAAATGTTTTTCTCTGATACTGACGTTCGCGGCTTCCCTTCCCTCTCAGCGTCCTTCAGAGTGAAATTGCCCCGTTGGAATTATCTGTACCACCTGAATATAGTCGCACGACGAGGACAATAATTTTTTAATGCAAGCGTCATTTCTACTGGTCTATATTTAAACCACGCGTACAGTCATACCATAAAACTGCCCTTATGACACTACGTGACCACGATGCTATGCTTCGCACGAATAAACAACTAAATCAACAGACGTGCTGCTGGCGGCTGCTATGCACTCATGGACATTTCGCAACATGCAGCCTCCCGCGTCCGTTTGTTAACTCATATTTCAAAACTTTTCTAGTACCCTTTGTATTTTATTATTTTTGGAAAATGCTCATCGACGTTTATTTTCAGCTCAAAATTCAACGCAGGATGCACAAACGGTTACCTGGGACTACTGGAACATTCCAATAATGGACTGGCTGGCGAAATCATCCAAAATGACGGTTCATTTCCCCGAAGAAATCACTATTGAATTGTTTCCGATTTACCTAGAGACCTCTGTCACGAATTTGAAACGAATTGAACTGGAAGACCAGATCCACAAGGCAACCAAAACCAGGATTCAAGACCAGATGGAGTCCTCGTGGCACAAGGAGTGGACCAGCACCATCAAGTTTCTAGGTGGAGCCGTTTTCGAGAAAATGTTGCCCTATGTATTGTACATGAAATACTGATACTGATTTATATCATTGAAACGATTCGGAATAAAAGGGCTGAATGCCTGGACGAGGAATTGAACATGAGCGTGGGTTTTTATAATTACGTTTCAGGAATATATAAATTAATAAAAAAATACATCTCTTGGATTTTTGGAGAGTTTCAGGCAAGTAAATGAAACTAATTTGAATATATATATATATAAAAATTTTAATAATTCACATTCAATCGCATATGTATAAATAAAAACAAATAAAGCGTGTACTAAAAGGAACTGTGGTAAAAATCACATTTCACATCACAATAAACAGCCTAATTTACAAAATACAGTTATATCAATATAAATAATGTTTATTATTACTCCCTAGAACGAGTGTTAATACTTTTTTGTTATTTTTGTACTCATTGTGAATATATGGCACCAGATTATTTGAATCAACATACTAGTATAGCTCTGTCACCAAATAAATAAAATCGGGTGTCCAGTAGGAAAGTTCGCATTTCAAATTTGAATTACGCGGCAACCGTATATGGGAGGAAGTGGGGAAGGGTCTTGATCGACGCGTTCGGCGTGCAGGTTAAATAGTCACAATGGAACGTTGGACCGGAGCGCAACGTGCTTTTGCTATCGGGGCTTACTTTAAAGCTATGTACAGATATATAACAACACCGCGAACCGAACCGCGCCGCGCTAGTGTAGACGGTGAAAAAAAAACACCGTCGCGAATCTGATAAGCGTTACAGCTCGCCGTTCGGCCCGATCCAGACTGTCGGTTTTTCAGCGTAACATCAAAGGAAATGCTCGCGACGAAGTTGCACATGTTTGGACAGGGATATCGGTGCGGCGAGCACGCGCTCATATCAGTAAATTGATAGAGCCCGTGAAGAAAAGATGGAATGGCCGGAGGAGAAAACTCTTGCTTATAGAGCATTACAGAGCAGGGGAATTGTTGTGGGATGCAAAACATTACAATAAATTAAAAAAATGAGGTCTTTCTCTGAACGACAAACATCAAAATTTGTTCGTCATTTTGTTGCGCGATGTGGTTGCACGACGTGGTTCGGTTTATGGTGATGCTCGTTGCAATGTTGTTCGTCAAAATTCGCGCGCTGCGGTTCGTCGCGTGGTTCGGTCCGCGGTGTTGTTAAATATCTGTACATAGCTTAAGAGTTGTGATTCATACGCAACCGCCCTTCGGAAATTTTGTACACGATACAACATTCGCCGACCAAGAGATGCCCCAAGTAAGAACCTATTGAAAAAGTTGATTAAGAGATTCCATGAATCAGGCTCTACTCTTACTCAATCCATTCCTGGACCCACACCTACTCTATCAACAGGAGAAAATGTGCCTCGAGTAAGTGAATCGGTCATTGCGAATCCTCGGCATTCTGTACGGAAGCATTCTGCTGCTTTGGGAAGCCCTAGGTTAACACTGCATGGCATAATGAAGAAAAAAATTGGGTTGCCATCCTTATAAAATCCAATCAGTCCACGCTTCAAAGGAAAGTGATTACGAAAATCTTGTGCTGAACGGATGTTGAATCTTTTTCCTACGTAGCGCAGACTCGAGAACGTTATTTTCAGTGACGAGACCCATTTTCACTTAGACAGTTATGTGAACAAGCAGGCAAATATTGGGCTCCAACGAACCCAAAAGAGAAACATCAACAACAGCTACATAGTCCAAAGGCATAGTTTGGTGCGCCATATCCTCCAGCGGTTTTATTGGGCCGTATTTCTTTGAAGATGAAAATGGGTCATGCATTGACAGTGAAGTCCGAGCGATACGACATGACTGGCACTTTTTTGCTCCTATTGTGAGAACAGAACGTCGATTTAAAAGAAACACACGGATTCAACAGGATGGGTCCACTGCCCATACTTTCAGAGAATCGATGGACGCGGTGAAAGGACTTTTTCCTCAAAAAATTATATCGAAGTTAGGATACATCCACTGGCCTGCTAGGTCACCCGACCACACGCCATGGGATTAATTTTTGTGGGGTTATCTAAAGTCAAAAGAGTATTGCAATCATCCACGAACACTGGAGGAGCGTGATAATTGAGAAATAAAACCCGCCGAATTCACGAATATATTGATAGTAATAGATATTTTCTTTTCATTAAGTTTGTATTTTTTTTCTTGAATCAAAAAGTGAACTTTCCAACTGGACACCCTATATAACACGTTTTATAAAACAATCTTTTGAGGTGTGTCAAAAGTTATGAACAGTTTTGGTTCCAAATCTCACGTATTTAGTGACAATGCTTATTAAAAAAAAACAAAGATTAGTATGTGTGATAAGTATCATAGTATGAAGTATACCCATCTACCTAAACCTAGTTTTTAATACTTTGTAATATCCCCTCTTTGCCGCTAGTTTTTGACCCTGTATTCTACTACAGAGGAATTTTATCTCGTAAATATGACAATATGGATTCCGTGCCTTGTTCCAAAATAGCATATCTTGGCTGCCTAAATGAGTTGCCCATAATCTGTAGCCTCCTGGAAATAAAATGCGTACTATGGGAGTCAACAGTATACTAGTTAATTTACGTGACTTCAATGTACTATAATTTTTTTAGCATTTTGCGCATGACTGTTTGTGGAAGTTTTTGTAGGAATGGCTTCATTGACTAGGATTCAGCAGCTGAATCTTAATGCTGCCTACAGTATGCTGTAGCAGTTTGTGTTAATTGCAAGGGATTGTCAGTTCATTTACAGTGATTTCTTTTGATAAACCAGGTGCAGGTTCCTTGTTCGCTACCCTAGTTCGTCAAAAAAAATTGCTTCAAAAGGGCATGTAACATCTGTCATTCCGTATCTAGTGATAACATCATTCTGTCAATGAAAAAAATATTTCTTATGTTTGACCTTTCCTTTGATATGACAAATTTCCGAACAAGAGCAAAGAAAGCCATAGGAAAACTAGCTTTGAAAAATAATTGCATGCAAAGGCACAAGAGCTTTAAAATGTGACACTGTTGACAGTTGAGTATGGTAGCACGAGCTCTTCCAGTCGTGCGAGTCCACAACCAATTCAAAGTGCGGACCAATAGAACATAAATGGTTTTGTCAAAAGAATATCAAATGTGTACGAGTATGAAACTAGACTGGACGAGGGTGTCTCTGAAATAACAGCCAGAGTGACACGGGAGGTAGATTGGCTTCAGATCAATCAGATAAAATCAACATGACCTTTGCAAAGATTTTCTAGTTTTCGAGATATTGCCACTTTTAGGTTTTTTCAAAAAATCACTACCTTTTGCTCCTTTTTTGCCTATTATGGCTGTTAAGAGCTTCTAACTTATGAGTGTTTTTCCTGGGCTACCATTAATAGATGGTTGAGACAACCGATTATTCATTTCATTGAAAACTAGCACGGTGATGATTTTTTAAAAAAACCTAAAAGTGGCTATATCTCGAAAACTTTTACTAAGGTCATGTTGACTTTATCTGATTGATCTAAAGCTAATCTACCTCCCGTGTCACTCTGGCGTGTTACTTCTGGGACACCATATATAGTTGACAATGAGAAGTTCAAACTGAGCTGGAGCATGCGTTTCTATCCACAATAAATCCACGGATTTGTTCATAAATCAAGTTCATGGCTGAATTTCAAAAGGATAAAACAGGAACTTTACGTCAAATTTCATGAATTTCTTCACGCAATTAGAACTTGCCAAGTCGGATGTCAAACTACATGGTGCCAATCTTGTGTTCCTTTCCATTATATTGAACAACACAGCCAATATTTAGAATATTTTATGCAACAAACAGTATCAACCCGACTTAGTTGTAAATAACTACCTCAGTTGAGTCATGTTTCCGAGCTGTGGAGGCACTGAGCTGATGCTATTATTTGTTAAATCCAGTGTTGCCAGCCGTTTAAGTTCTTGCAATACATCAATGTCAATGCTGGCTATACAGTTCTCATTCAAGAGAAGAATTTCAAGGCCCACCATTCCAGAGATACATTTTGGTATACTGGTTAACCTAGAACAATTTTTTATTTATAATTTGAATGGTGTGATAGTTATAGCAATTTCAGTTAACACATAATGAAATGTGCCTCATATCAAAATCTTTGCAGGGATTCACTGATATAAGCGGCGACACATTGCGGTCAGCTGAAAAGTTGTGGCATAAATACTCCCGATGCAAAATCAATGATGTTTCAAAAACGTCATTATTTTCGAGACCACAGTATTACCCTCGTCTATATATTTTTGCTTTGCACTTTTAGTAGTGAAATTTTGGTTTGGGTTCCAGCAATTAATTTCAACTTTGATGATGCTATTGAATTATTGTTCGTATATCTTTACCTATTATTGCTCAGTACAAGCTCTCTCATGGATGTCAATGCGGTAAAACTATCAGGTAGACCTGTTAACATATTTCTGCTCAAATCCAAGAACTTTAACTGTGCAAAGTCCTTTAAAAAGTCTGGCAGTTCTTTTATCTGATTTTCGGACAAGTTCAACTCTGTCAGATCATTTGCAAGTATCTTCAACCTAAAATTCAAACAAAGAAACTAGTTATTAATAACTCCGAGATTGCTCAACAGTAAGCAACAATTTACAAATCTATTTAAATATATTTACCCTTCAGGTACTATGGTGAACTTATTTTTGCAAAGATCTACGCAATAAACTTTAGCTTCTTTTGCTTCATTAAAACATTCCTCAGGTATACTATCTATATTTTTCATTGATATATTCATTATATTGCCTTGTCTCATTGTATATCTGCAATCACCAGAAAAAATACGAATTTACTATCAAAAAATGGCGTCATGTATATTGACCCAGCACTTCCTACACAATGCTGTCGTCCGTTCAAAAAGGCTTATGTTTGGCACAAGTTGGCTATGAACATGTATAACAAATAGATGGATCAAGTTTGTAAAAGAGGTTCATACAATAAAAAATTGTTTATTTAGCACGCTTTCCTGTACAATACAAGAAAATATGCTATCCCTCGCTCTTCGAAAAGCTTCGGAGGCAGGTACGCTTTCACACAAAGTTGCGGGCCCACATGATCGAAACTAGTGACTACATCTGGCATGGACGATGGTCCACATCCAGTCCAGCAGCGGAGGCCGACTGCTACGCACATGCATCGGCAGGTCCGCGAGGCATATGATCGACATGCCAGGGAAATTTGTGATGAGTGAAATATGTCTAAAATGTGCGTAGAATTACCGCGGCTAGAGGTCGATAAGTATACCAACGTCAAAAAATCGACACTCCCTCCTGCGCCCTCCAATTTTTTACACTTTTTTTACAAAATTTAAAAATGATCGGGATCCTCTTTCGAAAACGTCAAAAAAATTACCGAAATTTAAACCACAGAGTCTTTTCATCCTTAGCATAGGAACCCTGTGAGAAAATTTGATCAAAATCCGACCAGTGCTTTCAAAGTTATAGCAGGGTCAAGGATACGCCGATAGACAGAACGACGGAAATGAGTGACAGTGTTTCGTCCATGTCATATAAAATCTAAAAAAACATCTCATTTACGAAATTTTTCGCCATTACAATATTTCCACGCCTGCGGTAGTTTCATTCCACATGTTCATAATATATTGTTTAGTTTATTCAATTTATTTCCCCTTCAATTCTCAATTTCGCAATGTATTTCTCATCAGATTCCCTTTTAGACTTACTTATCAGGATACACACTCTTATCGTGATTCACATCTGAAGGCACGTTTTCTATTGTCTTTAAATCATCTTCACTTATTTTCTCTCTAAGAAATCTCAATATCCTATTAGTCCCAGCTTTGACTATATCTGCCCTCATTTGCTTCAACTTGTTCCCCTCTAGTTTTAGCACCTGTAAATGTGGCATCAATCCTATTGTACTTGGTAACCTGAAAAATATGAAATAACATTTTTCCAGATATACAGGGTATTCCTTAATGATATGCGAATATTTGAGAGTGTGAATCTACATGAAAAATTAATGTTAGTTTGCTTTATAAACTATGGTCCAAAAATGTTTCCTTACAAAAACTCGGGGTGTTGAAGTTTTCGGAAAAAATGGAAATTAATTAATATTTTCAGAACAACTTCAGATATTTCACTTATATTTAGTAAGTAGTGAAAGTTAATAAAGTTGCATATTTTTCAATGCAAAGATAATTTTTAGCCTTAACAGTGGCGTGCGTACTGGTATTGGCTTCGATATTTTTTAAGAAAAAAATGGTACGCCAACGTTTTTTTGCCAAATAAGAATTATTTTTGAATTCCCCGTTCAATTTAAAACAAATGATCTCTCTTGAGTTGCTTTCCTTCGATGCGCCATTTTTGAGTAAAAAAATAAAAACCGTTCTATTGTCTAACTTGTAAAATTATTATTAATTTAATTGGAAAAATTAAACACATTAGGGGTAATGAACAACAACAACTGACAACATAACATTAAAACCAACGAAATGATTACAAAAATTGTTGAAAATGGCCCCCTTCACTTAGTATTCATGCTTCCTCCCTCCTCATGGAAATGCGTACTCGTTGAAATATCCCTGGAGTATTTTTTATTCTTTCACAAGCTGCAACTATTTTTTTTCTTAATTGCTCTACAGTGTCAATGGGACTTGTGTACACTAGTGTCTTAAGATAGCCCCACAAAAAGAAATCTAAACTGTTGAGGTCTAGGGACCTTGGTGGCCATTCTTGGGGCCCACCGCGGCCAATCCAACGATTTGGATAAACAGTTTGTAAATAATTACGAATCGCTACACTGAAATGCGCTGGTGCACCATCATGCATGTACCACATATAGTTTCTTATTACTAACGGAACATCATCAAGCAGCAAAGGCAACTGTTGTTGAAGAAAATTGAGGAAGTCTGTCCGTCAAGTCATCTCGGCAAGAAGAATGGGCCAATAAAGTGGTTGCTAATAATTCCTGCCCATACGTTAACCGAAAATTGGTGTTGGAAATGGGTTTCGGTTACGGCATAGAGAGTTTCTTCTGCCCGCAAATGATTATTGAGGAAATTCTGAATGGCATTTCGAGAAAAATTAGCTTCGTCCGTGAACTGAATCATTGATCCAAATTGAGGATTTTGTGTAATTTGTGGAAGATACCACTGACAAAAGGTCACACGCCTTGGAAAATCAATCTGAAGTACTCTTAAAATATGGTAAGGATATAACAAAAAATCCACTTAAAGTCTCCAAACAATTTGATGGCAAATATTTAAGTGTCTAGCGGTCCTCCTCGTACTCGTTTCAGGATGTTCTTGGACTTCATGCTTCCTTAATTTCAGGCATTCTCACACTTGAGGTCTACCTTCAGATGTTCCTTTTCGGACAGAACCAGTTTCAAAAAGACGATGAATATCAGAAAAGGTTCGACTATCTGGCAAAGCACTCGGGATATCTCTGGTGGTAAATCCGACTGGCTTGCTCACCATTACCGTCGGCAAGGCAATATACGTAATGCATTTCCGCCATTTCTGCATTTGAATAATTCAACATTATTAACAAGATTGTAAAAACTAAATAATGAAAAAGATGTCACAGCGAACAGATTTGAATTACAGAGACTTGTCAGATGTCAAAAGCCAGCTAGATATTTATTGCTTAATTGCATTCTTCAATTATTACATTAATTTTCTCGGACAATAGAACGGTTTTTATTTTTTTACTCAAAAATGGCGCATTAAAGGAAAGTAACTCAAAAGAGAGCATTTGTTTAAAATTGAACGGGGAATTCAAAAATAATTTTTATTTGGCAAAAGACCATTGGCGTACTATTTTTTTCTTGAAAAATATCGAAGTCGATACCCGTACGCACGCAACTGTTAAAGATAAAAATTCTTTTTGCATTGAAAAATATGCAATGTCATTAACTTTCACTACGTACTAAATATTAGTGAAATATCTGAAGCGGTTCTGAAAATATTAACTAGTTTTCATTTTTTCCTAAAACTTCAACACGCCGAGTTTTTGTAAGGAAACATTTTTAGACCATAACGTAGTTTATAAAGCAAACTAACATTAATTTTTCATTGTAGATTCACACCCTTAAATATTCCCATATCATTAAGGAACACCCTGTATAGAACTTACTCAACCTTCAATATAATTGTGTATACTTACTCTTTAATATCGTTATTAGTTAGATCCAACCTAGTTAAGTGCACCATAGTGGTAATTTCAGGAGGAATCAATTCGATTTGATTATCTCTTAACTCCAAGACCTTCAAGTCATACATATTTTCGCAAAATTCAAGTGGTATGTCCTGTAAATGCTCGTCATTTCAGAATTCATGTAAAACTGCATTTTAGATACTGGAAAAGTTCTTGATATACATGTCAACGATACACAAATACAATTTAATCCCAAAAATGTTTAGAAGCTTGTACCCATTTTTTAGCCTACAATAGGGTAATGCAACTTTTGAACCTTATCCGGTGGTTTTCCTGTTCATAGAACTCCATTTTGTCTGGCCGAATCAAAACCACAAATATGTATGCCGTGCAACCCGCTTATAATGGACTCGGCGGGACTGTGACAAATAGTCTATTATAAGAGGATGACCATCTTAAAAGAATCACTTTTTTTTTAATGAAAAAAGCAGCAGAAGCAGCAGAAATAACATATTAAAAGCTTAAAATGTGTTTGTTTAACATGTATTACATAAATAAAGATACACACAAAAAAGTTATACGTAATTTTGAAATTTGCATTTTTACAGAATCTGATACACATATTACAGGCATACGTACTGTGTAGGTATGTATAGGAACCGTAAATTATTTGGTAAAAAAGCTAGTAATTTTCATATGAACACATTGTTTTTTTTGTATAATTATTTAACGCCTCCTTAGTTGTCACTGGAAGCTCTTCTTCATCCTTGCTTCTAGTTCGTCTTCCTGTTCGTTATCAACGGATCCTTCATGAACCAAATTGGAGTCTGACAATTCCTTTGTTGCTATTAAATTATTGTCAACATTTACATACTCATTAAATTTGTCTATATTCAGTAACCTCTTAATTTTCAGTAAATCACTTAATGGAATTTCATCTTTTGGATTAAAATCGTTTCTGGAGTAACCAATTCCCATACAATAGTAAGCAAATTTATAGCATCTAAAATGGTGACAGCTTTGGTAATGTTGACATCTTCTTGAAGCTCCATAATTTTCATCAACATATGTTTCCGATACATTTGTTTAAGACTCCAAATGACACCCTGGTCCATTGGTTGCAGTATTGATGTCACTTTGGGTGGAAAAAATTGAAGGTTGATGTTATTAAGTGAAATATTTGGATGAGCGGGGCAGTTATCGCCAAGAGCAAAATTTTACGATTTTTCGTGACAAGTTCAGCGTCCCACTGTTTTAAATATTCTTCAAAAATTGATGAAGTCATCAAAGCTTTATTATTTCCAACATAATCGACGAGAATTGTTTTAACATTTTTTAAACACCTGGGATTGTTAAATTTCCCTGAAATAAAAAAAAGGTCATAAATCCCTTTGCAGCACTGCCATTGAATATCAAGAAAATTAGAACATGAATTTCTATTCGTTCACTTACCTATTATCAATACTTTCAGTTTTTCAGTACCAGAAGCATTAGTACAAATCATAACAGTTATTCGCTCTTTTGAAAGTTTCCCTCCATTGCAAGTTTCACCTTTTAATTTATGAGTTTTATCTGGTAGCATTCTATAAAATATCCCGGTTTCATCTGCATTGAATGTGTTATCTGAATAATCATTGGATATTACGGGCTAAACTTGAGAAATCGAGTCATTGGTAACGTTCTTGTAAACTGAAGCTGACTCACCACACATTTTTCCAAAAACAATGTTATGTCATTTCTTAAACCTGTCTAGCCAGCCCGAACTACATTTGAAGTAATCACCAATCGATTTCCCAAATTCTTCAGCCTTTATTTGTAGCATAGGTCCACTTATTGGAAAATTATTGGCTCGCTTTTGTTGAAACCATTTAAACAGCGTATCATCGACTTGGGGATGCAGCGATAGCCGCATATTTTTCTTTTGAGTCATTTTTAATATTGTCATGGTTTTTTCAAATATTTGACACTGGATTTCTTTTAGCCATACGAGCTCACTAATTATTGTGAACTTTTCGCACTTTTCGACATGTTTATAACTCTAATAAATACAGTATAACACTGGTGGCCAAGTTCGAATGCATCAGCTAAATCTGTTTCGGGGAACTACCAAAATAGCTCGCATATAATGGATTAAAATAGTCCGCTATAAGCGAGGGTCTATTTTAAGCGAGTCTATAATATCCGAGGATTTTACATGCAATTATTTATAGGACCTTAAATTGTGTCCATTATAAGCAAGTTTATTATAAGTGGATTCCACTGTATTTAGATTTCAGTTTATTGTACGTTATTATTGTATCTCTGTGCACTGCGCACCCATTTGGTTGAATATCCTTGAAGATCTAAATCAGAGGTTCTCTATTCCGCCTACTGTCCACTTCAAGAACCAATTATTTTCGGAACGAGTGATGAGGGTGACGCGTCGGTACATTAAAAGCGACAGACAACTCATGCTCGCTCGTCGCTTAGTGGACGTCCTATTAGGGCCGGGAACGCCTACCCTAAGTAGTCCTGGGCTTTGCTAATTTTGTGCGGTGCTATCTTAAAATTCCAGTGATGGTTACGCGGAATCTCGGAATGTTACAGGACCTTTCAAACTCGTAGTAACTCATTGTAAAGGAATCTGAAAAAGGAAAAAAGAAAAGAAATTTCACCTGGAAGACAGAAAACAAAATATATTGCCACAGATGTCAATTGCAATTGAAAGACCACAGAGGTGGTCGGAACGTGGTACAATAAACTGAAATCTAAACATATATGAGGTTTTCATTCGGCCAGACAATGGGTTCCTAAAATAGGGTGTTCCATGGATATGTCGATCGTATTATGAACGAGTGCAGCTTTCGATCGGATCCATTAGATACTAGTTTATAAAAAATTATAAATATGCGTGTAAAATTGGGGTACATTCAATCCATTCCGTCACACGAAAAATGTTCGCTGTTTGCCACTACTCTGCATTATATTATTGTACGGTACAAAAATAGCCTAATCAATACGCATTTTTATTAATAAAAGGCGCTTTTCAAAGATGTCAGAGGAAAACGCGTAAAGCACGCATTCGAAAAGAAAAATAAGCCTATCAGTAATCCAAAGGGTGACAACCTAATGTTAATAAAACGTCATGTGGTTGTTCCTTCTCAGTACCAAAAAGAACTAAACCTTTATAGTCTCAGGCATTTAGTTTTTACTAACAGCTATGTTCATACGTACTTTGATGAAATTGTTCCCAAAATAAATCTCTTGTAATTTTTCGCATCCCAAAAAACTGGGAATTTCAGCAATATCATTATGCTGTGCGTGTAAAATTTGTAATTTACGTAGTTCACCCATAACTGGCAAATACTGAATGCTATTGTGGTTGATATCCAATTTCAACAGACCTAAAAACGGCCAGTGAAAGACTTCATATGTTATCATTACAAAACTGGCAAATATCTAGGGCTCGCTTTTTTCAATTACCTTTTGCCGACCTGGTTTGGGAATAAATAAAAGAGAATTTATACAGAGTAACGTAAATTTTGTTATTAACTCCCGTAGGGAGTGTCGTAAAATGAGAAAATAAATCAAGCTCCGTATAAAGCGCAGGTATTCTAATAGAAAAAATATCCGATCTCTTTTGCAAATATACACCCAAAAGAGTGCGGCTGAGTCCATAACACTAACTTTTTTTATCTAATATTAATTTGCCTCTAGATATTTGCCAGTATCAATGTTATCGATTTACTTCGAAGATTTACGATGTCTGGAGGCAGCTCGGTGAGTTTATTATGCGCCACATTAAGTTCTGTTAGACGTATTAGAAATCCCATGCCTGGCGGTAGATTTAAAATGGAGTTGTTAGAGAGATCCTACAACATCTATAGTTAAACAGAAATTGTTTAAAATACAACATACAATGTGTGTAGTAATGCAGACTTTACTAATGACCAGTTTAGTTGAGTTTCTACAGAATCCCTTAAATCACACTATTATATACTAGATAATCCTCCAATAAGATTCTTACGAGATGATGGCACTTGAAATATTAGTAAATTTTAGTATGTTTCAATTTATCTCTTACATTACACACAGTATGCTGAATTTCAATAAACTTTTCTTATGGGCGAATACTCACTAATTTTTCCAACATTACAAGGTCCGAAATGTCCTTAGAAATGCTCTCCAAGCAGTTACCACCAAGTGTTAGCTGTCTAAGTTCTACTAATTTAAAAAAATCATCTGGCAAGTGAGTGAGTTTATTGCTGTTAAGAGTAAGTTTGGTTAATTTTTGCAAGCTTCCTATTTCCTTTGGTAGTTCTGTTAGATTGTTACAATGTAACTAAAAAATAATAATTGAGTAGTTTGAGCATTTCAATCTAAACAAAAATACTTTAAGATATCTAATTAACTCAAGTAATTATTCATTTTCTAGCTAGATACAGCTCCATAGCAGGTTATCAAGTTTTCATGTTTGATGAAACACTTGATAAGCAGTCTGTTAAAGCCCCCATACACGTGCGGACAATTTGCGCAAACTCGGTGTTTGTACAAGTGGTGCCTGCTCTGAAGAGCTGATGCTGGAACCGCACGCTTGCCATTTGCCGCAAACTCCAAACCTCTACAAATGCTTGCCTTTTTTTTGAAGAAGCAAACGTCGCCGTCCACACGTTTCCGGGTGCGTCACTGAAAAGGCAACAGGCAAACATGACGGGCGTCGAACTTGTCTGCCGTAGCATTTTGCTTAAGCTATTTTTATTATAAAACCAAAAAAAAGTCAGATAAAACGAAAAGTACGACCAAGAAGGTGGTGGATGTTAAACATTCATATGAGTCCTACCAGGTATATGGTATTTGTTTTAATGAAATTGATATTTAGTTTCAAAAATAGTACCTATCACAAACGTATGGATGTGTCACAAACGCTTGTGGCAAACTCCTTTTGATTTGCGACCAAAAAACCGACACCCGATCGGATCGGCTACAAGCGCTTGCAAACCCACGCAAACCAAGCCAAACGCTCTATCCACATGTTTGCGTTTGTGACGATTTGCGGCGATTTGGCAAGCGTGCGGTTCCGACATGAAATTACAGAAAATTCAACCAAGGAATATAGAGGAAACTGCCTGAGGAGCAGGAGTTGACTGGCTCAAAGTTTGCACAAACCATACCATACATGGTCAAAAAATACTCAAACAAGGGATGTTTGAACAGATTACTCCAATTCTGACTGATTTACTCAAACAGTTTGCACAACCATTCAAACAGCCCCATCGACGGTCGAACTGTTTGCACAAATTGTTCACACATGTATGGCGGGCTTTAGATTCAAAAGACATTATGGATAATTAAATCATCAAGTGGCCTTATATGTACATGTCTGACAAAATACATATGATTGATTTGATAATTTCTTTAGTGTATTCTAAGAGGTTATATCATATTTATGAAACATTCAAAAAATTATTACATTAAGGACCAATAGATCTTGAAACATCCCAATTTTCCCTGGAATATCTGTAAGCACATTGGAGCTCAAATCTAAATGACTCAAAGGCTTGATATTCCACCAGGAATCTTCTTCTTTCTTAGGTTTGCCAAAATCCCAGTCAACTGTGCTTTCATCTTCTGCATCATAGATAGAAAACAATTTTTCTGGCACTGAAATGTAATGTTATCACCAACATTACGAGTGAGTTTATAATAATACTGATTCAATTATTAATAAAGAAAGTGTACTTATGGAGGCATAAAACTAGCTATTGTATGTAATTGTCAAATCACTCTCTCTTTCATGTTACGTATATACAATACCAGAGCAGGAAATCTGGAGCCCTACTTTGCTGTTGAGGAAAATGAAGAGTAGGAGAAGGGATTACTTACATTATTTTTGGGAGCCTTATCAAATTGGGGCCTTGTGTACAGGCCCATAACATTATTTCAGAAGTAAAGAATCACATGAGATATATGAGCATAAGGAGAACAAATATAGCTCCAGTGAGTTGATGAATAACACCTAAATCAAGCATATATCTCAGAAAAATTCACAATATTTTTCAAGTACAATATACAGTATGATCCTTAATAATGTGCTAATGCTTTTTTGCTACAGGCAGACAAGGTGCAGGATTTTTCTCATGAGAGGCCAATCATTGGAAAGGCTAACTTTTTGTGAAAATGTACCAGCGCAAAAAAATAAATAAAAGCGAAGATGAGGCGAGGAAGCAAATTTTCTTTGAGGGGTGGTTGAATCCTGAAAATCCAAAAAAATGTACACAAGATTCTAAATCTGCAATTTTAAGATCCTACCAGATTTGGTGGAATAATTTTTCTCTAATGACCAACTGAGTGTTTTGTATCCCTTTGTAAATACACTTTCAAGCCATGGTTTAACTGCTCAAATATTTTTGCGTATCTACTTACCAGTGGCAATATGCCTAGAGGACAAATTTAATTGACCTGTACGCCTCACACTTTTGATTACTTCTTTAGTTATGTGTTGATCTTCCTCCTTTTTCGTCTGCAAATGAAAAACAGGACTTATATGTTTTCTTCTTGACCGAACTTTTGAGTGTTTTTCCATCACGGGGGCCTTTGTTTTTAAAATGCAAACAAAAACAAGACAGAAGACACTCGCAGTCACGAGTCACGGTAGCCTTGTGTAAGTGACGTTTACATAGCTGTCAGATTGCTACGGTTATTTTGTCTCTATTATCATAGTCCAGTAATTTTATTGATTGTCGTATTAGGTACCTTTGGTTAAAATCAGTTTTTACACGTTTTCACGCATAGTATGCACCTACTTAGTGCTAAATATTTGCTCTATTCATACTGTCCTAAAACTGGTAAATAGTATTTTGGTGCAAGTTTAGGAGAAATGTTTCTCCTGTTGCCATTCTAAAAATCTTTGAGATTTAAGAACGTCATATATAGTATGTACTATAATACGGATCACCAGTCGAACTTAGTGAAAAATAGTACATTTTTAGGCGGATTCATATGACTTTGAGAGCTCGGTACACGGTGCAATACGCTGCCACACGCAATACGTAGATGCTGTATTGTCGTGCGTATTTTAGATATACCGTCCCCGGAAGACGAAGTGAAAACGAGCTGCCGAAATGCTCTACACAGTCTGTCCCTGATTCGCTTCTCCAAACAGGGATCTCGGATACTGTTATACCTACAGCAAACGATAAATGCGGAAAGTTTTAGAGGAAGACAGAGCCTACTTAGACGAAAAAATGCGTTACTTATAAATTTTATTTTATGACAAATAAATAATTTTCTCCTTAGAAAAAAATTAATACATAACATTATGTGTGATAATATTTCGGTGATACTCCAACCTTTTATGTACTTATGAGACATCACTAGTCTGGAAATTCAATTCAATCTTTTCAAAAAATCCAATATGGCAGTGATAAGAAAAATGAAAGTTGAGGCGGGTTGCTGGAAAACAAAAGACGTTTGAGACATTTCACACATTCTGTCTTATTTTTTCCTAAAAAATATCCGAATCATGTCACATTTTGACAGCTGTCAAATTAACCGTTTTGGATTTACTGGCTAATAACAAATTCCAAATTTTCGGTTTTTCGCCTATTTTTCAAAAAGAATTGACCGACCGTAATTCTGAAGCCTCTAAAACTTTCCCCATTTAACCTTTGCCGTAGGTATAACAGGAGCCGAGATCCCTGTATAGAGAAGCGAACCTGTGTCACACTGTATAATTAGATGGATGAGCGTTATGCAACGCGTGAACGTCACATCGTCGAGAGCTGTGCTGCTGTGTTGTATTGGATATGCTGAATATATCTGTAAAATTTGCGATTTTATATCTAAGCTGGCAGCGTTGCAAATAAAATCAAATATCAACGTCATTTCTTATGTCACCCAAATGTCATGGTATCCTTTGTCCCTCTCGCACCAACGTATCATTTAAGCGTCTTTCTTCTTTTTTTGTTTTGATTTTTTCATGAATGCCGTGTCTGTTGGTGCTTGGTGACGTTACGCTCTTACAACTTTCTATTTATACTCTTTGCTCATTTTAGCAAATTAAATTGTGTATTAAATATGCAAAACCACAAGTAGTCGGTTATTGATTACTTTCACGTGAGCGGTTTCCGCGGGTTACAGTGATAGGACACAATAGATATATCTTTTTCTGGTTCCCAGAATAAACAAGTTCGAAATTGATGTGCAGTGTATTTTAAAATTATGTAAAAACATTCTGAAATCTAGCCAGATAGTTAATGCAAATGAAAATTCAGGGTCAAGCTAATGCAAACGCGGAATATTTCAACACACAATACCGAAATGTGCAGAATAGGCGGAAACATCAAATTTGTTTACAAAACTTGTGCAGGCTCTAAATAGGTCACCCAGCTACAATACATACGATGAACGAACTCTAACAAGTGTCGTCGAATATTGTAAAATGAACGAGTTGGATGGTGATGATGGTGAATTAGACCCTAGGATACAGATAGAGTTGGAAAAACTTAACACAACCACAGACGAGATCAATAAACTTGAAATTGAATATGATGTAAGTACAGTTTATATCACCTTAAAATAAACTAACCAAAGCTGATAATTATCTAGGGCCCCACCTACATGTTAAGGTACCTATTCACACCCCCCCCAGCTCTCAGTCTAAATTTGGCATTGCATGAATACAAAAACAAAAAATACAAAAAACTAGATGGTGTCCTTGATACTTGAATATTGTTTTTTGATGGTATCCATATGACTAACAATGTCATTAATTTCTGTTAGTCTGTATATTTTTCTGCCTGTCTCTATCCTATTATATTAAGGATGGAAAAGCTTTATAGTTTTTGGAAATTGATCTAGTTACACAAAGCTAGAGGTAAAAAACAAAAAAAATAGAAATCACTCAAACTTCATCTGACACCTGATCATTTTCTGAAAAATTTTTGTATGTCTTAGAAATTGGAAGTTGAGGGTTGTAGGGGGTGGGGGAGGGTATATCTCAATTTTTTGGCACTTTACACTCCTATCAGTACTTATTTCATGGACTATAGATTTCCTCACATATATGCCCTCAATATTGGAGAAATATTTTCAGCAGATGCATTGTGAGTTGGTTTCAGTTGCATGCCAACAGCTCACTGCAACCATAGCCGATGGTCATTACTTTTGGAAGGGCAAGGAAGAAATTTCTAGCATTATCAAATGGGTGGGGATTATGGACTAACTGTATGCACCTGTTTGGCCGACTTGATCCATTTAATTTTTTTATTATTTCATTCTTTTTATTTCTTTATTGGTGATAAATACAGATAGATATAGAAGAGTAAGGACCCCTAGGTTGATGAATACCTCCCTACATTGCTGCATATAACTCAGACCTACGATGACTCTCACGCAGCACCTTTGGAGTGCAAATACCTTTGGCATATGCACAGAGTGACCCCAGTTCAAAAGTGCATTCTTGAGTGGAAGTTTCCATAATATGTGGTTAGCAACGTATCACCAGAAACACAGCTTTTCAGATTCCTAATTAAATAAATGGTCTTGGATAGTTCCCTGAAAATACTGTTTACATGTCTCTACCAAGTCATGTGTCAATCAACACTGACACCCAAAATTTTTACTGTGTCTACCATATTGATGTTATGGTGACACAAACTTATTGCCATGAACTGTGTCTTTGAACCATTAAGTGTCAATTTATTTGCTAAAAACCAATTTTCTAAATTTACTGCTTATTCAATATTCGCAGAGAGAAGTAGATCAATTGATTTACTACTACAGAGCATTATTGTATCATCGGCAAACAGTATAAGGTTGTTGTTTGTATTACAATTGGGAAGGTCATTAATGTATATTAAAAATAAAATTGGACCCAGCACAGATCCCTGTGGGACACGACATGAAAGTGTTGTTGAAGGTTACAAGCTGCTGTCTGTTGCTGAAATAAGATGACAAAAGCCTAATGTTATTATTATGGAACTTGTAATGCGACAATTTTTGTAGAAGAATGTCATGTTGGACACAATCGAACGCCTTAGTAAGATCAAAACAATTAGCTAAGCAATGAGCACCACTTTCAAAAGCTGCATTTATTTTCTCAATGAAGCTGTCAATAGCTAGAGAGGTAGACGTACCTGATCTGAAACCGAACTGACAGTCAGTAAATAGGCTGTTGCTTTCAAAATAGTCAATCAGCTGATCTTTCAAAAGAATCTCAAGTATTTTAGCAAGCAGGGGTATAAGTGAAATAGGTCTATAATTTGAAAGATCATTGGTAACGCCTTTTTTAAAGAGGGGGATAACTTTCGACAGTTTGAAAATATCAGGAAATATACCATTTGAAATACACCAATTGAATAATTTTGTTGGTATAATAATGATATTTTGAATAGTTGTAATAATTTTCACATTGAAACCGAAAACATCAAAACTTTTAGATTTATTTAATTTATCTATTGCTGCCTTGACTTGATTATAAGTAACCTCCTTAAAAATAAAACCTTCTTTATGAGTTACCTCATGCAAATAGCTTGTATGAGTTGAAGCTGAAGATGGAATTTGGTCTACTAAATTACTTGCAATGTTAGTAAAATAAAGATTAAAGTCAGATGCGCTAAGCGTCGTGCTTGTATGTTGGCTTTTCATTGGTTTGTTGTTTTCAATAACATTCCATACTGCATGTTTTCTATTTTTAGCATTTTTAATATAACGATCATTAGCTTGTTTTTTGGCTTGATTTATCGTACGTCTATATTCACACTTGTATAAGTTGAGATACTCTTTATTAACAATTTGTATGATGAGATTTGTATAGTTGTTATATATTTGTAGCTTACTTTTTCCTCAGTGGCACAGACTTGTGCCTAACATAATCCTTTAAGTATTGCTGACGGTATTGTGCTGGATGTGCAGTATCAGTCTACCTGACACCATTTTTTTATTTTGTTATAAATTTCGTATAATAATTTGTTGTAGGAGGCAAACACCACCTTTCGCATGCTGTTGAATGAGTCTACACGTCGTCTGAAATTGCTTTCAAAACGCTTAGGAAGTTGTATAGACAAATCACGATTATATTATGAGCTATTAGATAGGCAAGTGTTTTAACATACCATAAAGTTGTCAGTCAATACAATGAAGTTGATTATGTATAGAGCAATGCAGCAGAAGAACTTTGCTTCTCTTCCCATTGATGGATATGCACATTTATTCTATATTTTTTGTGTAGATATAAAGAAGCACAAGCAGAATGTCAGAGGGCAGCAGCATTATACAAAAAGGCTCATGGAGTTCATGCAGCAGCAAAAGAAACTGTTGCATTGGCAGAACAACGATTCTTGGAGAACAGGGATGAGTGGCAGTTTGATAATGCTTGGCAGGAAATGCTAAATCATGCAACCATGAAAGTAAGTTGTATAGTCTGAAGTAATGAAGCTCAAAAAATATCTTAGTTTTTTATTGGTCACTACTAAAGTTTATACTAAATGTTTTTTGAAATTTATGGCAAAGGGGCTTAAAAAGGGGTAAACATAGATACAGACAGCTGCTTATGTAGGTAAACTTTTGCAGTGGTTGACTCTAGTACCAGATGGCACTTTCTGACATCTTAACATAATCTACAAATGTCTTAGCAGTATTGAGGTTTCAAGCCAAAATGCTACATGCTACATGGTGTTTAATATTATTGTCTGCGTTCAGCGATCAGTATGTTACTGTATGCTAATATTTGCTCAAAACTTCAATATATGGAAGTGCCTTATGACTATCAACTATAGATAGTTTCTGTTCTGTTTCTTTATTAGTTGAATAATAATACATACCAGAAAACCACTATTTTGATAATTATCTCCACATCCAAACTGATTGGGGTCTGGATTGAATACATCATAGAACATGTTTGTAACTGATTGGCCAGGTAGTATCAGCATAATATATACTAAAAAGAAGCTCCAATTGCTGTCACATGAAAAATGACAAGGTCAATTTATACAGGGTACATATTTTAATAGATAGATAATACTCAAACAGCTTATCTAAAATTGCTCACCTTTATCAATGGATGTTTGAAATAAATAATCTTCAATAACTGAACGTCAAGAACTCGTTTTTTCTTCGATAATATAAACCGATAAAGTGGATTGTTTAATATATTTTACAAACAGTACCTGTTAATTAAAGGAAATGGGTTTTTGAGAAGGAAATGCAATATTGTATGGCTGAGGAATTGAAAATTGGATTCAACGAATCGATCGCTGCGAACGTGCCCGTGGTGGACACATGAGCGAGGTCGAATCCCATACATAAATTTTTCGAGAATACCTACTTCAATCCAATAATAAAATTTTCGAGATATCTCAAATGGTATGCGTTTTATTTAAAAAGAAAGTTGTCAAGTCCTTAATGGAAAACCCTTTACTTGAAGTAAAACAAAACACCAGACAAATCTAAATCAAGATGGTCACGCTAAGAAAACGAATTTCGAAATGCAACGCCCCATAACCCTTACTCACTTTGGTCATGTCAAATTCCTTCAAGGCGTTTGAGCTGTAACCCGTGAAATAGATATTCCAAAGTTATTTCCCGTTTTATTCCAGACTATAATTTATCTCTGTACCACATGTTATCCAGATCTGTTAAGCCATATTGGCGTGATTGAATAACAACCACACTTTCTAACTTATAATATTAGTAGGGATTTTTTATTGTAGGTAATGGAAGCTGAGAATGAAAAAGCTGAGAGTGGAAGAGAACATCAGAGGAGAGCAAAAATATGTGCAGATATTGAGGAGAAATTGAAGCATGAGGAAGAAAAGGCTGGAAGAGCTATATCAAAAGCAAGAGCTTATTTTGATGAAAAGCAGGTTGGTCTTGATATTGATCTTTTTTTTAGTTTCAGTTTTTTGTAGTATGTCATGGTCAAATAGACCCTTTTTCACCTTGCAGCTTTTGTTTGAAGCATCTCCAAAACAATCTGATATTTTTGTTAGACTGTAAAATAACATTGAAACTTGACTTTGGAGTAAGATCATATCTTATCGTGAAATATCACTCTTTTTTCATTTTTAGCGTCAAAGTGGCGGCAATTTAAATGTTTGATGTTGATGTTGACCAAATGACCTTGATCAATCCAAGGTCATTTCCATGGTCACTGCAACATAGCTACATATCATCATACAACTTTTGTCTGTCACGTTTTTCGAATAAATATGTTCCTGCCAAGATATTACAATGCCTGAATATTAATGTATCACCCAATACAGGGTGTCTCAAATTCGACCCTTACCATTGCAATATTGGAAACTGTAATTGATTCAAAGTCGCTTAAATGTGTTCAAAGCTGTGTATTTAGGTAATCAACAAAATGCCACTTAGCAAGTTACGAAATTTAAAGTAGTTCCGGAGAAAAACGTATTTTTCCTAAAATGATTTTAATTTTTTGCTGACTTTATTTGTAGTGGGATTTCAAAATAAATTGCACATTAAATTGCCACTTTTGCCCCTCTACAAGAAGGCATGATTAGAATTTCAATGTGTTCAAGTTTTTGTCCTCCAGAATCAAATGTATTTTGTCTTGCTTATGCCATACAGGTGAATAGAGTTTTTAATTCTGATTCCAAAAAAGTATAATACGTCATATTGAAATTCTAGTTATGCCATCTTATAATGGAGAAAAAGTGGCAATGTTAATGTGCAATCTATTTTGAAATTCTACTACAGATAAAGTCAGGAAAAAGTAAAACGATTTTAGGAAAAATCTGTTTTTTTTTCATCTTTCTCCGGAAGTGACATTTTGTTTATTAATTAAATACTTAACTTTGTCCCCATTCGTATCTCTTACAGTGTCCGAGATCCTAATGGTGAGTGTAGAATTTGAAACACCCTCCACAATATACATTATGATTATGTAACTTTTGGAACTTCATAGTGATAATTAGGACATATTGTGATGATTCCAATTTGCATCTAAACTTTTGTACTTAGATGCCTTCATATTTTATTTCAGCTATGTCAAGAACAGTTGAACACCCAAAAAGAACGCATTGAAAGCCTGAAACGAGATATAATCGCGGCAAAACAACATTATTCTCAAACGTTGAAGAACCTTGAACAGATTTCGAACGAAATCCATGAAAAGAGGCGCGATGTGCTTCTGCGCGGTCCTAGAGAACCAGGCGTTGGAGCTGAACTAAATGTTGCTTTCCATGAAGGTTAGTTTTGAAAGTTTCTGCAAAAACGTGTGTCTATTTTTTGTAGATTTTTTATCGTTATGGTAGGAATTTCTAAAAGTGCTGTGAGTATTTCCTGGTCGGACGCCGCCGTCGAGAGATAGTAAAGCAGTCACAGTTGCATATATACTACATTTTGATTTGTTAAAAGAATTGCCTGGAGTCATGTTTGATCTACATTTGATGAGCGATGAAGGATACGGTTTCATTCTGTTCTGCATGTAACATATATTGATGAAATCAATATTATATTAAAAATGTATATATTCCCGTTGACTGCGACTGGTTGCCGAAATCTGCGGCACAGTGGCAAAGTATAATATTCATTGACAAGATAAAGGAATCGTGTTTGTTGGAATGTGATAAAAATCTGGAACGATATGGTACCAATACATTGGAAAATAATATACCGCGGAGTTCAGCTTAACACGAGGCTGTTAGCATGATCTCATATTAATGCTCGCCTATCTAAACCAAAGGCAGCACTTGCCTTGTTGGACCCCATAATTGAATCGAAGTCAAAAGTATAAGTCGGATATGCTTGAACACACTTGAATGAATCAATCATGAAATTAGAGTCATACCGGCCACCATAAGGAGCCAGTGCATAGGCCACTTAAGCGAGGCCGTTTGCACAACTACATTCCTTAGACCTCAAGCATCGCCATTCTAATGAAGTTGAGTAAGGACCAAACTCCTTAACGTCCTGGGGGTCCAAAATGATGGTCCCCAGTATAGTCTGCCTGTAGTAGCTCAGAGCCTCACAGTGATACCGACCGCGTACCGAGGTCTCTTCCTCTACCCCGCAGCGCTCACACAAGGGATCCTCAGCCACCCCCATTACGTGCAGGTGGCGCCTTAACATGTTATGGCCAGGCAACAGTCTCACCAGCAACCTTAGGTTGGCTCTATCCAAAGATAAGTAGGAACGTCCATCCTTAGCTCTGGGCCCTACAATGACACACCGCTAAAGCTGGCTCAAGGCCAACGAGCTTGCTGGCTGATCTTGTCTTCGCCAGAGAGTCCGCTTTTTAATGCCCTTTATCCCAGCGTGCCCACACTAACGATACCGGAGGCCTAGCTGCTAGATAATCCAGAGCCTCCCTGCATTGCAATACAAGGCTCGAAATAATCTTTCAGGCACTTAGAGCCTTCATTGCAGCATGGCTGTCGGAGAAGACTGTTATTCTTCTCCTGGGCGCTCCCCCCTCCAAAATGAGGGATACACAAGCCAGAATCGCAAAGATTTCCGTCTGGCTACCGGCGTCCCACTCCTCCCTCGTTGGATATTTCACATTAAACTTGGCGGTTGAAGCGGGGGTAATTAGATTATCCTTGCTTATAAGAACGGGATCCTCCCATTGAAGTTCAACTAGGATGGCAGTATAACCTCTGGCAGGATTCAAGAAGACTCGGCTGTCCTAACTCCACAGTCGATGTGCGACTAATCTCGCTTCACCGCGAATCATTAGATTCAACCGGTGGAGGTCTAGCAGTGCTTGCATTGCACTGAATGGCATTGTTCGCACCACGCTTGTAATGCTAATACAGGCTAATCGCCGAATTTTATTGAGTTTGGTCTTAGTGGTCTCAGTTCCAATGCAATGCCACCAAACCAGGGAGCCGTACAAGAGACTTGGACGTACTATCGCCGTGTAGAGCCAGTGTACCACTTAAGTTTAAGCACCTACCTTACACTGAAAACACGTCTGCAAGCCCACATTGAATTTCGATCCTTGTTAACCTTGTATTCAACATGCATCTCCAGTTCAGCTTGCAATCCAGAGATGATTCTTAAATATTTTACTAATTGAGATAGAGCTAATCTAGTCCCAAACAAGGTCAGCAAGACAAGCCCGTCAAGCATTCTTCTCCTAGTGAATAGGATCAGCTCGGTCTTTCCAGCGTTGACAGAAAGATCGACTTCCCTACACCACAATTCCACAGTGCACAGAGCGCCCTGCATAATCTCAGAGACTATTCTATAAAACGACCCCTAACTACGAGTACTATGCTTAAGTCGTCAGCATAGCATGAGGCACCACAGAAGGGGTGAATAGAACTTCGCCCTGCGGGCAGCCTCCAGCTACGCTGACGCTGTAACACACTTAGCCCTTCAGCAGCCAAGGTTTCAAACGAGATGTCAACTCAGTGTCGTGCATTCCACCATAAGTATTGGAAACGGAGTGGCACCAAGAATTTCTCCGGTCTTAGCACTTTGGTGTACAAAGCCACAAGTTGATCAAATAGTTCAAATTATTGCTGAGAAATTAATCAGAATACTATTTTTTCAATGTCTTCCAATAGTAATATGTCCTCCCTCAACCCTGTATTTGCAATTCCATGGTATCTTGTTAACACGTCCTTGGCAAGATTTATCGCTTTCAAACTCATATATTTGCTTCTTATTAAGTTTCAATTCACCCTTATTTATCACCCTCAAGGGTGGAGAGTAGGGTGTGATATTAGTTGCAAAATATCCCAGATCAAAGTTGAAAAGGGTATCTAGGATCTCAAAAACCCAGGCTTGCTTTGGTGAAGTTTGATAATCAAGATCTACTATTCATTGGGTGTGCAATATCTCAGTGAAATATACTCTTAATATCCTTGATTTTTTAGCAATGAAGTAGTCTTACATCAAGAATGAAACGATAAGATTCGCATGAAATATTGACAAGTAATAAAAAAAAATAATGTGTTGGGCGACCCCGTAGCTGAATACACTCTTGTGTACGTCTAGGCATCGACAAAATGAGATGATCGATGTCTGGTTGTGGCACCGTGGTGGCACCTCATTCCAAGCAACTCGAACTTCCTGGATTAGCTGTGGCAGAGTCTGTGGCGAATGGTGCAAAGTGGATAGTCTCCTCCCCATCATATCCCACACATGTTCGATGGGATTTAAATCTGGTTAACGGCCACGGCAAAGCATTAACGCCTACTTTTTAAAGAAAATCCGTAGCACGACGAGCAATATGGGGACGTGCATTGTCTTGTTGAAAAAGCACGTGTGGACGGTCCTCTAGATACGGCAGTAACGTGGTTTGTAGGACATCATCAACATAACGTGCAGCAGTCATATTGCCTTGAACAAAGAGGTGGGATGATCGGCTATCATAGGCAATAGCCCCCCAATACCATTACTCCAACAGTCCTGTGTACATGCCTTTCAACAGCAAATCCAATGTAACGCTGTTCTCCTCTGCGACGTCTTACCCTTCTGCGACCATCGTGCGTACCTAGACAGAATCGCGATTCGTCGCTGAAGATGACATTATGCCATTCTGCCTCCCAATGTTGCCGTTCTCTGCTTCAGTTCAAACGTTGACGACAGTGGTACGTGGACGGTATGAAAAAAGTCCAAAGGGTCGAATGCGACGATAGAGTGTACGCATAGTAACAGGTCTAGCTTCTTCTCCAAACCATTGGTCAGCGATCTGACGCGTAGTAGCAAAACGGTCTCGAGGGGCTAGTTCTCTGAAGCGTCTATCTTGAGGCTCTGTGTACGCATCGGTGGACCAGTTGGACTTCTTCTATCCACACGCGACACACACGCATAACTGTCATTGCAGTACAATCAACACGGCGGCCAATTTCGCGATAGGATAAACCAACATCTCGATAGGCAGTAGTTCTACCCCTGTCAAATAAGTCGCTAATTTGGTGATAATTTGGACGTCTTCGAACTCAAGCCATTTTGTCATGCTTAACAAAAGTAAATGAAAGGTCAATAACTAAGAGAACATTTTAACAAAGGCAAACAAAAACAAAGATAAAACGATGACGTTGTTGCCACAGCATATTTTAAAAATAAAGATAGTCATTATGTTGCCAAAAAACAAGTTGAAGAAATTATTTTTTCTGGGTGAAACACTTCTGTCATTGAGTATACTTTTTCTTGAAACATGTAATATTAAAATAAACCTATATTTTGAGGTTTGTAACAGTTTGATTTGAATCTGACAATATTCTCTTTTGATCTGACAGTGAAATATTTGCACCGTTGCCAGACCTCAGTTGATAAATGCTCACCTAAAAAGGTGTTCCGTGGTGTTTTACGAAGCAAGTATAATTCTGTAGGCATGTTACCAAGAGGCAAGATAGGGTATTTTTCACGAGTATCTATTACGTTTAGACATCTCCTACGGTGAACAGCTGATCACAGAAGCGAAATATTTGTATTAGCCTGTAACTTTGGCAATAATGAACTTCAGGACTGTATTCGAGGCTATTGTTCACAAACTTGGATTATACTTTTGAGTGACTGGAAAATGTGACAATAAAATGTATGAAGTACAGATATAAAATTTTTTTTCAGAAAATTATTTTACTACATAATAGTAATGAATACAGCTCACTCAAACAGAAAAATGAAAATAAACTGTTCTTCCTGGAATTTGCCATTTCCTATGTAATGATGGCATAGCATCAATTTGCTGACATGGTACATCCAAATGAATATCTTACTCTCTTTGTAAAAACCATAAACTACATTTCTTATTTCCCTCCCACAAGCGCTATCAGCTTATGCTCGACGTTTGCGTTTCCTATGGATTTTTGCAGTGTTCTTAACAGTGGACTTATGCTTGTATTAACGAACACTGCATTGTCCTAGTTCAGTACATTTCACGACTTAATGCAGCAGTTGTACATTTTACTTACATTTTTCTGATTTCTAACTTGTTAGAATTACCTGAGTAATGTTCAGACCTGATTCTGGAAATCGAACCTCTATCAATTCGGTCACATACTGGTACACATTCTGAATTAATTGTACGGCTGTTTCATTGCCCTTTAAAATCATATGGTATTTCAAGTTATAAAAAGTAGAGATGATTAACAAAGTCACAAACTGTTTATCTTATTTTATTCCTACCTGACTTGAAATGTAGTCATGAACTTTTCCAAATAAAAGAGCTGTTAGCATGTACAAAATGAATCTGTAGCATGCAAAAAACACAGTAAAATACGGATCTGTCTACCTGGCGTTGACTGATGCCTCAGAATTAATTATGCGTCACTTGTCGATATGGGGAGTTTTGAAATATCCCTTCATAATCACCTGTTTTTCTACCGTGCCGGATACTCGTGGATAATACCGTATTCAGGGTTGAGGGAACTGGAGGATTGGGAATGGCATATTACGGGTAAAACCTATTCATTATTGTTAGTCGATATTCAAAAAATAATTATCTAATATTTAACCTAAAATTAATTTGGAGCAAAAACCGTCCAAATCGACCCACATCCAGTAAAGTGATAATGTCTAGATAACTTACTAGCAACCAAGGTAGATACACCTACGATTGGTCAAATTTGCAATTTGAGGTTAATCCAAAACATACATTTCTCTTTTTGTTGCTAAACAAAATCGTGTAAAATTGGGGGTAAACCATATTTCACGGGTCTTTATCACGTTTTGACGTCTACCGAGGTGAACAGCTGATCAGCAAGTGACATCTTTGTGTTCTAGTCTCTAACGTTGGCAATAATGAATCGGCTGTAACTGTAGTGTAACTTGATTGCAGCGTTTTTTATGCAAATGAAGGTTTGTAAATGAAGGAGTTGTCAGCCAGTACAACCTTATTCTGTAGCATACAAAAACCAAAACAAAATACGGCTCCGTCTACCTGGCGTTGATGGATCCTTCAGAATTATGTCATTTGTCGATATGGGGACTTTTGAAATATTACTGGATAATTAGCTGTTATTCTATCGTAATTGATACTCGTGAAAAAGACCATAGCGCCGTAAACGTTGAATAACTATGAGATGACTTACATGTTTTCAGAAAGTTGTAAATCAAGCTTTTTGCAGGTGCTCTCAGCTATATAAAAACATAAGTTATTCTTAAAACCTGCATGTCACTCCATAGCTATTCAACTTTTAGGGCCTTACGCGGTTATAAGAGATAATTTAGTAATAAAGGAGAAACGTTTGCTTTAGATTCAAGTATTTTATAACCTCAAATTGCATATTTGACTAATCGTCAGTGTATTTGGCATGGTTTCCAGTTATCTAGACAACCCTCACTTCAGTATGTAATTAAAATTTGATTTGATTGAATGTGTAATAAACATCGATATTGTTCGCCCATTTCAATAACGTATGTACTAAAAGTTTTGGCACAAAATATCGGTTTTTTTTAACGAAGAAATTTATTTAAACACTAACAGTTATTATAAATTACAACTCAATAGGTAACTACTAACTATACTCGTACTATCGAATTATGGCCCATTCTGCTCTACCAGACGCAGCTTTCTTTGAATGTCTCTCATGAGGTCGTGGCCGGAATTCAAATCAATTTCTCTCCGTTTTTCATAAATTCGCCGTCTTAATTGTTCTTCATCTTGGGCTTTCCAGCCTCCATGATAGACACTAAAGCCCAAAAATTCTCTATTAGGCGATCCTGCGGAAAGTTTGGAGGATTATCGTTTTGGGGAACAAAGGGTGTGTTGTGTTATCGAAGCCAGTTTTAGGTATCTTTTGAGTCATAGCATGTTGCTAGGTCTGACCAAAACATTTTTCTATTTCTAATTTACACGACATCTTAAATCGAAAACTTCAAACTAAATAAATGTCAATTGACGGTGAAGTAAGTAAACAAACTTTTGTTTCCAAAGGCAACTTGATATCATTCTGTGTTTGTTAAAATTAAAGCCAATGCGTTTTGTGTCAAAACTCTTAGGACATAAGTTAGAACCACCCTTAAATAATACTGCTTCCCTTCGCCCGACCACAAACGTGTACAGGTTTTCCATGCTTTTAATCATCAGTACGTATAAGGCCAATCCTAATACGATTGCATCTTTCTCTTCTTCCAGGTCCTCACAAAGAACCCGCTGAGTCAGCCCACCAAGAACTGCCGGACATCGCCAACGAACTAGACAAATGCTACATCCGACGGACAACGGGCGCGAGCAGCGTGAATGCCAGCAGCGCCACCAGCGATAGAGACGGCAACGAAACCGATGACGATCTGGACTCGTTGGAGGTGGACAGCAGGACGGCGGAAGGCAAGAGCGAAGATGTGTACGTGTCTGAGTACCAGATGGGGCCGTTGTCGCCGGCAAAGATACCGGTGGAAGTGCGGCCGAAAGAGGCTGGAAGCTAAGATTAAGGTGAATTGAGATTCAAATACACTACTCAAAAAAATTAAGGCAGCAAGGGAAACATCAACATGTTTCGATGATTTTTGACAGTATGTAATGCGGTGAAAAATGGTCGTATCTAGACTTTAAAAAAAGCATTTGATAGCTTCAAGATTCTAGATTTCAGGGTTTTTAGCCGAAAAATTTCAGGAATAACGGTTCTAATGCAATTCTAACAGACAGCGCAAGAAAATTCTTTTGCAAACTGTTTGTTCTTTTTAGTCCATGGAAAAGTGTTTTGTGTTAGGTCATCATATGGATCGGATAGCCCGTTTATTCAGCTTCAATATCCTGTTTTTAAAATCTCGATGTGATCATTTATCGCGATATCTGACTTTGGATGAAAAATGATCCTTTTGCCATCGACTACTGATATCTCGGTAATCAGTGATCGCACAGAGAATGTAAGGGTATTTCCGAAAACTGGAAGAATTTTATTGCAATCTTTCTTTTCCTGATGTTCGCGCTCAAATGAATAAATAGGTTTTTGTAGCCAAACCAGTTGTTTTATGAAGAATTTCTTGATTTATTATGGTAATTTGGGGCCCATCTTACATAGATCGTATAATTTTTCGCTAATTTGAGAGATTTTACAAGAAATCGACCATAATCATTGGATCCATTTCTTCAATAGTAAAATTGGGGACAAACTATTTCACCCAAACAAAAATTTTAGAGAACACCTCATTCTTGATAATACTAGGATCTTTCATTTTTAGGAAATTATGGAATAGATTCAATACTATGATTTTTTCCAGGTCGGATGGGGGAGAGTTGTTTAGGGCCAGTGTCCTTCCAACAGACGTCAACTATTGAGGTATTCAATAATTTTTGTAAAGTTGTGTATTATTATTATTGTTATTACGTAGAAGTAATGGAATTGATGAACAATTATTCGAGTGTTTTACTACCTTTAACGGTGAACGTCATTGGCCATTTTTCACCCAAAGTGATTTCACATTGACCTTCAGGGGATCGACGAGATCCTGCACAAGAATATTACCTTAAACAACATTTATTGCATCTTCAATTCCCGTGGGTGAAGATTTAAGACCACAGAAATACAAGGAATCATCAAAATTGTGACTGCTTTCCTGTATTAACTTCTCGAGTTCATCAGGCAAACACCCCGAACGCGAGTAGTCGTTATTCTTTGATCCACCCGGCGATATCGATTGCTTTTTTTCAGGGTCCTTGCCTAACTTAGACACTTAATTCCACCAGACTTTTTTAGTCCACACGACGGATTACTCTTGATCGTGGTGTTTGCTTAATACACTTGGGGAGTTAACGTTACTAGACTTTATTTTTTAATCCTCCCAACAATATCGGGTACTCCCGTGTTTGATCAATAAACCTGCGAAGATAATTTGACCAAACTATTTTCTAAAGCTGTTGATGTCATCAGACAATATCAACTGCTATCGTTCAGTTTTTACCTAATAAATCTGGGAAATTATCCGGATGCTTTCTTAAATCCCCCGACGAAATAAATTACTCTCGTTTGAGCTATTTGTACAATAAACCTGCGAAGTTAGTTTGACCAGACTATTTTGATCCTTCCGACGATATGCTCCCGTTCGGTTTTTCCGCCTGACAAACCTGGGAAGTTAGTTTCACCAGATTATTTTCTTTAATCCTCTGGACAATTAATCATTATCAGTTACTATCGTTTGAAGTGTTTGCCTAATAAACCAGGCTGTTTTCTTTAATCCTACCGACGACATCAACTGCTCTCGATTGGTTTTTGCTTAATAAATCTGGGAAGCTAGTTTCACCATACTATGTTCTTTAATACTGCAGACGAAATCATTCTCGCTTGAGGTGTTTGCCCAATAAACATGCGAAGTTAATTTGACCAGTCTATTATTTTAATCTTCCCGACCACGCGAACTGCTCCCAGTCCGTTATATTTGTCTAATAAAACTGGAAAGTTAATTTTATCAGACTATTTTCTTCAATTCTCCCTACGACATCAGCTTCTCTCCTTAGCTCTTTTTTTGCTTAACATACCTGAAAAGTTAGTTTCACCATACTATTTTTTTGATCCTCCCGACGAGGTCATTCTCGTTTGAGGTGATTGCTCAATAAACCTGCGAAGTTAATTTTACCAGACTATTTTTTTCAATTCTTCCGATGGCATTGAATACCCTCGTTCGGGGTGTTTGCCGAATTTAGTTAAAAAGTTAATTTCACCTAAATACTTTCTTCAATCCTTCCATCGATATTGACTACTCTCGCTCGGAAGGTTGCCTAATAGGCTTGAGAAGTCAATTTCACCAGACTATATCCTTTTTTAACCTACCTGATGACATCGACTGCTCCCGTCGTGGCGTTTGCCTAATAAACTTGGTGAAACTTCACTTCCTTTGCAAAGTCATCGAATTCTATGCGCAAAACGGTGGTTACTTACCATTAATACAGAAGTTTAAAAATGCAGTGCTCTCAGCGTTTCCCATCTGACAGAGATATACAGTATGTTACTACTAATACGAGCATAATAGAGCTTATGTCTGCTTCTGATATCGGTGCTAGAAGGGCAGTACTTGGCCAGAATTGCCATACGCATTATCAATTATGCTTGAATAATGCGATATTAAACTCGGGTACTAAAACGGAAGACATTATCAGAACATATTGGACACCACTGCTAAAGCGACGATCCTTTGTATCAGAAAAGACGGTGTGCGCGGACCCCATCTTATTCAAATTAGCAGTGGTGTACAATGTTTTGGTACTTCACTTCCGTTTTGGTGTCAGACTATAGTTGCAACGTTTGTACTTGTGATAATCATTGCAATGTTGACATAGATAAGGGATAAATAAAATCAGTACAACAAACTCGTTTATATGTGGACACTTTTAATCATACATAAATTTGGCAGTGTTTCAGATCAAAATACAATTTGTTTATACAATGAACATTTTTCACTGGAATGTTTTTTCATATTAGTAGTAAATTCAAAACTTAGGTACACAAAATACAAAGCAAAGGTTGTAACTTGACTTTTATTTACATGTACTTATTACATATTAACAATCACAGAAAGTAAACTATTCATAAAAGTTGTAAAACGACATAGTATTTTCAAAATCTGTAATACCCCTTAGAAATAATTCATCGCAATGACGTGATCACATACAACTTTTGTTTTAGTATTGTATTATTTTGAAAACACTCTGTACAGCTTTACACATCAATGAGAGATACAGGCTGAGAATCACTGGAAGGTCAATTCAACTTTTTCGCACACATGTTTTTTAATAATCACTTTTATTTAACTGAATGTTAATTAAAGGTTAGCTCTCAGAGTTTAGGTTTTCAATCGCATGTTTACTGTAACCTCACGATGCTATTAGAAGAGATATCTTAAACATCAGGGGGCGGGGCCAAGGATGATACGCTAGTATCATATTGACACAGATCTTGCTTAAATTTTATCAGTAGCAACTTAGAAATTGTGAAAGCCTCAATTAGGTCCTGCATATTAACCTGCGAAACTTTATTCGTCACGATTTTTTGATATCATCAAGCTGATCACCTCTGAGTAGCAAGGTACAAGACAGCATTTATTTGTAACAGCACACACATAATAACATCAAACATTGTGAACGAAAAAGAAACAGCTCTAAAAAATCCGACTAAGCTTTGCAAACTGTAAACAAAGGTCACTTTGGCAGATTCGTAAGATAAAAATCTTGGCGTCACGTTATGTGTTGTTTCTATATCAATGATTCTGACATGGCGGTTTTTTAACCAAAAAACCATCTATTGAGTAACTAGTAGATAATCCACAATGTGTCTATGTTGCTTGACAGTCGCAACAATTGACATGGATGACACAAGACGAAACGGATTCTGATCATCATAAAATATACATAATACTTCAGATCCAGAGGCAGTGTTGCCTTGAAAACAGAACTTGAAAAATGAATGTATTGGTAACTGATGGTTAACCTTTAGATTTGGGGTTATTCGTAGGGTTATCAAACTTGACAGTTAACCTACGATTAAAAGATTGGAGCAAACAGTACAAAAGAAATGATAAAGGGGATGATCAAAACTGGAACAGTGTTTAGTGGATGTACACTCTTCAATAACAAAAATTAACTCATACTTCCGTTCAGAATTTTTCAATTTTTCAATAGAATGTTTCATCAAATTGTAGCTAAATCATTTCAATAAATTGAAATGAACCTGGGAATATATCATACGTACTGAAGTGGCTGCTGTCGATAGAACCTCTTCAATCAGTGACCCTCAGCCGATCATTGGTTAAGTAGCCATACTTTACACTTAATAAAAAACGCACACATAATATATAATATACAGGACAGTCTCTGGAACTGTACAAATTATTTAAAATGTCCTGCATCAAATATTACTATATGTATATAATCATTATAAACATCATCAAATTTCAAAAGTTTATATACAGAGCCTCTTTGGTACATGTCGCGGTTACAATATAAATTTTCAAGAACCATATCAAATATAATAAAATATCCCCTGTATTACATTTTGTTCATTATAACGAATAAATATTTTAAAGATTTTGAAGAAATAAATTTTTCACGTAAATATACCAATTTCTAAATTGTAAATAGTAAATTTTATACGTTTGTATATACATACAGCTATAAGTGGAGGTTTTGGATTTCAGTACGCATTTAAAGGAACAATATTTTCCAATTGCACACAATTTTTTGAAAAATATATACTCATTAACTTTGAAAATATATTACACATTCCCTATACGTTAGACTAGAATCATATGAAAAAAAAACAGGAAATTGAAAACTTGATCAAGGAAGAAAATAAAAATACAAACCTCCACTCAAAAAATTACAGACTTTGAAAAAAATTGCAAAAATTACCAATCACGAATTGTATTTGATAAGAACATGTGAGCATGTAAATGAAGGGAACAAAATTTTGCCTAAATGCCTAAATGTAAAAAATAATCACAGCCTAGATTTTACATATAACTTAAGAGCTTAAACAAATGTTCTGGACTCATGTGCAAATATTTTTCAAAAAAGTAAAGTAATTCATTTTCACTTTTACCGTATGTTACTAAAATTACAAAAACTTCATGACTTCTTCAAAACAAGGCTACCTAGTACTATATTGTATTTTCAGTCAAATCATTATTATTTAATGTATTCATAATCATTTAATAACGTTCGTATTCCACTTTAGTAATTTTCAGTGACAAAATCAGACTAGAAGAGAAAATTTAAGGCAATACTCCACTTACTCTGCTATACTTTAATTTTTAGTTACTGGCCAAAGCCACACAGTAAAAATGTGCCATTCCATATGATGTCATCTCACTGGTCAGAATTGGAGGCGTTATCCTCAAAATTACCAGACAAAGTATGACGTCACCGTACCGACTGTTTCTGACTATATTATACCTTGCGGTTACTGGCACCTAGCTAAAGACGATAACGGCTCACATGTTCTTATTTTCACAGTCAATCGAAGTTAATCAAAAAAATGCATTGTTCTACCTTCTTATCTTTGACACTACTGTTGTTGTAGCAGTAGTTGCTCCAGTTCATCAGCAGATCGAAGTAGGAACGCTGCTGATTCGCGATATCCTGTCACGAGCTGCCTAACAGCAGTCATTTCTCCAGGAGTTAATTTGTGGTTCAGAAGGGGTTTTTGTTTCATACTCAGGTCTGCAGGACCTAAAGTCAAAATATTTTGTATCAGCTAGTGTGAATATAATAGAACCACTCCATGAAGATACCCAATCTATGTTATCTACAATTTTATGAAATAGTGATATCACTGCGAATTGATTTACCATGCTTCATTTGGTGTTCAATAACTTTGTTCTTTTTATGGTGTCCAAGAAAAAGATGTTTTCGAAGTGAATAAAGATATTGATAAAATTTTGTACTATACATGTAGTTAAAACGACACGACCAATACATACAAACACCTTCGGGCCTGAAACTGCACCATCGACACTGGCATCGAAATAGAGAAATTTTGAAACATCTATTGCATTCCTGAATTAGATATTCAATTTTACATGAATCATCTCTCTTTAGAAATGTTTAGTCAGACATTTGGAGAAAAATTGGTTTGAATATTTGAGGTAAAATCCATATAAAAAACTTAAGCCCATTCCACTTTGACAATATGCTCAATCATTCACTAAAGTATTCTACCTGAAAATAATAAATAATATAATAAAATAAAATGACAATTTTTCACTATTTACTATATGTACTATGAAAACATGTCTCATAGATGGGACTGTCTATATGAGCATATGAAAGCATACAGGTAACTAAGCGCCACCTATGAGATACATTTTCAACGCATATATAGTAAATTGAGAAATAGCTACAACAGATTCTCATAGATCGTGCTACGTTTTATATATCATTAGGCGGGCTATCTCTAGGTAGAATACGTTAATCAATAGCTGAAGTTAGTGAAGTTTGACATTGAAAATGGTATGTAGTGTGTATCCTATCTCACCATAGCGTTTGGAAAATATTTATGTTTTGGGACATTTTTAATGTTTATAGAAGGATTTTTGTTATTTTTTGTTGTACTTTCTATTCTATAAATATTGCCGTTTTTTTAATCATAAGGTATAGTTGTAAACATAAGTGTTTGCCAGCGCCCGTTTTTGTGCAGGCACGGCTTTCAAGTGAGTTGTGTATGTTTTGGTGGAATACCAGGTCTGTAACTCAAGTGATGAGACTGGCACCGTAGCGTTTGATCTGGCAACACTGGAAGCGCCGGGCTAGGAGGGGAGACAGGGGAACATGTGATCTGCCTTCAGTACAAGTTTAAACACGTTCGAGTAGGTTTTGATTCAGACTTAGGCACAGTGCAACGGAAATTCTTGCTAAGCTTCAACAGGCCTACAGCGATAGCGTTTTGTCAAGAGTTTTTCGGTGGCTTAAATCATTTTCAGTAGGAAGAGTCGAGATGAACCACGAAGCGGAAGGCCGTCTGTCGACGATTTCCCGTTGGTATGGAGAATTCAAACGTGGACGGGTGAGTCTTAGCGACGATCCCAGGGTGGGTGCACCAAAAGCGGCAGTCCCCCAGGAAAACGTCGATGCTGTGCGCAAACTCATCATTGAGAATAGACATGTGGCACATCGCGACATTGAGGCGTCCTTGAAGATCTCAAAGACCTCAATTCAAAAAGTTTTACATGAAGAATTACAATAATTGGTGTCAAAAAACGCTTGACCGTTTCAATTCCGGAAACTCAAAAAATGTGTACAGCATTGTTAGTGTTGATGAATGGTGGATTTAGTGTTATGAACCAGAAGATAAACGGCAGTCGGCTGCTTGGGTGTTCCAAGGTGAAGAAAAGACAACAAAAGTCATTCGTTCTCGAAGTGTTTCGAAAAAGATGGTCGCGACATTTGTGTCAAAGTATATTGCAATAATTCCTCTTAACGAGAAAATAACTGTTATTGCTGATTGGTATACCACCATTTGTTTGCCAAAAGTCATCACCGAGCTTCGAAGAATTAACCCCGAAAGAAGAATCATCATCCACCAAGACAATGCAAGCTCGCACACAGCCTAAAAGACAAGGCAGTATTTAACGGAAGAAAACGTGGAACTATTGGACCAACCTCCATATACGTAGTCGTGCCATAAGTTCTGTCCCATGATAATCTCATGATAAAAATGAAACAAGATAAGATATATTTATATGAAAGATATTATTTATTCGACAACATTTTTAGAATTCATAATCAAACAGTTTTATTCAAAATGTCCCCCCTTGGCCTTCACACACTGCTTCAATCTCGCGGGCCACTCATCTATCACTGCACGCACAGCTTCCAAAGGAATAGCTGCCGCTGATCGGATCAAATCCGCTTTCAGGGACTCGATATTACGGTGGGCTCTGGAGCAGGCCAACTGCTCTAGCAGGTCCCACAACTTGTAGTCTAAAGGATTGAGGTCCGGACTCCCTGAGGGCCAATCTTCCGCAGCAATGAACTCTGGCACATTGCTTTCCAGCCAGCGCTGCGTACTCTTAGCCTTGTGAGCGGGGGCGGAATCCTGCTGGTAGACCCAGTGTTGGTTGGCAAACAATGTACCACTTAAAGGCTTGACGATAGGATCCAGTATGTCGCTCTGATAGTTTGCCGCTTTTGTTTTCACGCCCTGTTTACAGAAATGGAGCTGAGTGACCCTTTCGTAGGACACCCCCCACCAAACCATGACTGACGCAGGGTGGTGGCCTCTCTCAACTCTCGGAATGATCTCCGAAGCTTCCTGTGAACTCCTTGCATACACTTTGTCATTTTGTCGGTTGAATTTTTCTTCTATGGTGAAGATTTTCTCATCCGTGAACAAAATCTTTCGGAATCCCCCAGCTGCGTACCTCTCCAAGAGCTTCTTGGATCTTGTCGCCCTGATGTGTCGCAAGGTGGCCGTAAGTCGCTGGCCCGTACGTCTCCGGTAAGCCCCTAGCCCTAGGTCTTGTTTAATGATGCGCGACATCGTCCGGACAGGAATCTTCATTTCCCTGGATAGGATCTTCTGCTTCCGGAGTGGATTCCTTTGAATCCTGGCTTTTACGGCTTTGATGGCTGCTGGAGTCCTTACTTGACGAGGTCTTCCGCTTCTTGGCCTGTCATCAACAGAGGACGTCTCATTGTACCGCTGAATGGTCCTAGACACAAATTTACGCGATATTTGAAGGCCGCGTAAGAGTTAAAAAATCTGACTAGCACTGTGATTACACTTATGTAAAGCTATCACTGCAATACGGTTCTCTGCCTTGCCCCACTCCATCGTTATGCTTCGAGAGATCAATACAAACTGAGGTATATGTAATTACCCGAAAAGCGCTTAATCAACTGACACCACAATGTAAACAATCGGACAAGTATTAACAGGTCTACACTTGTTTGAAAACGAGGGACAGAACTTATGGCATGACTACGTAGTCCCGATCTGAGTCCTAACGATTTCTTTACTTTCCAGAAAATTAAAAACAGACTGCGTGGTCAAAGGTTCCAGTCACCAGAAGAAGCAGTTGACGCATTCAAAAATGCCGTTTTGGATCTGCCAGCAAACGAGTGGAATAAGTGCTTCGAAAATTGGTTCGAGCGCATGCAAATTTATATTAATATTCGTGGAGAATACTTCGAAAAACAGTAAAGTCATTTAAAACTATCTACCGTGCTGTTTTATTTTCATATGCAAAACTTAAAGGACATCCCTCTACATACTGGAAAAAAACGACATAATGTCACTTTTCAAGGTATGTAATACCTTTGCCGATTCAAATGCAGCTGTTTTGAACTGATTAATAAAGGACCAGTGGTTTTATTCACTTTCTCAAAAAATACTTTGTTGATTGATTTTCTTACCGTTCGTAAGTAAACCAGTCGACGTGAAAGGTGCGGCGCCTGGAAACAGCGGGTACGGTCCTGTCCTTTGGAAGGCCTGCGTAAAATTCGGCCTGTACATCGCCGTTGGCGCGGACCCTGTCGAACTTGATATTCCTATTCCATTTACTCCTGTCGAACCGATGACACCCGTATTTGTGGAACTACAAAAAACAGAAACAAAGGATATACATATCTCCATAATCGTCATGTAATGTGCATTCTGTTCAAGGTTTCAGTTGCTGGATAGATCAGACTAACTAGGCAAAAATGAACCCTCTTCTAGAAGAAATTGTGCAGATGGACTTTACTACGGAATTATATTCTTGTCTTCCGTCTGGACAAAAAAATGCTGGGTAACTTTTTTATTAAACGTCAAGTTTGGAAAAATCTCTTTTTCGCGTATATTACAAATCTATGAAGTAATGGAACAAGTTACATCTATTACCAGAATCGACCACTGTGAAAGTGAAAACAGCAAACTGTTTTAACTGTAGCCCAGTTCGCATTGACATGGTGATCACCATAGTGGCCGCTAGATGCTGTCGATTGTGCTATAGTAGATACGGTCTTCTGGCCATTGAACAAACTAGTAAGATAACTAATATACTCTGAATAGAGTTGCTCAGCTTTCATTCGTTTTACCACCTACATCATGCTGAGGAGTTGCCAAATAGCACGAAACATCTGTCCATGGTTGGCCGTCTGTGGTCGGACGAACGAAGGCTATATTACTAGTTTATGAATTATTGGTTTATATGTTAAATAAGTGGTCTACAGAAAAGTTGTATACGATGAAACGACTTTTAAAATGAGACCGCATACGTCCAATTTGCTGGAGCGGCTATGCCGATGAACATCTCGTAAAACATCGTCATTAAAACCTCAACAAATTTGGTAGCAATTATCAATTTAATAAAAATCCAAGTGAGAATCTCTCAAAAAATATTCTAAACGATGGTTTCAATATAATTGGAGAGAAATTATTATTATTGGTGAATCATTGTTTAGTACATGGTGAATTCCCATCAAAATTAAAGTATTTCACCATTACTCCTGTGCCAAAAGTTCAAAATTCTCAGCTGTATACAAATATGCGACCGATTAATGTCTTGCCCGATGTCGAGAACCTGTTCGAAGGGATAATAACGAACAAATCATAGGATTCATTGAAGAAACCAAAATTTTGATAAAAAATCAAGCTCGATTTAGAAAAAATGTTCCACAGAAACGGCAATCCAAATGGTGGTGGAAGACTGGAGAATAAAAAAAGAATATGTTGTAACAATATTTTTAGACTTCAAAAGGGCATTTGAGACTATAGATAGAGAAAAATTGTTAATGAAATTGCGTCACTATGGCTTTACAAATTTATTAGTAAATAGAAATTATTTAGTAAATAGAAGTCAAAAAACTAAAGTTGGAAATATTATGTCAAGTGTTCAAAATATATCAGTAGGGGTGCCACAGGGGAGTAAATTAGGGCCGTTACTATTTATTATTTATATAAATGATATCTCTTACATTTCAGAACACTGCAAAATTCAAATATTTGCGGACGATACACTTATATATATATATATATATATATATGTATCATTATCATAACTAGGAAACTAGGGGCAGTATAGATTTTCATCTGCAAAATTGTAATAGTAGCATAACTAGTAAATCTATATCTCAAAAGGGAGTATTTGAATTTAATAAATTGAATAATGATATTATACAGAGTTCGAATTTAAAAATGTTTAAGGTGAAATTAAAAAATCACTTTATGAATAATCAAAATACATAGTGACGTAATTTTAATTTTAATAGACAAGAATGTAAAATTATAGAAAAAGGATTGAAGAAAAATATGTTACCGAATCATTATACAAAATTGACATTGTAGCACTAATGCTAAATAAATCTTGAATATTGAAATGTTGAACATTTTTCATGAATTTTTTTCTGGATGGTAAACACAAATGATTTAAGTTTTAGCTAATGTTTGATATTTATTGTTGTGCACCGTTTAGTAAACAACTAATTTGAAAATTGGATACATTATGGTTTTAAAATACATGGGAAAAATCGTTTTTTGCGACTTTGACAGTTAATAAAAAACATGTCCAGCAAAATTTTTGTATATCTAGGTGAAAAACATTCTCAGTCACCCTCCAGAATATATTTCTGTTGTAAAATCTGACTAGGAATAAATGGTATTAATGATTTTTTTGTACTTGGTATAGTAATAATCCTGTATCAAAATTTACGATCAAGGATGGATGCATACACCCAGATTTCAAATTCGTAACAGACATTTTTAAGCAGAAAAAGGTTTCGGCACTTCTTGTTAATAAAAATACTACAGAATATACTTTTAGTAGACAAAATATTGATATTGTCAAAACAAAATTTTTAGAAAATAATACACACCCCATGCTGAGCTATATATGGCACTAGAAATTTAATGCTCTTTAGAACGGAGATATCTGTACTAGTAGTGCTTTGAACGCGAGCCTAAGAGACTCAATGATACAAATATTTATTTAGGTGGGTGCATTCTGCCTTAGGCAAACCTAATATAATTTAACACAGAACTCATAACTGGCAGTACTAAATAAGTTAAAAGTAGTAGTGTAAGGTCCTGATGACTGACACGGCACTATTGGAATTGTTCAGTGTCAGTCATTAGTGACTGACATGGCGGTCAATAAAAGAGGACTAAACTAAGATTATACGTGTCTCATCGAAGTAGTGCTTTTTTATGAATGCGACCATTATTGTCTGTTTGGAACATGTAATTTAATTACTTACTTTATTAAAGACGACTTTAAGTCAGGAGTGACTGACATCTTCGTGACTGAGTTTGGAGTGCTACTGGAAGGCGTTGTAGACGAAGGAAATGCCGTTGAAACTGCTTCAGTTTCCATTTTAACTGGCGTACTACTACTCGAGAAATCCAGTCCTCTTGATATCTGGGCTGTAGAATCCGTTGTAGTCTAAAAAAAAAATATTAAATTGAAAACGCATCAGATGTTATGAAAATGGATCTGAAAAGTGCTAAATGGTTATAGAAAACACCAATTAATGTCTTTCAAATGACATCAGAAATACCCGAAATCCAGAAAGAATAACATTTCAGTCTTCAGTACAGAAATTTCGGTTTTGTGCAAGAATAATGAAAAAAACACGTTTTTCAATTATCTTGCTGAGCACTGCATTTCTTTAACTCATTTATGCCAGATGTACTATGAATACTATAGCCTAAACTTGTTTGTTCCTGTAGATATCTGTACGATTTGGTTATTGAATAGCACGCGGCGACAGTTTGCGGGTGGATCTCGAACAGTACGGAGTAATTTTGCGTATTGTGCAATATTTTGTATGTGAAATCAGTTATTGTATATTGGAAAATAGAAGATGAATGAATATGGCGTGCGCTTTGCAAAGTAAGTAGGTTTTTTATGACATAAGATAAAAAAAAAACTAGTTTTTTTTTATGAAAATATTATTTCCTTAGTTGCGGCTTCTAGATTTTATGATTTTATGGTGTGTTTCATTTATGCTTTGTTTGTGAGGTTATGATAAAGTTAGGTGTACTATATTTAGTATATCAGGAAAAAAGGGGTCTACGAATATGTTCATAGTCAAAACAAAAATAAAATGGTTTTAGGTAAATTATTTTTGAATAAGTCATTATTTTGGGAAGGAACATTTGTTTCAGGGGTTTTTCTTTGCATGAGGCGCTAGCAATGATAGAAGATGACGACATTGAAGCTGAGTCTATCACTTTGTTACCTCCCACTAATGCATGTGGTAACATAACCGACGAGGATTCTGGAGACGAAGAAAGACTGTATATCAACAACTTGCCAGGAAGCTTAATGCAAGCTGAGGTCGAAGTAAATAAGAATCAAAACGAGGATATGTGGAGTTCAGAAGATGAAATACCACTCAGTGAAATCAGGGGTAATAATCGGAAGGAAGTGAAAAAGAAGAAAAGATATAATTACGTAAAAGACGATTTGCCAAGAAATGAGTATGCGTTTCCAATAAACAACGAAAATCAAAATGAACAAGAGCAGTCCCCAACCGAGATATTTTTTAGCTTTTTTGATAACATAATAGTTGAGGAGACAAATCGGTATGCTCGACAGAAAAACAGGAATATTATGGTTACTAAATGTGAAATCAAATGTTTTCTAGGCAGTTTGAGTGGCTACAGTAGTGTATCTCGCAGAAGGATGTATTGGGAAAAATCCAGTGATTCACACAACTCACTTGTTTCTGAAGTTATTTCTCGCGATAAATTTGAATTTATAATGTCTCACATTCACTTCCTAAACAATGAAGCTCTGGATGCAAATGATAAATTTGCTAAACTAAGGCGTCTTTTCAATCACCTGAATAAAATTTTTTTGGAATACGCAGTACCAGAAGAGCATCATAGTATTGATGAGGCAATGGTTCCATACAACGGGCGACATGGTTGTAAACAGTATATCCACGGGAAACCAATACGTTATGGGTTCAAATTTTGGGTTGGCGTACTCTTGGTTACATCTTATGGTTTGATTGGACGTATGTGAACGCGGCTTACAAATCTTTAGGTGTTGGCGCATCAGTTGTATTGAGCTATGCTGATAGGCTAAAAAGCAAATGGGCAAATCTTAGGTTTCATTTTGTATTTGATAATTTTTTTCTTCGCCAGCTTTGTTTGAAAGCTTGACTGAAAAAGGCATATGTGGTACAGGAAAAATTCGTGAAAATCGTATACCCATGTCTTCTTTGAAAAATTCAAAACTTGTGAAAAAGGAACAACGTGGAGTGTTTGATTATACCAAAGTAAAATATAAAAACTTAATTTTTGTAAAATGGAATAACAACGATATTGTAACTTTTGGGTCTACAGCGATTGGAATTGAACCAGTAAATTCAGTAAAGCGGTATTCTCAAGAAGAAAAAAAGTTTGTGTATGTAGATCAGCCCCAAGTTGTCAAGCTGTATAATAAATGTATGGGCGGGGTGGATAGGTCAGACCAGAATATAGCTCAATACAGAGTACAAATCCGAGGCAAAAAATGGTATTTCTCGTTGATCTCTCAATGTGTAGATATGGCCCTGACAAACGCCTGGCATATTTATAAAATGACAGGACATAACGTGGTTCAATTACAATTTAGAAGAAGTGTAGCTACAACTATCTTGACACAAAATAAGAAGACTTATACGTACCAGCAAGGTAAATCAAAAAATTTTGGTGACATAAGGTATGATCGTTTAGAAGCTTAGATCATTTAGTCATTCCACAAGGCAAACAAACAACTACTACTACTAGATGTAGAAAATGTGATGTCGGCCTTCACGTGAAATGTTTTATTCAATATCATACTCTTTAAAATTTGCAATATTGATGTCTTTCAAAATATTTGTACTATTTTCAATATTTTTTCTATTATTATTCTTATAGCTACCTTTATTCCTAATGTACTATGTATAGTACATCCTAAAAAACTAACTGTTTATGTATTTTTTTTAGAATAAATTGAAAATACCTCCAAAGTGTCGTCTTTTTATAAGGTTTTTAAAAAAATAATAAAAAAAAACTTTTTTGCAACTCTTTAGGCATAAATGGGTTAATCACTGGAATTCTTCTGAAGGAATTTAACAAAATATTTGATAACAAAACGATTAACTAGAACAGGCCAGGGAAATCGGTGAAAACATTTGTATGGATCTTCATTTTAAATGTATTGCTTTCAATAAACTTTTCATGTGCAATTCTTTTCAATATTTATTTATTTTTACCTGCGTTCCTGGCAAAACTGGCATGGGTTGACTGACAGGTTCTAACCCTAATCGCATCCTCTTGGCATTATGGCTTTCGTTCTCGCAGGCTGCTGCCAGGATTTGTTCAGCTTGTACCGATGTCAAGTGAGCTGGAGTAGGCCTCGACTGGAAATAAACATTCAAAATGATTCTCAAAATCAAAAAAATAAGTGTGTATTCGCCAGAAGCGAACTTTTCATTCTACTTTTTTGACAACTCTGTACTATTTGTTATCCAAATTCGGAAAAGATCTACTAAAAAAGATCCCCTGCTGTAAGAAATTCGTTACAAATCATATGACAAAGGCATCATACGAGAAAAAATTAGTATAATTCGTTGACGCTTGTAACGGGTGATTTTTTAAGAGGTACAGGATTTGATTTTCAAAAAAAAAAACACAAAAAATTTGAAAAAACGATTAAATCTTTATTTGAGTCGATAGAACAGTCGATATAATTTAATGTTTAAAGATTATTTCATGTAAATGTTGGCCGCGGCTCCGCTTTAGATGGCCCATGCGCAAGGTCCAATTTTGGCACACTCTCTCCAACATATCGGCCGGTATCTCACGAATAAATGCTTCAATATTGGCTTTCAGTGCGTCAATCGTTGCTGGTTTATCCCTGTAGACAGTAGCCTTAACATGGCCCTACAAGAAATAGTCCAACGGCGTTAAATCACACGATCTAGGCGGCCAATTGACGGGCCCCAAACGTGAGATAAACTGTTCACCGAATTCGCCTCTCAATAGGGCCATTGTTTCGTGTGCGGTGTGGCATGTGGCACCGTCTTGTTGAAACCACATGTCAGCCAAGTCCAGCTCTTCCATTTGGGCAAAAAAAGTTTGTTACCATCGCACGGTAGCGCTCGCCATTCACAGTTACGTTCCGACCATTGTCGTCTTTGAAGAAGTACGGCCCGATGATGCCACCGGCCCATAATCCACACTAAACAGTGATTTTTTCGGGATGCATTGGTAGCTCTTGCAATGCTTCTGCCTGGTCTTCACTCCAGATGCGGCAATTTTGCTTGTTAACGTACCCATTCAACCAGAAATGAGCTTCGTCGCTGAACACAATTTTTCGATAAAAATGTGGATCTTCCTCCAACTTTGCCAGCGCCCATTCACCAAACTGGAAACGTTGTGGGAGGTCGTGTGGCTTCAATTCTTGCACCAGCTGTATCTTATAAGGTTTTACACCCAAATCCTGTCGCAAAATTTTCCACGTAGTGGAGTAACAGAGGCCGTTTGCTGCGAACGGCGGCGAATCGGCATTTCACGGTCATCACTAACACTGGCGGATACAGCCGCAATATTTTCTTCAGTCCTCACTCTACGTCTGCGTGTTGGTGGTTTAATGTCCAATAATGTAAACTGGGTTCGAAATTTAGTCACAAGCTTCCCAATAGCTCCCTCAGTAGGCCGACCAAATTGTCCATAAATTGGAAGCAGTGCTCGATGCACTCTCTTAACCGAGCATGAATTTTGATAGTAAAATTCAATAATTTACAAACGTTGTTCGTTCGTAAGTCGATTCATGGTTAAATTATAGACCAAACTGTCAATGACACAAGACCCGACGCGTCATCTGTCAAAAACCGTGTTGCCAAAAAGATACTAGCAAAAAAATCACCCATTATTTGCTAAATAACACAAAATTTAGGGAATCTGAAAAACACCCAGCCTTTATATCATGATATACATGAGATCTATCGTGTAGGATCCAAAAATTGAATAATATAGTGTTCTATCTGAAATAAGCAAGTTTGTATTTACTTCCGGTACAACCAGAAGTGTCAGAATTTTGAAAATATTTTAGCCGAATTGCTCCCATTAGTTATACAATAATCCCACATTCATAACTGTTTTATACTACCTTTTGGAGTATTAAATCGCTGAAATTCTACATTGGACCCTGTATACACAACAGTTATGTATGCACATTCACCATTTTTACAAGCTTTTATTATCACACATCTTGATATCTCGAGCGAATTGGCTCTTCAAGTATGAGGCAGCAAGAGTAAAATGTGGTAATACTGAATATAAAGATGCTAAAAATGAGTTAAGTAATCAATTTATAGTAATGTTGTTAGATCCAGTTGGTGTTGCATTCTGTTTACCGAGTTCTGGTCATTTATGCAAAAAGCAAAATCAGAAAAATGGAACTCACTGCATCCCAAGGTGAGTTAGGATCTCGAGCTCTTTTGTTCCTTCGACACGACTTGAGGTAGGTTCGTATCCTCTTCCTGGCCCGTTCAGCAAACTCTGGAAACTGCCTCGTACACGAGTCGATAATGGCCTGGATCTTTTCTTTGGGCTGCTTGCTTATGGGCACCATCCTGTCCAGATTTTCATCGACGAACAGCCGTACAAACATCTGAATGAAAATAATTTTCAGATAAATGGAAATGTCATTGTCATCCCGTATATCAGACAAGTTAGACTCAAACGAATTCAACTGTAAATACGGTTACATATAATGCGAAATTGAAAATTGATACGAGGGACGCTAGAAAAGAAATATATCTAGCCGTGAAACAAATAATTGAAACGTACAAGCATAAGATGTGTTTTAAACTTACTTGCAAAATTTGAAATAAATTTTTAAATTTTATAATTAGTTCCCGGTTTATACAGTGAATTGTGAGGAAAAATGAGTAACTTAAAATCAGACTATCGCAGTGTGACGCAATTTCTGATAAGAGGGCCATCAGACGGAAACAGTGCTTGAGTTTCGGATTACGTTATGACCAATTAAATTATTACAACTTCCAGGTTTAATTTAGGTGACCCCATGTGTGTTTTTTGGTTAGTTTTAGGTTAGGATATTTTTTTAGATGTATTCTCTACTGGTAAGGCTTGAGTGGAAGAACACCTCTAGGTGAACTCCCCCTTGAGGTTTTCCCAATATCATGTTTTTTCTTTCCCATGTGTGTGTGTGTGTGAAACGTACGTATATGATGGGACAACAGATAATAGAGAACAGATTAACAGACAACAGATTAACAGATAAGAGATTAACAGATAGAGGATAAAAGATAAAAAAGATGAAAGGTCAAAGATAAAGGATAAACGAGAGATGTACGAGGGATGTCTTTTAAGTTTTGCATATGGAAATAAAACAACACGTTAGGTAGTTTTAAATGACTTTATTGTTTTTCGAAGTATGCTCCAAGAATATTAATACACATCTGCATGCGCTCGAACCAATTTTCGAAGCACTTATTCCACTGGCATTGCTGGCAGATCCAAAACGGCATTTTTGAATGCGTCAACTGCTTCTTCTGGTGACTGGAACCTTTGACCACGCAGTCTGTTTTTAATTTTCGGGAAAGTAAAGAAATCGTTAGGACTTAGATCGGGACTATATGGAGGATGGACCAATAATTCCACGTTTTGTTCCGTTAAATACTGCCTTGTTTTTTGGGCAGTGTGCGAGCTTGCATTGTCTTGGTGGAGGATGATTCTTCTTTCGGGGTTGATTTTTCGAAGCTCGGTGATGACTTTTGGCAAACAAATGGTGGTATACCAATCCGCAGCAACAGTTCTTTGCTCATTAAGAGGAATTTTTGCAATATGACCCGCTTTTAACACAAATGTCGCGACCATCTTTTTCGAGACACTTCGAGAACGGATGACTTTTGTTGGCTTTTCTTCACCTTGGAACACCCAAACAGCAGACTGTCGTTTATTTTCTGGACCATAACAGTAAATCCAGGATTCATCACCACTAACAATGCTGTACACATTTTTTGAGTTTTCGGAATTGAACCGGTCAAGCGTTTTTTGACACCAATTAACCCTGGCTGCTTTCTGCTCTTCATTCAACGAAAAACTAATTTTCTTCTTCCTAATTCTTCATGTAAAATTTTTCGCCTCAATCTCGCCTCAATCTCGCGATATGTCACATGTCTATCTTCAATGATGAGTTTGCGCACAGCATCGACGTTTTCCTGGGTGAACCCACCCTGGGATCTTCGCTAAGTCCACGTTTGAATTGTCCATACCAACGGGAAATTGTCGACTGATGTGGCGCTTCGTTGCCGAAAACAGACAGTAACTCAGCAAGGCATTCTTGTTGCGATAATTGTCTCTGAAAGTTGTAATAAATTATGGCGAGAAAATGTTCTCGGTTGAGTTCCATTTTTCTAATGATTTGGTGACACTAAAAAATTCACTGTAGTGAGAACACTGCACGTATTGTTGTGAAACTTTGAATTTATGTTTACTAAAGAGTGAGGTTAAGATTCAGTACTGACGTGCGGCCTACTATGTTTCTATATGCAAAACTTAAAAGACATCCCTCGTATAATCAAAGATGATAAAGGATACAAAACTATTAAAGATAGGGATAAAGTATATCGCTAGCATTGCATTATCATATCAGCAACTGCAGTACGGAGGTTTTAAATAATGACATCAACGTACAATATTTAGCATAGCGTTAGCATGCTAGTAACTGCGGTAGTTATTATTATTAAAAAATACTGTATTGTCGTCAATACATGATGAAAAAGTTGGAACCATGGTTCTCGAAGACTGTTGTGTGAAAGTCTCTACCGTCAGAATGACATGAAATATCTCGGAACCCAGCATAATAACCATCTTGCAGGACAATTTCAACATGAGTAAGGTGTCAGCCAGGTGGGTTCCACGATTGTTGACATCTGAACAAAAATTCGTAGGTTGTTGGGAGTTCCAGAAAGTCATTTGGAAACAATTATGACTTTTGACACAGATTGTGACGGGCGACGAGACTTAGGTGTATCATTGGGATCCGGAGACAAAAACAGAATCGAAGTAGTGGATTCATGAAGGGTCTGCACCCCCGAAAATGCAAGGACGCAACTCTTTGCTGAAAAATTGAAGACAACAGATTTTTGAGCATCATTCTGATTGAACATATGCCAAACAAATACCTATAGTAACCAACCAGGACCCGAGACCGAGAAGTATTTCTGCTGCATGTGATGCGACCGCGAATGAGGCTACCAAAATTCGACCAATTGTGCAGTTGATATAGACCACCCTCCCTATAGTCCAGACCTGGCTCCGCCTGACTTTTACCTCTTCAGATTACTAAAAAAACATCTTCGAGGAACTCATTTTGACTCAGAGGATAGCACTGGTGGAGAAACGGTGCAAATGCATTGATGTAGGGGGATATATTGAAAAATAGAATCATAAAACAATCATCGTCTTGTTTCACGGCTAAGATGGCATGTATTTCTGAGTATTTTGATATAATAAAATATTTTTCCCATACTTATTTTGACTGTACTACTCATTTAAAAAACATGCGTTCTTTCTGACGGACCCGGTAGATACTCATTCGAAGTTAAGATCGTACTGATGAGTGAACCCACAACTTTTTGCTCAAGTGTTCCGTCACGTTTCTTAAACTTCGAGAGGATCTAAGTTACAGGATGATATGTTTGAAAATATATCTACTTACGTTGAACGCTTTGAGCCTTTCAGGGTCGTGAGTCTGCGTATCAATTTTATCGTCACTTTCATCGTCGTCGTCATCTTCATCCTCTTTGTTCCCACTAGAACTAGTTTCGTCGTGCGCCGAACCAGTTTCTGCGTTCACAGGACTCTGAAATACATCAAAACCATATTTTAATTTCGAAAATGATATACTATGTTTTTTAGATATACGAGGTTTGTAAATTAAGTGATGAGACTGGCAATGTAGCGTTGAGAACTGGCAACACTGGAGGTGCCGGGCTTAGAGGGGAGATAGAGAAACATGTCAGCCGCCTTCAGTACAAGTTTGAACTCGCTCGAGTCATTTGGATGTCATAGCAACTTTTTTTTGGAATTTTAAGCAACGCTGTGCTATGCAGGTTTTGATTCAGACTTGGGCACAGTGCAACGAAAGCTCTTGCTACACACACCTACCGAGATAGTGTTTCGTCAAGAGTCCAGGTTTTTCGGTGGTTTAAGGCATTTTCAGAATGGACCTAGTCGATTGAAGATGAATGACTTGAGTCCCTGTGACTTTTTCCTCTGCCCAAAATTGACAAATCACCTCAATGGTGGGACAGTCGAAACAGTACAAACGGCTGTAACCGACCAGCTGAAGGCTATTCCAGTATCGGATATCCAGCACTGCTATGAGGAGTGGGATAACCATCTCCAGCGCTGTGTGGCTTCATAAGGAAATCATTTTGAGGGTGACAATATGAAATTGTAATTATATTTGAATTAAAAAAAGAATTAAAAAAGAATCAGTCTCATCACTTAATTTATAGACCTCGTAATAACCTTGTCCTTATTTTCGTCTTCCTGTCTGTTGGTCTGTTTGTCCGCTAATCCTTGACCCGTCTATAACTTGTAACCTACTCGGGTTTTCATGAAACTTTTAGAGAAGGTTAATACTATGCGAAGGAAGAAAAGGCTTTGAAAATTGGTTCAGTGGCGGCTTTGCTATGGACAAAAGACGGCAAAAAAAATCGCTCAAACCTCGTTTTTGATGGGCCCTGATCATTTTCGGAAAATTTTTTGGTAGTGTATTTATATTTCGTTTTTTGACGTTTCAAATAAACTTTTACGCGGTTTAAGAATTGAAGGTGGCGAATTTAGGGGGTGGAGGGTTATGAATGTTGCATTTTTGAATTTAAGAGGTTCTATAAGGGCTGCAATTAAGTTATACAACAAAAATGTAAACACTCTTGCAGCCGCTATAGAACGATTGCGTCAGTGCAAGATTCAGTTTTTGTCTACTATACAACCATTCTGTTACAAGATTCTACTTTATTGCAACCATACTATTTCTTATGTATTCTATAGGCGAAGTGAATAATATACCGGGTGTCAACGAAATCATTTTACAAGGCACTATTCAATTGCTGTTTGAAGAAGAACCTTGAAACTTTGTGTGAAGATATGACTTATAAAAACTCAGATTATCCATTAAAAAACAACTGAATATCACTTCCGGTTTGGCCGGAAGTGAGTATGAAACAAGAATTTTAAATAAGACCCTGTATATATTTTTACATATTTTCATAAAGCTTCAAATTCCCTTTTCAACGATGTAACACAAGTTGTCATTCTTTTTCAAAATTGCGGCTTAAATGGCATTTACGCCAAATTCAATATGGCGGCGTTTTGATAATACCTATGGATTTTATGCCAAACTACCCGCTGAAATAAGAGGCAAAATCGATTCTCTTGCAGCTTCTGCATTGAGGTAGCAAAACAAATAAATATCATAAATTTGCGACCATTTCAGTTTTTGCTTAAAAAGTCAAAATGTATTTAAAATTTTCGCAGAATTTTCACACAAAATTTTAAGGTTCTTCTTTAAACAGCAATAGTGCCTTGTAAAACGTTGACACCCGGTATAACTAACACATCACAACCATCTTGTTTTCTTACATATCGGCCATTGTGAATTTTATACACAGCTATATGATAAGTTTCTTCACTGTGATATAGTGCTATCGAATGGACCCAATTCAGGTTTGATTCATATTTTAATAATGATCAAAAATATATCTAGATTTTCAAGATAAAAATCTGAACTTGTCTGGATTGAATCTTCCACAAATCCTATATTTAGACACGATTACACTAATGTTTATCATGTTATCTGTAGTGTCGGACTGAAACAGAATTATTTGATTTTCAATCGAGGAATATATTTTTTACCCAATATTATAGCGGGTGGTTCTGTATAATCATGGAATCGTCCATATTGTATTTTTTTTATTAGAACATTTTGGTGTTGTATGTGCTGTATGAGTACGCTACAAGAATGCTTTATACATCTCATTTCAGATCAAATATGCTGCAGAAAGCAAGTTAGCATTCCACACAACATTAAGCCAGCATTAAAGCTTTTACGTCATAATAGTTCTGTTATCAGAAACTTATAGCATCACTTTGCTAGTTGGGTTGTCATTTAGTTATTATAATCAATGACATAATTCCTTTGGAAATGTACAGAGTCAATTTACTTAACGACATCATAAGTCAAGAGTAGAAATGCAATAATTATTCAGTACAGACATGTATAACCTTATACATGACTGAGCTACATCTATTTATTACTGCTGTGCGAATTTATCACATTTTTTTCTTAAAAGCCATAGACAATGCAATAAAAATTCTATTATTGATATTCGATTTAAGTCAAAATAAATATGTCTATCTATGTGTGCTAACACAAAGCGACCTCAGACTGGATGAACTTGTGGCATCCACACGAGAAGTTACTGCTTTCCGGTAGACAAAATTCTATACATTCATCATCATAATGCGATGAAAACCAAATTTGTCTGACAGCTTGAGTTCAATGCCTACGAACAAGTGTGTATAGACACATATGTTAGAAAGAGATACAAGCCGGTTAGATAGCAAAGCTCATCACAACGTTGCCTTGCAACGCTGATGCGGCAATCTGCATCGCTTGGCAACCCCGCATCTCGTACATTCCAAGGCAAGGTTTCCACCTCCATGATCACAGATGAGCGAGTGGGGATGAGGGAGTGTCGTCCTGCTTCGAAATGGTTTTTACCTTCGTACACACAGGCAGTGATAATTTGCATTACGTAATGGTATTTGTTACATTTTCCGACCGGTCACTGTCGCAAAATGTAACAATAACTCAGGATCGTTGATTTTATCACCATCGGTGGAAATCAAAGCTAATTCTAAAATAAATTAAAATATGCAAAACTCGCATCAAAATTGAAATAAATAATTCTAATCAAAACGAAAACAAAATACTAAATTGACCTATTGTAGAAACCTGTGCGAACATTTTCTGGTTGTAATATATTGGCGACGCAGCAGATTACGCGACCTTACGGTTACCGTTGCTGGGCAATGTGGTGATGAGCTTCTATCTCTTTCTAACATGTGTTGATGCACACTTTTCGCGCTTCTCTCTCGTACACATTAAACTCAAGCCATCAGACAAATATAGTTTTCTCTGTGAAGGTATGCATTGAATTCGGATGGCCTGAGTTTAAGAATGAGGGCTGAATACTCATTTATTTATTTTTTATTTAATGATTTATATGAATCACATAAGAAAACTGAGCCATTAGTCCAAGATTATTTTTTACAGCTCTGAAGATGTTGAAAGCTTTGAATTTTGCGCAAACATTTTCCAGAATAATGCTTCATATGAGGATATTATTGTAATATAATGGAGTTCCACGAACACATTCGAAATATTTCGTCATCCAAATAAGGAGCTTAAGCTGAATACATCTCAAATTTCGCTTCGGTCGTTAAATTTCCTAGACTCGCTAGGCACGAAATCTTTGTTCTCTTGTATGCAAAAATATGGCGTGAAAGATTCAAATTATGCATAATAATGTAATTTCAAGGTCGCATTTGCGCTGCATTTTAATCGCGATTACCATGTGAATCAGTTTTCTCGCGTTAGCGTCAATTCAGATTTCGTCAATTAATGTGGTTTGTAAACTAACAATACCAGTTGTGATAGCATCGGAAAAACCGAATATTCATAGTCATTGGTAATGCTGAATATTTTCATTCGCGACTTCATTCTGCCACCCACGAGTATTTGATCGAATATTTTTGATTTTCAAACCTAAATATGCTTTCTTGACGTTTTTATGGGTATTCAAATTATTTGGTGCCGAAAAAGTAGGTTACCAGGAATGGTTTAGGAAATCTTTGACATTTAGATATTTTCATAGCCCTACCCCAATTTTGGGTTCGCTACTATGGTATCTTTTTGCTCTCGCTGAAATATTTGAAAAAACTGGCGTCAAGTATGTTGACTCTGTACTTCCCACCCAATATCAGTTCATAATAGATTATGTTCAGTATAAACTAAGATCCACTTAGAAAAAAGTCAGTCAAACAGGTCCATACAATTAGTACATAGACATTTCTCTCCCTGCCCTACCGATAGTGCACCTGGTCAGACATTGCAGCGCGGCGAGAGCATTTTTTATATATTCCAACTACCACGAAGGCCTAAGGGCTAAATACCCACGGGGTACCGTGGGGCTATAGGGGGATACTGGGGAAAGGGGGGAACGCCACACGTACTCTGGCGAGGGAACACGTGTCCATGCAACATGCACACAGTCTGGCCCCGCATATGAGATCCGCCGAGTGGTACCTCTGCGTTCGACAGTCAGAGACCATCTACCACCTACGGACAATCACAACATCCATAGCCAAGGGAAAAATTTCTCTTGGGACGGGATTCGAACCCACGCAGCGCACGGCGACTGATCAAGAGACCGAAGAGTCTACTAGTGCGGCCACTACTGCTGCCTGATAGCGCATACCAGAACAACAGAACTCGCCAAGGTCGGCTTGGTGCCACCGGTAGCAGCAGCCGCGGCCGATAGGTACGAAGTTTTAAGGGCTAATGCATGGAGAAATCTATGATATGTGGATTATGTCTAACAGGTGCGTCGAATTACCAAGTTTGGGAGCATAAAAATGGACTAACATCAAAAAATTGATGCAAATCTCCAACAACCAAGTTTTTCAAAAATGGTCAGGATCATCTAAAACGTCAAAAAGCGAAGTTTTAGCGACTTTCATTCTTTTTCGTTTTTGACCTTTTCCTCTGCTGCCACTGGACCGATTTTCAAA